GCAAGCACTTATTAAATCCAGCCCACAGTAACAAAACCCATGACGACAGAGCGGTTAATTGGTTAAGGCAACGACTTTGCTGGCATTATACTATACTCAACAGCCAACAGTTGGCAGCCAAGTTCATTCAGATGTATTCCGAGTGCCAACTATTGACCCGGATGTCTCCCACTTGGGAGCAGCTTTGAACTCGTGCCAAAACGCACACAAAAGATACACTTTTGGGATGGGGCCAGATTGCACCATCTAGCAAATATCAATCGGTTCATTGTCCATTGAGAATGTCCGTGAAATATTCGCATATTCAGATGATTTCTTTGCGCCCCATAAGTCAAGCATAAGCATCATTGAATGGACCTAAGCGACGTGACGTGATAACCGGTTGGTTGGCTGGGTTGTTTGCACTTGTATCTCTTCTTCTGGCGCTCGACCTTCAGATACAGATACAAATGTGCACAGCAAGCATACATGTAACGAATACGTATACGTGATATATGGCTATGTGGCTGCTTTGGCTGTGTGGAGAACGGCTAAAGGAGAGTCTCTTAGTCTTTTTCTCGCTTTTTTTTGGCCAAGAGCGTGTCTGACGGCGCGGCTTAAGTGAGCAGAATGTTTTTGCTCCGCGGATTGCGTGGCCAAACAGGTCTGAGGTCTTGGTCTTGGAAAACACGCTCCCGGTCGGATTTAACTTTGTCCGCGTGTAAGCTCATCCAGATATACACGACTGCCATATATTACGAGGCTCGCAGAAGTGTTCCGTTTCACTTAAATATTGCACAATATGCTGATGAGACATGTGCGTGAATTTCAGCTCGACAGCGATATTAATAAAGAGTATTATAAATTACTCAGAAACGGTCTTTGAAATTTATCATACAAAAGCAACAATATAATACATCTAATCTATCATTGTCTGGCTTAAAATTTGTTCTACGTTTTATTTATTAACGTATAACAAACAATTTACACTAAAAATTATCAAAAATGTAGGGATAAATTAACAATTTTAATAGGGATTAATATAGACAATTTACTTTCAAAATTACAAAAAAATTTGAAAAGATTTATATCAAATTAAGTTTTTGTAGTTAAAAATATAAGAAATATAACATTTTTAAATTTTATTTATGTATTAGTTTTATCAAATTGGTTTTCAATTTGTCACAATAAATGTTCAATAAAAATACTGAAATTTCTGCAAGATAATTATAAGTGATTTATTTTCATTAAACAACAAATACAAATAATTTCAATCTATTTCCTGGCCATTAGTCGAATAAAGAGTTCAAACGCCGGGAATTAAACGCCTTCTTTAAAGTAGCAGCCATCGAGCTGGTAAAACATTCACGGTCAAGGCTGAATGTACTGGAGCTCAGATTCATTTGTTTTTCTCGCCCACGGGGACAAATGGACCATTGTGGGACTTCAAGAGTGATTCGCATTGTTTTGGGTACCAATTACGCATCGTTGTTGTGGTCATTAACGTGTTTTGTCATCAAGATACGCAGAGACTATTGACCTGTTAACCTGATATCTATCTATTGCAATTTGCTAATAAATCGGTTAAGGGTCAATCAAGATAGCCATTATGAAGGGCTTATTCTTTATTATTTTTATGTGTTCTTTTTCATTCGATAGTCTATCATGTTGATTTAATGCCACGGACCAAAAAATACTCCTTCCTATTGATTGGTTCAAACAAATAAATCATCCTTTAATCAATCGAATTATACCACTTTTTTAATATAATCTTAAATCCGCAATGATTATGTATTTTATTCTTTAATATTTTTGAACAAAATATAGTATATGCATTATGTTTGTCAGAAAACAGTTAACTATACTAAGTAGTAATGAGAAAGAAGTGAATCATTTTGTTTATCTTACCCTCTTGTGAAATCATGGCAACCAGCGAGGCTGCGACCACAGCAATGGTCAACAGCAGGCTGCCATCCATCGGCCGCCATCCAATTAATTGTTTTCTGCAGTGTATTATCCGACATTCGTGGTTGTGATGGTGATAAACCATTGCGCAATCAACCGCCTAAGCGGCAGCCTGCCAGATGTCCGAGGACTGAGACAAGGTGATGAAATTTTAATTAAAAATGGCTGCGCACTGTGTTAAAACAAAACCAAATAACATATATGGGTGGGAGTACGCGTTGTCCGTATCCTGCAGATTCCAGCGTAGGAACGTGTTTTATTAAATTAAATAAGTGGATACTGACAGACAGAACTATTATTGCCACTTGTTTTATCCCGGAAATATGAAACATAATACGTTACAATGAACCAGGATATAATTGTGGAAATATTTGAGTGAAGGGCACACATCACGCTCAACTAAAAGAAAATATAACTTAAGACTCTGCGCGTCATGAAGCGGGTCGGCGATTTCTCTTTTTGACGTATACGGCATCGGGTGCATGGCGCAATAGCTAAACAAACTGGGCAACCGAGCACAGCCCCAATATGTGTACAGCTGCGGTCAAAATGATAGTAATTGTTGTGTCTTTTCAAAAGCTTAAGCCGAAAAGCTATTTTCAACCTTAGTCTTATATGTTTTCGTAACTGTAATAACATTGATTTAAAATAAACATTGGTTGGTTTCAAAAAGATTTAGGACTTATAAACATTTATTAATTTCAAAATCATGTTTATTTTCATATACAATATTATATATAATTTCTTGTTAAGATTTTTGTTTATAGCTAAAAATAATCTTTTTACTCTAGCGTTGTTTTCATTCTAGTCTCTTAATTGCAATTATTATTATTAATTTGACCGCATCTGTATATGTACACTCTCACATAGTTTAAGATCCACGGAAAGAGACAGACGGATGGGGTGAAAGAGAGAGGGAATGGGAATGGGAATGCTTTAGCTTTGTCCCGTCTTTTGTGTGTTTAAATAATTTTTAAAGAAGCTTTAAAACTATAGAAAACTCCACTTTAGCAATATTACAAAGGCCATGAAACACATGTTTATAACAGAATTATATAAATATAGGTTTTTAGTCAGCGAAAAGGCCATTAAAATATGCTAATTACGAAATTCACACGCTTCTTTTTTTGGTAACAATGAGTCACCTCTTCGCACATATTTTAACATAGATTTGATTTTAATTTCAAGCCATTATTACTTTTATTTTAGGGTGGGATTTAGCGCCGAATTTCACATATATAGATTGTTCACAAAGCCACTGAAACTGGTATTGACAAACTTTCACGGGCTGCGTATGGGGCGATGGCGATCCCGGAGCGGGACTCGATCGACCGTTGCGTTCATTAACTCGGCGCTCTGACAAATGAATCCACAGTTCGCCCAGTCCGCTTCCAAAGCCTTCTCCCCAAACGATCACCCGAATTATTCGCTCTCTCGAGATCTCTCTCTCTCTCCCTCGCTGAAAAACAAAAAACTTGTTTGGAAGTCGCAGGAAGCGAACTTGAACTTGCTCTCTTGTGGATCGTATTTCTGTTCAAGCCCTCTCTTTGCCCTCTCAGCTTAAGCCTCTCTCAAAAAATTATTTTTTAAATCGCTAGCCTAATATAAATTGAATTATCAGTAGAAAGAGCTAGTTTCTTCAAATCGTGTAAACAAATGAGACACATTGATAAGACTATTGAACAATGTTTGAGTTTTGCTGTCTTTAGCTCATGTAGCTTTAAACTCTAAACTCTACACTGATGAAGCAATGGAAAAATAAAAAAAAATAAGTCAAATCATTAATACTAAATAAATTACACATTAAGTTGTCGAGTTAGTGCTATTACAAAATTAATTTTAGATAGTAAAACATTTATAAATACATTAAAATTGTAGAATTAGATTTTTTAATTTAATTTCTAATAATATACCAATATAAATGGAATAGTAAAAAAATATATATATGACTATTGTATTAAAAATTTTATATTTAATATTTAAAATAAATTTTAAATCATAATATTAAATACAATGCTTTAATACAAAAATATTTGAATTCAAAAAAAAATTTATATTATTTATTTAAATTATATAAATTATTTTAGTTTAATATAAAGTACTTGCATTTACCAAGTACTCAAAATAGTTAAAATGATAATCATACGTTTCACAAGCTTTAGCGCTAAGCATATCACGTCTTAGCTTCGGGATTTCCCCCATTTTCCCAGCCACAATAGAGCTTTATGCCCAGAGCCATTCATTAATCAAAGCAGTTATCTGTTTTACGACTATCCAATATCAGCGGTCGATTGCAGTAGCAGCGTCGCCAATGACAACGCCGAGGAAACTCCAAAACAACTAAACAAAGCTTTTCCGCGACAGCTTATTTACCTAAGTGCCAGCATACTTATTTATTTACCCAAATGCATCGTACACCCGAATGCGTCACGCGGATTTTCCCCTCGGACCAGTGCTAACCAAAAAAGTATTAAACCTCTTTTATTCACAAGTCTTTGCCATTTCAAAGCCTGCATTTAGCGAGAGATGTAAATTTGAAAACAAGGCAAGCTGAGCTCATGCCTTCAGTCTATTGGCGACCGGCAAAGTTTGATGTCATATATCTCGGTCGAACATAATTCTGTAGTTTATTTAAATAGTTTAATGTACGTCCAAGAAGGCTTACTTCGAGAATGTTGAGACGTAGGAATCTAAAATCAAAAAATACGTTTCGCGTCAAGTATTAAATAATTTAGTGTCAAATGTAAGTGATTCACTTTCCACCATTGTTTTCACGCTTATTATTACATGCACCCTCATAAAGGCGAATAAAGCAGTGTAGTTGCGCCGCAATTAAAATGTAATGTTCTTTTAATATTTAATTATGGCTCAAAACAACGCCACTGTTTAGTCTATGTCAATAGCTCAATTAGTGAGCTGATAACCTAACTGATAAGCTCGCCACATATGTACAAGTTTCTACAATAACTCGTTAAGAATTGAATGGCACTGATAAGACCGCAAGTTAAACAGAAATTCTACAGAACCAAAACCAAAACCAAAATAACAAGCATCAGTAGCCTCGCGTTTCTCGTCCAGAAAACTCAATGTGTCTCTCCGCGTTTCATACGTTTGCTCATCAAGAGCTCGCTCAAAAGTATATATGTATAATATAATTTCATACAGCTCATAAACAATATATGGTGGCAAAACAAATTCGTGTTCGGTGAATGCATACAAAATTGAATGAAAAAAAAGGTTTTAGAAGAAAATTACTTTTACTTTCATATGATGCCTTACTTTCATATATTTTGGTGTCTAAATTTTACCAATTGATTTTTTGGAGAACTTTACAAGTTCATACTATAAACAAAATGTAGCGCAATGCATACAAAATTGGATGTTAATAGAAAATAGCTTTTTAAAGAAAAGAACATTTATTTTCATAATAGTATTAGCATATAATCTGTTTACCTTTCATATATTTTGCTGTCTAAATTTGACCAAAAGATTATGCGGTAGAAAATCAATTTATGTTAAATAAAAGCTAAGCCTAGGACGCTTTCAAACGTAAAGGTCTGGTCGAGATAGCTCTTGAGTGTTTGGAGACTACAAGACTGCCATAAATTATAGTAGGTGTTAGTGTTAGCCAACAATGCACAGTTCAGTTCCAGCGTCACCGCATCGAGTGCAAAAGTTTTTTTTTCCGTTTTTTTTATTTCTGTTTTTGTCGGACAACTTGCACAGCTCCGACTTCACATTGGTGTTTGGTCGCGCCACATAAATGGGCCGGAATTCGGCATTTTTGCAACGGTGCAATTTACTTGCACCAGCATACAAAAAGCCTTTATGTCTGTTCTTGTGCCAAAAACTTTCGGTGTGGGAATATGTACATTTATGCTCGTCCGTAGGCCCAGCAGCCCAGCATTTTGCCATGTGTGTTTAAAACGATGGCCGAAAACCCATGAAAATGGTATGCGAAATAAAGACAAATTATTCAGATGAAAGTTTAAGCAGCATACTCTTAAAAGCATAACTAAACTGATACTCAATTATTATAATGAACTGACTTAATTTATTCCAGAACTAACAACTACTTGTAGGGATATATAATATAAAGCGAGTGTATCAGGACTGGAGTTAGCACTAGAGTGACGATGATTCAGATACTGACACATCGTCCCAACTGTAGTCCTTTAGTTGTGTTTGTGCTACTGTTAATCGACCACCGACTCTTTGTGGACTCAAGTGTTCCAGTACTTCAAAATCCTTCAGATGAGTATACCAAGTATGTTCCAATCGAGGAATTGAAATTGCCAGAGGATCAGGAATTGGTTGTCCGACTGCCGTCAAACTCACTGCTCAAATATACATCGTACAAAGATGTGTCTATTCTACATTTTGATGTGCCACCCGATTCTCGGACTGCTTTCTTCACCTTTAAAGCATTCGAGGATCCCAAAAGTGCCTTTCGTAAGTATAATCAAACTGTGCTACTGTAATTTAAAAAAAAATAACCAAAAAATTTTGTTCACTGCACTTTGACTTTAAATAAAATAATTTTCAATCTATTATTTAAGCTATTTCCATAAGCTAGAAAACTACTATTTTAATAACTGCAACTGTACAAACAATTTTTTTTTCAGAACGAAAGTGTAAGCCTAAGGATGTCACGCTGCATCTGAAGGCGAGCAGTTATCCAGTTATTAGTCCAGAAAACATAACATTTCCCAAGAACTTCTTCACCACAGATCAGAGGTAAGCACAATTTATCATAGTGACTAGAAAAACCATTATTTAAAATCCAATTATTTTAGGTTCAAGGTGTATGACCTACAATTTCTATCTGATGAGCAGCAGCAGCGTATTACTATAGAAGGACCTCACGTAGGCAACTGGTTTGCAGTGGCATTTGTGAGTTGGTCAGATCCTAATAATGACCGCATTGAACAACAGGGCAAGTATATTTAAATACTTTAAAAAGCCCTGATTAAGTTGCCAGAACAAAATACATTATTTTGGTCTTTTTAAAATATGCAAATATTTATTTGACACCCCAGACTAATAAAAACAGAAATGTTTTAGCTATACTTTGTGATATTTGCAAAATTTGACTTTGTTAGACCACAGATTAAAGCATTTTTGAATATGCAAAAATACCGATAGTTATGCTGTTTGGCTTTGTGTTTAGCCTATGAATATTTATGAATTTAATTGTGTCTTTTCAGGACTCACCGCCTCATGTGACACACTGTTGTCTGCCGAAATGTCAGTGTCCCGCTTCCGTCCGATAATCATAAATAATGGTCAGGAACAGCAGGATAATCTCACGAGCCATGTTTCACCCAACATTGCCAACGAAACCAATATAAAGGAAGGACTAAACACAACCAGACTTTTGCGTTCAGTGCCACCCAAACAGCAGAAACTTAAGCCACCAGCTGTTGTCGCATCCGAAACCCTAGCTCAAGTTCAAAACACCACGGAAAGCCACATCAACAGCACAGCGACCACCGCAAACAATGAAATCACTTACCGATTCTATGTGCCAGATGATATAGGCGATGCCATTGCCCGTATAATTTTCGATCAAGTGTGCGACGAGTGTCCGGCGGTGGGTTTTCATGTCCGTGCCAATGGATACCCACTGGTATCCGGTACGGATCAGAGTCATACTCACGGCTCCATCATCCGGCCAAACCAGACCACGGAAATCTCGATTCCGTTTGGGGTGCAGCCAAACACATGGCATTATGCTTTGCTTACCTTTGTCAGCGGGGCGGATGAAACGGAACTAACTACTGAGTCCTACAATAGCAGTGCAAATCACAGTTTATCATATTCCCTGTTAATTGATTACAATACTGAAGAGCCGGAAAAAACCAAGAGTGCTGGTAACAACACCAATAGCTCCATTCCCAATCCCTGGGAGCCAGTTAAGTTTCGACATATGAATTTTTACTCGCTGCTGCGGCAAACGTATCGCGAGTTCTTTATGTTCGACTATGATCTCCGGCCGGATGTCAATGGCACTGTGCCGGAAACCCTCAATCTGACGGCCCAGACCCATTCGGGATTCGCCTTTGATGTGGGCGAGGTGTCCGATATCGGGGGCACCCTAACCTTTGCCATTTCCATGAAGGAGGCACATCGCGCCAGCTTGAGAATGATCCAGCCAACGCAATCTCCCGATTTGGGTGGCATTCTGGCCGAGCGACTGATCGGGGATCCCAAGGAGGAGGTGGTGACCGCCACCCCTGCAACCAGCAATCAGAGCATGCAGATTGTGGTCTGCATGCAGCTGGGTGAGCCGGGCCAGCCGGAATATCCGGACAAGTGCCGCTACGGCCAGCGGCTGAATCAGGCCTCCATTGTCGTGAATCACACGGAGAACATGGGCCTGGTCCACATTCCCTTTCCCGAGAGCGGACGATGGTGAGTCTATAAACTGCTACACATTATGTTGCATGTAATCGTTTGGTCAGGTTGTAATAAATTGATTCTCTATGTGGGGGAGATTGGGGCTATTACAATTTGTAATAATTCAAAAACTGAGAACCAAAAAAAAAACATTTACATCACAAGTTAAATAATTTCGCCACAAACATTTAGCTTAAGGAAAACGGCAACTTCCTTTGCCCAATTTACTCCGTGATGAAATAGTATAACCAACATTCCTTTCCTTTCCTTAGGTACGTGACCATGGGCTTGTTCTGCCACGGATCCGGAACCGCTCGAGTGTCGATCATGGAGAGCGTAAAGGAGTTCATTAGGAAGCACCAGGACATGCTGGCCGAGATGCGATCCCCCTGTGATTGTGCGGAATCGGTTCCAAGGTATGCCGCCTGCATAAGATCACCCGAATGCCTGGGGGCGATGAACGAAACCGAGACTCTGAAAGTGAAGGAGTGCATCATGGATGACAAGTGCAGCAGCAATGGCAAGCAGATGACGCGGCTCTTTGTGGAGCACCACAAGGCGGCCATGGAGCAGCATGTGGCGCTGGAGAACTGCAACACTTCGGTGGTGTTCTCAGTATCCTCCAGTCCCTGTGTGGCTGGCAGATGTGGGCGCTTTGGGCGATGCTATCACTACATGTCCGGTGGCTTTGTCTTCTCCACTTGCGTCTGCTCGAAGGGCTACCGGGGCTGGGATTGCACGGAGGATTCGCAGGTGCCCACCAACATGTCCATCCTGCTGGCCACGCTGCTGCTCACGCTGAGCAACCTGCTCTTCTTCCCCAGCATCTACATGGCCGTGAAGAGGCGCTACTACACCGAAGGCGTCATCTACTTCTTTGCCATGTTCTTCTCCATCTTCTATCATGCCTGCGACGCTGGCGAGGATGAGTACAGCTTCTGCCTGGTGAAGATCGGGGTGCTGCAGTTCTGCGACTTCTACTGCGGCCTGCTGAGCATCTGGGTTACCTTGGTGGCCATGGCCCATGTCCGGCCGGAGTTGGTCTCCCTTCTGCATATGTTCGGGGCTATCCTGCTGGCCTTTGGCACGGAGCTGAATAAGCAGAGCTTGTGGGTATTCCTGGCGCCGGCACTCACGGGCATTTGCCTGATCTCCACCAGCTGGGGACTGAGATGTGCCAAGTCGCGGAAGGTGTTCCCCTCGCGGAGATACCTGTCGGTGTGGCTGCCCTTTGGACTCACCCTCGTCGTGGCCGGTCTAGTGTGCTACGCCTTCCTGCAGACCAAGCAAAACTACCACATTGTCCACTCCATTTGGCACATGGTGATGGCCGTGAGCATCCTGTGCCTGCTGCCCTCCAGAAAGTCCTTCCTGCCGAAGTGCTAGCATGCCAGGGAGCTCCTGCTGCTGGCCCAGGATCAGGAGTTTCACATGTGAGACAACTGCTGACTTTGTGGCAGGAGGAGATCCAAAACGTCATAGCTTTCCCGAACAATGTTACAGGACCTTAGGCTAAAACCTATTTTAGTTTTGTACAAAACAATACTCATAGAAAAGTAGTTGGATCAAAATGCACGGATTAATAGATGGATACAGAGTTACTTAATGGTTACAATGTTTGTTTACCTATCCCTTGCCATACAAATCTACTCACTAAGGCCTAAGAACCTTTTATTTCTAGTAACTATGTCAACAGCCTTACTAAATTTAATGAGAAATGCACGCCTGAAAATGTGCATCATATAATTTATAGTGTATATATAAATACTTGTTGTTAGATAAATCGCAGACTGTAAGTTTAGCTAATAAATAGGACCTACTCTAATATATTGTCTGCACTTATTTAAAATAATCAATTTATTGATATTCGATTCGAGGCAATTGATAAACAAAATATGCAAGACTTCAGTTTGTGTTTTGCTGTGTAAAACCTTTGAACAAAATTGATGGAATTTATACTTTACCAATAAAAAGATAACAGACCTTAGAATTGTGCTTGCATTATTTTTTTGGGTTGTTAAGGGTTAAATGTAAGACATAACTAAACATAAATTGAAAGTTATAAGAACAGTGAGATACAGATTAAAAAAAGCGGACAACAGATTTGTTAAGATATGATCAAATTTTCAGATTGGCTTTTACGGTAACAATAACATTTTGATTATTTTGTATATGTTTTATAAACATTTGATGACATATCTTAAACTATTCCTATCGTACACTTCCCGATCCATAGCGGATTTCCCGCTCGAATTGCTCTGCCTTTAAAGTTCCATCGATGCTTTCACAATTTTTGTTGAACACACTATAGGCACTCATCTCATTCCGTTTCTTGGGATCCGTTCGGGTATTGAAGTAGATGCCGAAAAGCGCGGAAAACATGAGGAAAACCAATCCGAAACTCAGCTTTATGGCTATCGCATAGAGAGTTATCCAGAAGAGAAGATATACCGCCCAAAGGGTGTATTTGAGACCGTTGTTTTCCCTATGATGATGATCTGTGGATCTGGAGGGGATGGTGTTTTCCTCAGGCAGCAGTTCATTTTCACTAGAGGATGCCACAGCATCATCATCCTGCGAGTTTTCAGAGATAACTTCTGCTTTTGTTGGTACCTAAAATAGGTAATTAACAGTATATAGAACATATGATTTGTTTTCCATTTGTACCTGTTGTACCTCTATGGTTGTGTCTTTGTTAGCTCCAGTGCCCAACATCCAGAATCTGCGCAACTTGTCCTTGAAGTTGTCCACAGTTTCCTTTCTCCTCTTTTGAAGGCGATATTGTCGCAGCTGCTCTTGAAAATCAGCCATAAATTGCAGCTAAAAAGATTTGCTCAAATTGTAAATAAACTAAGCTGGACGTGTCAACAGCATATCGATAGGCCGCCTGCCTATCGATATATAACAGTTCACTCTCGCTAAGTTAAGCCAAGTTAAACATATATTAATAAATTTTGATAATTAATTAATTACACTACAACTTTTTTTAGGTAAATTAATTAAGAGATTATAATTTTTTAGGATGAAAAAAAAACTAAATAGATATTAATGAAGTTCGTTAAATGAATAAGTATATGAATTGTACTACATTTCACGAAAACTATTATAAACACGAACACTTTTGTTAACATTTATTGGAAATTTTCAATCTACCATAAGAAATACTATACTTGGCAAACAATATGTTCAGGTATCAGGTATATTTTTCAATACAAATTAAAGGTATTCTTTACACCTTAAAAACCCTTCTAATTTGAAAATAGTGTATAGATTTGTTATATTATCCTACAAATTTTATTATACCCTTGCAGAGGGTATTATAATTTCAGTCAGAAGTTTGCAACGCAGTGAAGGAGACATCTCCGACCCTATAAAGTATATATATTCTTGATCAGCATCACTAGGCGAGTCGATCTAGCCATGTCCGTCTGTCCGTCCGTCTGTCCGTCTGTCCGTCCGTCTGTCCGTCTGTCCGTCTGTCCGTCCGTTTATATGCAAACTAGTCTCTCAGTTTTAAAGCTATCTGCATGAAACTTTCCCAAAAGTTGTCTTTCTATTGCAGGTAGTATATAAGTCGGAACGAGCCGGATCGGACGACTATAGCATATAGCTCCCATAGGAACAATCGGAAAAATAAATGAAAAAAAATTATAACTTTGCTGTTTTTTAATTTTTTGTTTAGTTCTTCGACATATAGCAATGGTTAAATATTTCAGAATTATGGTTTAAATTTCATCAAAATCGGACGACTATAGCATATAGCTCCCATAGGAACAATCGGAAAAATAATTGAAAAAAAATTATAACTTTGCTGTTTTTTAATTTTTTGTTTTGTTCTTCGACATAAAGCAATGGTTAAATATTTCAGAATAATGGTAAAAATTTCATCAAAATCGGACGACTATAGCATATAGCTCCCATAGGAACAATCGAAAAAATAAATGAAAAAAAATTATAACTTTTCTGTTTTTTAATTTTTTGTTTAGTTCTTCGACATTTAGTAATGGTTAAATATTTTCGATTTACGGTTTAAATTTCATCAAAGTCGGACGACTATATCATATAGCTCCCATAGGAACAATCGGAGAAATAAATGAAAAAAAATTATAACTTTTCTGTTTTTTAATTTTTTGTTTAGTTCTTCGACATTTAGTAATGGTTAAATATTTCCAATTTACGGTTTAAGTTTCATCAAAGTCGGACGACTATATCATATAGCTCCCATAGGAACAATAAAAATATATGAAATAACTATCAAATAATTGAGCTGCAAATCATCATAGCTTCAATGTTTTTAAACTTATACGCAAGTAAATTATAATTTTAATGTTTTCAAAAATGTTTAATTCTTGCAATAGCTGCAAGGGTATATGAACTTCAGCTTGCCGAAGTTTGCTTTCTTTCTTGTTTTTTTTTCTTTTCTTTGTAAAAATTAAATACCTTTTATTATAGCTTAAAAAACATGTACCTTACCTTTAAATTATATTTAAATATATATACATAAATAGTTTAAAGGCTTTATGTAGCAAGCCTTGTCGATAGGGTCGCTTCAAGGTGTCTTGTTAGTCAACATACCCCAAAGCAAACAACTATGTCGACATGAGGCTCCTGGATTTATGTCAGTAAGCCACAAGTGGCATTCCGTTTTCACACATTTAATAATCATAAACATTAGAGGGTAAACAAATAAACATAATATTTTTTGTTGAAAAACTAAAGCTAGTGCAAGTAAGCCTACAGTTGATGTTGATTACATTCATCAACAACTACTGCCCCATAGAGTGTTCCTCTCCAACAAAATAAATGTTTACTTCTAAAAGTGATGGAAATTTTAATTTTACTCAAGATAATATACCCCTGTATTTTTTTTTTCTGATATTCTTCCTAATTAAAAAGGTGTCCAAGAGATAATATTTTGAGCAGGTGTGAAATACTGGGAATAAAGTTGTATATTACTCACTATGTAAGTGAGTTAATAGAAATTTAATTAGACAGTCTTAGGGTACCAAATAATTTGTTAAACAGTGTCATTACAAGCGAATTTATGGCAGCACCTGGAGACGAGTGAAACCAACCTTTGCATTATTTGCTCTAATGAATTGAAAAAACGTAATAAACGCGACAGTTCCGGTGGGTGGGAGGTTTGGTGGGGACGATCTTCTTTTTAAAGACTCACAGTCGTAGTGAATGAGTGATACACATTTGATAAATAAACAAAATATCATCTAGACCCCAATTATCTTTATTGTTCTGTCTGATAACCCAACCTCTAGGGGCGTCCTCTATCACTCGAATCAAATTCCGACACTGCCACTGCTTTTATACGCACCCCAACTCGGGATCTTCTTCAGTTTTAGTTTGTCGCAGGTTCGGGAATGCCAGAAATCTTAATAGTCAATCTAAAGTATCAAAATGAGTGCGGAATTGGGCCAACAAGATGTTGAGTCGAAGCCAACAACGTCCAGAGATCCAAATGCTGGACATGAATATGAGGAAGTGCTTCAATTAATCGGTAGCTCAAATGTCCTTTAAAAACTTGGAATTCCTTATTAAACTTTGTGTGTTAATTAATTTATCAAAGGCTTCGGTCGCGTACAGTGGATCGTCCTTTTGGCGGCAGGACTACTCCTGATGATGGTCATAAACGAGACCATGGGCATGTCCTATATAACGATTGTGTCCCAGTGTGATTTTGAAATGAATTCCATGGACAAGGCGATCATGAGTGCTGCCAGTTTTATTGGTGAGTGAGCCTTTTCCTTAGCGTTTCGCTTTCGCATCACATAAGTTATTGTAAAAACGTTATCTTTCACGTTTAAACGGTCTTTACTTCACGTGAGCTTTAACTACTTTTCAGGCATATTCTGCTCGTCCTACTTTTGGGGCTACCTAAGTGATACTATTGGTCGAAGGCCCATATTGATATATACCACGATCGCCGGCAATGTGTTATCCTTGTGCTCCACAATTATTCCAAGCTATGGGCTTTACGTTTTCACTCGCTTTGGCGTTGGATTTTTGTAAGTATTTAATACTCAATTTAAATATTCTTCGCTTTGATTTCCATCCATTGTGGTTTTAAGTTATTTTAAAAATTAAACATTTTTTTATTTTTGTAATATATTTTTTGACTAACTGCGGAATAGATTTTATTACAAAAAAATGTACAAAACCATATTAAACTTAATATTAATCCTTTTTAATCCATTTTAAATCTAACATGTTCTACATTAACTTAAATATTTTACTTTTTGATTATTTAATTTAATTTTGAATTAAATAGCTAGATATTTACTATTCCATTTTCTAAACAGTGTACTGCATTTAAGCTAAAGCAAACTCAAAAACTCAGGATTATTCTATGTTTATCAACTGGTATCAGATAAATTTATAACATTAATTTATGCCAGGGATGTAAGTTTATTCCGAACCAGTCCTAACCCATCTTTGTCGCCTTTTTCCTGGTCCTAAGCATTTAAAAAAAACAACTATTGTTTTATCTTTAGATAACATAAGGATTTATTAAAACTAATATAACTACAAATCTAAACTTCAAGGGATATAAATTTATCCGAACCAGTCCTAACTGAACTAAACCGTTTTTTTTCAGGTCTTAAGCTCTGTAACTATTTTATCTAAAGTATTATCTAAAGATTTAGGTTTAGTAAAACTTGTGGAAGTATGATCCACTTGTATTTCCATACCCAAGTGTACTACATTTTCTAATCTTCTTTTTTGTACAGTATAGCAGGAGCATCATCAACGACCTACGCATATCTTGGCGAGTTCTTTACTCCTCGTCATCGTCCAATCGCTATTAATTATGCCAGTCTTTTCGTGGGAATTTCAACCGTTTATGTTCCTGGTAATTATTATAAGCTTAATTCTTTTAGGGAAATTAAGTGAAAGAAATCGCCCATTATAGCTACTGCTTGGTTGATCCTTTCAATGGATTGGAGTGTAAGTGTTACGGAGGACTTGTCATTTCGTCCTTGGCGACTGCTGACAATTTGCTATATGCTGCCCGGAGTCATAGGAACTATCATGTTGTGGACCCTTCCCGAGAGTCCCAAGATCCTAATGTCCTTGCATAAAACTGAAGAGGCTTTTGCAGCTGTCGATTGGATTGCAGTTACGAATTCTGGCAAACACTTGCATGAATTTAAGGTTCATAAACTGAAAACGGAAGCAAATGCAGACGGAGAAAATATATTACTTATATCTAAGTCAGCGTGAGTGAAGCAATATAAATATTATAATTATTTAGATAAAAACTAAGCCGTTTATTGTAGGTTTACCACCGTCAAGAAAATGTGGAAGGAAACATTGCCCCTTCTGAAAAGACCTCATTTAGTTAACTTCGTAATAAGCTGTACAATTATGTGTGGTTTATTTTTCAGGTGAGTAATCATTATTATTATTTTGATTTTAGTTTATCTAATTAATTTTTTCTAAACAGTTCTTCGGGAATGGGGCTTTGGTATCCAGAAATACAAAATCGTTTGGGTTCGAATGCCGTCGATGATTCAATGACAGTTTGTGAAGTTATTGATGCATCAATTGATCAAATGCAGGCTAATGCAACCAATAAAGTAAGTAGTTATATTTTTATTTATATTCATAGGTTAAAAACCTAATATACAGATTCGAAAACCACATTAGTAGACTATATTTAACTCTCTTAAATAACTTTGCAGATTTGCGATGATCATATAAACACCAAGAGTTACATAGACACGATCACCTATGGATCGGCCTTGATTGTGGGCTATATACTGATGGGTCTGGTGATAAACACAATTGGTCGAAAGGCCTCAATTTCCATTGGTCTTACGCTGGCCGGAGCCTGTGCAGTGGCCTTGATCTTCATTAAGGACGAGGTCGTCATTGTGGTTTGCTTCTGTTTATATCTGGTACTGCCAGGACTTTGCGTATCGATCCTGAGTGGTGCCGTCGTCGATCTTGTGCCCACCCACCTGCGCGGAAAAGCCGTCTGCATTTGCCTAATGCTGGGACGAACGGGCAGTGTTTTTGGCAGTAATATCATCGGAGTTCTACTGGAGTCGTATTGCTCTCTTACCTTTGGGGTCTTCTCTGGATTCGTTCTGGGTGAGTAACATCGAATTAAACATTAAAACTAAACATTTAATGAATGTTAAACATTGATAAGATTTTCTAATGTGCTATATATTTATTATATCTTTACAGTGTGTGCAAGCTTGACGTTACTGTTACCCATTTGAGATTTGCCATTATAGTTTAAGTAATTTAATTTATTTTTAATTTAGATTTTATTACAATAAATATTATAGTCAAAAGAAATAATATTCTTTTTTTCCCTATAACATTTTTTAAAACTTCCTAAGCAAAGAAGATAAGGTAAATTGCCTTTTCACATTGTACTATTATATACTGCCTAATCTTTAATTATACGAGTACAAATTTTATTACTACTGTTCTTCAGGCCACTGAAATTAAAGTTAAATGGAGCAGCTTTTTTTTTATTACCTTGTTCTTAAAAAAGAGACTGGCACTCCCTCAATTAAAACCGGATAAGTCAAGCAAACCACACTTTTACAATGGACATTCAATTGTGATGTGATTGGAAAATGTTTTTAACTTTCTGTAAGTAAAGAATTCTACTGTGCTCAAGTCAAGGTACCAAGATGAAGTGAACTACACCCACAGCATTTTAAACGTAAACAAAGCATGTTTGGGCTCTCTCCAGACCAGTTTGCATATAAAAGCGAATGCGTTTGATCTCTCGGTAAAATGCCTAAAGTGAAACAAAATTGCAAATGTTTTCATCTCAAAACTGGTTTGTATGCGGTTCACATGTCGCTCAGTGTTCTAAGGGGTTATTAGAATACAATGCTTAAAGGCAGGTGCTTTACAAAACTTCTGTCCAGTCGAAAAGTATCTTAGGCATGTCAAGATGCACAGTCCACTGGAGAGCAATACTCTCGGTCCCAATGTGTGGGACTATGATATGATATTGGAGAAGATCGGTAAGTTATTCACAAATTGCCACTTAATTTAATGATCTTGATATTGGGGATTATTTGAATGTTAGGTTATGGAAAAACGCAGTGGATACTTTTGCTGGTCAGCGGACTATTGACAATCACATCCGTTGCCGCCCAACAAGCTATGAGTATTATTGTGATTGCCTCTCAGTGTGAATTCGAAACCACACAGGCTGAGAAAGGCGTGATGATGGCTGCTAGTGTTACAGGTGAGTCAAGTTTGAGGTCTATGTGGGGGTTTCACAGCACACACAATAGAATATTCTCATATCTCACATATATCAGGCATCTTCTTATCGACCTATATATGGGGATACATCAGCGACGATATCGGGCGCCGGAAAGTTCTACTTTATGGTAATTTCGCTAGCAATGCCCTGCAGTTTGTACTAATGGTCGTCACAAGTGTTTGGCTATTTAACATTATTAACCTTCTTGTTGGAATAAGGTGAGTGTAAATAAACGATTGTGGTAAAAAAAAATTATTTTAACTTTTTAGCCAGTTAAAGTGGATTCTCCAAGTCAATTGCTTTTCTTACTAGTACATTTAAAGACATTACATTTGACACAAGATTTAACAATGTTTTATAATTAATTCAAATTTAAACACAGTGTCGGTGCAGTGTCAGCAGCACTTTATGCATATCTGAGTGAATTCAATATACCCCGACATCGAGCTGTGGCCATTAATTATTCCACAATGTTTGTTAGTGTTACAGCAATATATGTTCCAGGTATGCAAGACTATTTATAGATTGTATGTGAATTATGTATTGATGTATATTAACCCTTTAATCAATTTAGCAACTGCTTGGCTAGTGCTTTCGTCCAACTGGGCAATCACCGTAGGCGATTTTGTGTTTCGACCATGGCGCTTATTGTTGTTAGTTAGTCTGCTGCCAGGACTCATTGGCGGTTTAATATTGCTATATTATCCTGAAAGCCCTAAGTTATTGCTGTCGCAAGATAAGAATAAGGAGGCAATGGAAGCTGTCTCATGGATTAGTAATTTTAACCGAGGAAAGCCAATTCATCAGGTCTAAAATTGTGATGAATTCACCCTGAAATCAGAAGATCCTGCTGGCGAAAATTTGTTGGCCGAAAGCCAAGGATGCGGTATTTTATCTAAAATTTGTAAAGCAACAGTTCCACTTTTCCACAAACCCCATGGATTTAATTTTGTCCTTTGCAATTTGGCTTTATTCGGCATGTTTTTCAGGTAAGCTATGGGTGTTTGTTATTGAATTTATATTATGTGAATTGTTTTTATTTTATTTATTTCTTAAGTTCAAATGGCATGCAGCTTTGGTTTCCGGAAATTGTTAATCGCTCATCAGGTGCTGAAAATAACTCTTCTACGGTGTGCGAAATACTAAGCGTGCCCATGGAAAGCCCTAATGTGACAGAAACTTTGGTAAATGTTTAAAATGTTTTATAATTGTATTGTATTTTACATTTGTAGTTATTTTCATTTAAGGGCTGCACAGATCATATTTCCAGCAAAACCTATATTGATAACCTGATTGTGGGTTTTGCCTTTTTAATTGGATTCTCCATTCAAGGACTGATTCTAAATCCTTTGGGTCGAAAGAATGTACTTTTGGCTGCCCTCGGACTCGCAGTATTGAGTGGGATTTTACTACATTTTATGGAAAATACCACAGGAGTTCTATTACTCTTTTGCCTTTACATTCTTTTGCCGGGACTTTCAATTTCAATTATGATAGGCGCCATTGTTGATCTGGTTCCGACAAACCTTAGGTAAATAGTAATCCTTTTTACTAATATTATTATTTAATTTAATTACACACTTTTACAATTAGATCAAAGGCAGTCAGCTTTTGCATGTCCATGGGGCGACTTGGAATTATTGCAGCCACAAATCTAATGGGAGTTATGCTGCAACCTTATTGCAATACAACCTTTGCCATGTTTACTTGCACCCTTATTGGTATGTTATTTATACTGTCTTGGATAAAATCTTTTTTAATTATTTATTTATATTTCAGTGTGTATTGTTATCGTTCATTATCTGCCGATTCGAAACTCTGCTTAATTAGTTTTCTACCTTTCTCTTCAACTTTTCGTCGATTTGTTATGTTCAATGAATAAATTTCTTAAGGAATTGTAATTTTGTTTAGATTTTTTAAATGAATGGGTTTGCATGCCAAAGAATAGCATACCTAGAATAGTGACCCTGATGAGCAGTTTTGTTCAAACTTGGAAATTCAAAGTAGTCGATTTTGTTACGGCAATGTTAAATCGTTGTCTTCCTAACATTCCTATGTTAGATCTAACATAGGCAGCGCTGCGGCAGAAAAAAAGCAGAGTAGAGATGGGAAAACATCAATAAGACCGATGTTTTGAAAACATCGATGACATCGATGTTGGCATCGATGTTTCTTCACCTCTGTTTGCAAGTTCTAAACGTACGTATCCAATTTAACCGGAAAGTCAAGAAGGGATTATGGCGCCTCCGGCTGCGCGGGCTCGCTACATAGCCAACAAGGCGGACAACCAGATTCTCTCGAAGAAGCCTCCAAAACGACTGGGCCTGAATGGCAACAACAAAACGAAGGAAGGTGGTGCTCCACCGGCCGGCAACAACAAAAAGGAAAAAGATGCCAAGAAGCGGTAGGTTGGAGTCAATTTCGTCTTGGATACCAACTTACTCCTGCTCCCCACAGCAAACAATCCGCGAGTGGTGGCCAGGAGAAGGGCCAACCCAGTGCCCATCCCATTATGCCCAGTGTGCAGACCGCCTTCAAGACTTTCGTGAGTGCCCGATTGTGTAGCGCCATTTGGGCGTACATAGCCGACTGCGATGAGACCTTCAACTACTGGGAACCGCTGCACTACATCATCAATGGCCATGGACTGCAGACGTGGGAATATAGCCCACAGTTTGGCCTGCGATCGTATACCTACCTACTGCTGCAGGGTGTGCCCGGCTACTTTTACCAGAAGATGTTCAATCCCAGCCCCATTCTCATATTCTACATGGTGCGATGTATGTTGGGTTTTGGCTGTGCCTTGATGGAGCGATATATGTACAAGTAAGTCCAGCTGGAGGAGCAGCAATCCCTTTCAGAATGGTTGATAGCCCAAACTGCCTTACAGGTCCATTTGCCAGGAGTTTGGCATACACATAGGACGCCTCTGGCTGATCTTCCAACTCTTCAGTGTGGGCATGTTCGTGTCCAGCACAGCTCTACTGCCCTCCTCCTTTTCAATGTACTTAAGCTGTGCTGCCTTGGCCGCGTGGTGGCAGAAAAACTATTGCTTTGCCATTTTCCTCACAGCAATATCAGCTCTACTTGGTTGGCCATTTGCAGCTCTAATTGGCATTCCGTTTGTGCTGGAGATGCTGCTAAGACAGCGAGATTGGCGAACCTTTGTCCAGTGGACACTGATTTCGGGCGCCACCATTGGCATTCCCATGATTGCCATTGACACGAGCTACTTTGGCAAGCTGACATTTGCTCCTCTGAACATTGTATGGTACAATGTGTTCACCAGTCATGGACCCAACATCTTTGGCACCGAGCCACTGAGCTACTACATCATCAATGGTTTCCTCAACTTTAATATTATATGGGTAAGTGGAAACTCTTATCTTCTAGGAGCTCTTTTCACACATAGTTTATCCATCAGCTCCTGGCCTTACAACTGCCCATCATGCTGGTCGTGGACTATCTGATTGTGCCGGCCAAGTCGAAGTCTACGCTGAATTTCCCCCACTACATCTCGCTGGCTCCCCTTTATTTGTGGCTCCTGGTCTTTTTTGCCCAACCGCACAAGGAGGAGCGCTTTCTGTTTCCCGTTTACCCACTAATCTCCCTTTGTGGAGCCATCACCGTAGATGTGTATCAGCGCATATTCTTTCGCCTCAAGTCGCTGGTGTTTAAGATCAAGGCGGGAGTTCATTATCTGGACCACAGTATGTTCATTGCCATACTGGTGATGGTGACTAGCACTTTGCTGGGGCTTTCACGGGTATTTGCCCTGTACAGGAACTACCACGCGCCCATGGATTTGATGCTGGAGCTGAACCAGTTTAAGGCGACGCCGCAATACAACCCGGATTTGATATACAATGTGTGCATAGGCAAGGACTGGCATCGCTATCCGGGCAGCTTCTTTTTCCCGGCCAGGAATTTCCGCTTGCGCTTCCTGAAATCCGAGTTTCGCGGCATGCTACCCGCCTACTATGTGAGTGGCCCCAATGCCACCCAGGTGATGCATCCGTACTTCAACGATCTCAACCAGGAGAATGAGCACATGTACTTCGACTACGACAGTTGTGATTTCCTGGTCGACTTCGATGAGGGCAAGTACACGCCCTTGGAGCCGAACTACTCGAAGCGATCCAAGGAGTGGTCGGTGATGAAGAGCCTGCCCTTCCTCATTCCGGAGAAGTCGCACAAGGTGCTGCGCGCCTTCTATGTGCCATTCCTGACCGACAATCACATTCAGTATGGAGACTTTAACCTACTCAAGCGCAAGACGAAACGCAACGGCAGGTAAAGGCAGGCCGTTTGAAAAGCATTTTATCCTTAGCAGATGGGGTGGCTGACTTTTGTTTTTAACACAAAATTTTAAATTCTTGAGTAATTCCAAACATGTTTGATAACTTATGCTATAGCTTTAATATCACGTTCATATTGAAGCCACGGTATGTTGCCACCCCAGTGAGCCTTTCTGGATTTGTTTTAATCCTGTCTATCCGACACTGAAATGTAAAATCCTTCCTACTATTTGTTTTAATCCTAGTTATTTTTGTTTTGTCCATGCCAAAGTTGTGAAGATCACCAGAGAATCGAAGTAGAACTTAAGCCTCATCAAAATATAAACAGCGAGATTCGTAAGCAAAACTATTTGCATGGAAGGGGCCAACGAGCTTGAATGGTCGAAAACTTTATTGGACGGATCCACACTTAAAAACTGGGAAGCAAAACTTTACAATGGAAATCGCATGGACTTAGCCTAGATCTAGATCGTGTGTTGGGTCTGTTTACAATGCTATATTTGGTCTACTCAATGTACATACACGTGTGCGCGGGACTAAACCTAATCCTAAACTGACTTAGCAGCGATATTTACAAGCTCTGCTGTGGCGCAGTTCTAAAAGTAGACCGTCAAGTTGTTCTCCGAGGAGCCCATGGCATCGGTGGCGGATAGAAGATTCGAGCCCGCATTGGCCGAGTTGGTGCTGGTGGTTGTGATGGTGGTGACCCCGCCACCTGCCGCTCCCGTACCTGTTGCCACCTTCCTGTTGTTATTCTCCGTCTGCAGGGAGTCGTGCTCGATCTCGTCCTCCTCGAAAAGCTGCCCGTTGGCGGAGGCGCGCGATACTATGCCTGGCAAGAAGACTTTTAATAGTGAATGTTTCGGGTGAGATTGGGGCTTTAGTTTGGGAAATATAAGGGATGCAAATCTGGTTTACTTATATTTAGTTTCTTTTTTATACCCTTGCAGAGTGTATTATATTTCCAAAATTTTGCAATGCAATGAAAGAGACTTCCGATTTTTAACAAGAATATATATTCCTAATCAGTGAGAAATCAACATAACTTTATAGTTGTTAAATATATAATTCTGTAATACCTGCAAGGGTATATAAACTTTGGCTGGCCGAAGTTGCATTCTTCCTTCTTTAATTTTTAACTTCTTTTGCTTTAAATGCCATCGGAAACGACTTGCATCCTTGTGAAAGGATATAGATTTACTGCCACTTACTGCGCACTGTGGCCGCATAGCTCTCCCGCTGACGATCCCGCTCCCGATCCCGATCCCGCTCCCTTTCCCGCTCCAACAGGGCGACGGAGCTGCCGAGGGCCATGCTACTACTGGCCCCACTGGCCACATGATGCAGGCCATTGTTCATCGGATTGGCCATGGTGATGTTGCCGCCGTGCTTCATGTGCAGCACGGAGACCCCACCGCTCGTTACACTGGCACCGTTGCCGTTGCCGTTGCCATTGCCATTCCCGGCCAGCTTCTCGTGGGTAACCAGATTGGCCGAGGACACACTGCTGTGCGCCTGGCTGTGCACCCGATTCCGGCCTAGACCCAGTCCGCTGGCGGCACTCTTGCCCTGCTTTCGAGAGCGCACAATGTAGCAGCTGAGCGCCACAATGATCATTAGGAAGAGGCCCATGATCATGCCGAACATGCCCAGCATGTTGCTGTTCCAGCCGGATTGGGCCAAGGTCAGGCCCTCCATGGTCACGCTCACCGGAACGGAGGTGCTCCTGGGCGGCACGCCGGTGTCCGTGGCGATGGCTATCAGATGGACCGTGGACTCATTCAGACTCTGCAGCTGCTCCGGCCGCATGTAGATGTTTCCGGTGGCATCGATCTCAAACAATCCCGCATGCTGGCCACGCAGCGAGAGTTCCAGCTTGTCGTTGCGATCCCCGTCAGCTGCCTCCACTTTGCCGATGAGCACGCCCTCAAAGGAATCCACGCGGGATTGCAAGGATTGCTGAAAGGGAGAAGGATAAAAAGGTAAGGTTAAACACTTAATATGATATGCCTTTCATTGAATGAATAGCAATGAAAACAAGAAAGAAAGCAAACTTCGGCAAGCCGAAGTTCATATACCCTTGCAGCTATTGCAAGAATTAAACATTTTTGAAAACATTAAAATTATAATTTACTTGCGTATAAGTTTAAAAACATTGAAGCTATGATGATTTGCAGCTCAATTATTTGATAGTTGTTTTATATTATTTTATTGTTCCTATGGGAGCTATATGATATAGTCGTCCGACTTTGATGAAACTTAAACCGTAAATTGGAAATATTTAACCATTACTAAATGTCGAAGAACTAAACAAAAAATTAAAAAACAGAAAAGTTATAATTTTTTTTCATTTATTTCTCCGATTGTTCCTATGGGAGCTATATGATATAGTCGTCCGACTTTGATGAAATTTAAACCGTAAATCGAAAATATTAAACCATTGCTTTATGTCGAAGGGCTAAACAAAAAAGTAAAAAACAGAAAAGTTATAATTATTTTTCATTTATTTTTCCGATTGTTCCTATGGGAGCTATATGCTATAGTCGTCCGATTTTGATGAAATTTTTACCATAATTCTGAAATATTTAACCATTGCTTTATGTCGAAGAACATAACAAAAAATTAAAAAACAGCAAAGTTATAATTTTTTTCAATTATTTTTCCGATTGTTCCTATGGGAGCTATATGCTATAGTCGTCCGATTTTGATGAAATTTAAACCATAATTCTGAAATATTTAACCATTGCTATATTTCGAAGAACTAAACAAAAAATTAAAAAACAGCAAAGTTATAATTTTTTTTCATTTATTTTTCCGATTGTTCCTATGGGAGCTATATGCTATAGTCGTCCGATCCGGCTCGTTCCGACTTATATACTACCTGCAATAGAAAGACAACTTATTGGGAAAGTTTCATGCAGATAGCTTTAAAACTGAGAGACTAGTTTGCATATAAACGGACGGACAGACGGACAGACGGACAGACGGACGGACAGACGGGCGGACAGACGGACAGACGGACATGGCTAGATCGACTCGCCTAGTGATGCTGATCAAGAATATATATACTTTATAGGGTCGGAGATGTCTCCTTCACTGCGTTGCAAACTTCTGACTGAAATTATAATACCCTCTGCAAGGGTATAAATATGCGTTGTACTTTCTCAAAAATATGAATAACAATGTTAAACTATAACTTTACTTGTTTGGATATTAAACAATACTATAATTATTAGGAACTGCACTTTAGCTTTAGGCCATAGTAGTGTAATCCCTACATAATAATGAGTTTATCACCAAATTGAAGGAAATACATTTAAGAAACTGGGATTAGAAAATGTTACTTATAATTTTGAAAAAATCCAAAAGAGTTCAATAGGTTGTGTCAACTTGTTTGGACATAAAATATTACTAAACATGCTAGGGAGAATACTTGAGCCCCAGCTCATATTATAGTAGCCTCCATTTCGTTCGGATCTCCCAAGATACTCACGCTCTTGGGCACCATGAACTCGTAGTGGGTTTCCCGGAAGCGCGGCTCCCAGTCGTTGACGTCGATCACATCCAGCGTGAGCTCGGCGGTGCTGTTGGTCATTCCATCGGTGGCCTGCACCTGGAACTCGTGCTTAGTCATCTTCTCGTAGTCGAGTGGCTTGGCCAGCACCAGTTCGCCCAGTGATCCGACGGTGAAAAACTGGGAGTTCACCGGATCGGGAATGGTGTACTTCAGGTGTTTCCCGGGCTTATTGGTGGGCAGAGCCAGGATGCGATTGCCCACGGCCGTATCCTCGCGGATGCGCATCACGAACCGCTTTTGGACGAAAGCCAGAGTGCTGAGATCACTGTGGCTGCCAGGTCGCGTCAACTGGACAGTGGTCAGGGCATAGCGGTCGGGATTGTCGATCTGCGTGGCCTTCACCACCAGTGTGGCGCCATTGGCCACGTCCGCATATCCAATGGGGGTCAGCAAACTGATGGCCCCGTTGTGCGGATGAATGCGGAAGTACTTGGCGTCCTGCGACTGGACTATTGTGTACTGGATGGGCGCACAGATGCCCTCGTCCTGGTCCACCGCCTTCAGCGGCTCCGGCCGCATGCGCAGCTCCCCCGGCCTGCCATCCACTGGTATCTCAGCGCTGTACGACTCTCGCTGGAACTTGGGGTTCTGGTCATCCGCATCCGTGATGACCACCCGCAGCAGCGTATCCGAGTGACGGGGCGGTGTGCCCTGATCCTGGGCCCTCAGCTTCACGGTGAAGTTTTGCAGCTGCTCGTAGTCGAGGGCCTTCTTCAGCACCAGCGTGCCCTCCAGCGGATTGAGGAACTGCACGTATTCGGAGTAGGGTCCCGGCAGCACCTGGTACTCCACCGTGGAGAAGGGGCCCGGCTGGTCGGCATCCTCGGCACGGGCTCCTTGAAGAATCCTCGTGCCCGGCACCGTCACCTCCGAAAGGGTCAAAGTGTAGGGGGTGCCGATCCACTGGGGGGCATTGTCATTCACATCAGTTACTCGCACATTCACGGGAATGACGAAGCTCTGTCGGAATAAGAACAGGGAAAAATTGAGTTAGCAATGGCTACATTTAGAAAAATAGATTTGTGATTGTCTCACATTTAGAAGTAAATATGCAAAGATTCAAAGTAAATATTGGCTATACTTCAACAGCCAATAAATATTTTACTTTCATGTCTCTAACATTATTGTAGGTATATAAAAGCAAACAATCTTTTTTTATAAAATGTGCTTAAAATTACAATAATACCAAGAACTATTCTACCTTTAATTGCTAACTAGCTGTTAATAAGTACTATAAGAATCTAAAATCCAAACGATGGTTACATTATCTAATTTGAAATCATAATAACCGACTTCAAATGGTCTCGATTTGGTTAACCTTTTTGCAAGTGTAACTTAAGCAATTTTTCGAGTATGTGCACTTCAAGCAAACACCTTTTTTTAGCCCATGTGCTGGTCACTGACCTCCGGGAGTTCAAAGCCCAAGCACGCCGCCGAATGTCCTGCATACATTTGCATGTTTAGCGGACGTCTCGCCCCAAACCAGGACATCCCCATCCCCATGCCCACATTTCTACCCGCAAGCGGAAGCCCTAATGGCTAATTTATGGCCACCAAGCTGGGGCTAACCACAGGCGCCAAAAGGGGTTCACTCCCTGGTGCTCCTCCTTCGTGGATAACTCCTTGACTTGCAGCTGCAATGCCAGCAGTTGATGGAGCTGAAGTTGAAGCCACCGTTTTGTTGATTCTTAAATTGAAATGGGCGTTCATTGTCTGGCAAAAGTTTTCAATTGTTTATAGAGTTCCTGGAACAACCGCAACGCCACAAGCAATAGAATCGTGTTTACCGAAATTTTTAACAAGCTTAGCTGGCCCCAGGGAACACGCACTTCTAGGCTGAAGAAGGTGGCAACTTGGCTCGGTATATAGGTTAATTGGTTGCCCCTTGCACGAAAGGGTCCTTTGGAAAGTGGCCGACACAAGGAACTCCACTCCAAGGAAATGCGGTCGATGTGGGCCACTGACCAGACCGTCTGATTAATTGCGGCGTTAACCTGATCGACAAGTGCTTAGCTTAGCCACCACCTTTGCAGGTTCCATTCGCTATGCCAGCTATATTGATTCCCATTAAGCTAGCCACCCTACCACCCTACCTACTTGTTCTTCCTTTCAAGAAATTGTACTTTCTTCTCAGCATGGTTTATATATCAGCTTTAATGACTATCATTATGGTAGCTGTAACTGATTCGTATCCACCCTAGTTGATAACGTTTTTCCCCGATTCAATGTTATTATTGTTCACAATATGGAATCCACTAAAATTTTCCTACTAAAGAATATAAAATTTCTTACCGGATCAGTTGAATGTCGTCGTACGCATATGACATTCACGTAAATGGACGAAGGTCCTCTTACACCCTCCTTGTCCAGTTCGACCGCTAGGGCTAGTTCCTTGGTGCCGGCATGAATCTCTACAGGAGCATTCTTTTCCCTCAGCGAAAGGTTTATGTCCCCTGTCTCTGAATTGGGATCTCCGTTGATCCTTAACTTGCCAATAATCGAACCCACCGCCAGATCCTCGGTGGCCAGAAAACTTTCTGCGGATCCACCGCCCTCGAGATAGCAACGTGAGTCCAGAATAGCTCCAAAAGCGGCTGAAAAAATTAGAAAATGGGGCGCTTATTATCATAATTCTCCAAGTTTAAATCCATTCTTTAAGTTCATAGTTTCGACACTCCAAAAAGATACCTTCTATCCTATCTTACAAGCTAGGACTTATTTTTATCGTAATGTTTGGTATTCAAAAAGAAGCAATGAAATAATAATAGTATTATCATAATTTTCCGAAAAAAGAAGGTACATCTTTCAAGCTATGTAGGCCTTATTTTGATTATAATCATATATATACTCACAATTTTTAACGGTTAAATCATTTATATAAGTTATGAATTTCAATTTTCCGAAAAAGAAGGTATATCGTGAACTTCCTAAAACAACTCACTTTGAAGACTTTGGGGCTTAAAAATAACTAATATCACTATTTCAGTATGTTTTTGCAATTCTGTGCGTACTTTTGGCCTACAAACTATTGTACCAAATGCAAGAAATCGAACTCTCTCCCTTTCAGGCTTACTTTCGGTCCGTCCTGATAATTGCAAATTAAAAGTAAATTGCAGGTGGACAGATGGACAGGTGGAGGAAGCTACCACAGAGAGTTGGTCCGGCTGGTCCAGTGTTTGTGTTTGTGTTTGGTCTTGTGTTCCAGTGAGCCAGCTGTCCGAATCCGAATGCGGATCGCCAGATTCAGACATGTTTGCTCGTACCTCGGATACGCTCTACTAAGCTTCCGTTTTCTTTCATTTCGAGTGCTGCAATTTTCGGCCAGAGCAACCAACGAGGGTCCAAGTCTAAATGGATCCATGTGAGCACATGTAAACCTGGCAACTGGCAACTGGCCACATGGAACATCTCTCCTCCTCTCGACTCCTCTTTTTGGCCGATTTGCAGCTGATTTTCGTTTCCGGACAAGCTCTGATATCTAATTGTGTTAGTGTGCAATGGTTAATGGGCAAACTTGGTACGGTCATGCAAATTGTTGCCCTCCTTGTATGCAAATAAATCGGTGGCCGTATATTTGCAAAGAAAATGAATAGAATGTAATTTCATTTCTTGCTAATTTTGAGAGTTTTACTTTATTTGACCCATTTTATTATCAGTGAAGGGGGAGTACAAAGCTATCTTACAAAATGTCGAACCTTTTGCCTAAATTAGGTAAGCAAATATGTGGCTAGTTTTACCTACCTAGGTATGAATCTGGTATGTTATACCATTGGAAAAATCAGATATAGGTATTTAGGTTCTGTACTATTTTTATAAATTTTTTTTTTTCGAATTAGCTTGATACCACTAAATTTATATAAAATTTATTATTTATTTTCGCAAATGCCCTTTACCTTAGTCGATAGAACTAATACCTTTCCCAAAACTCTTCAATATACTCCTGCGTTCGTGTTACTTTAACTGGTATTATATTTTTGTGGTTTTTTGATTAGTTCTTTTTTTCTAAAGTGACATTTATAACAAAATTATTCAAGTCTTAGTTGTGTGGTGTCTCTTTAAGTGAGGGACCAATTACTTAACTCCCATGGGAGCATGACATAACACCTTTTTTGGTCAATGCAATTATAAACTCTCCCAAGTATTTCCCTTCAAGTGTTCCGGTTTCCCCTTCGACCACCTGACCACCTGAAGAACAAGTTCTTGCTATGTGTTAACAGTATAATTGTTCTGGTAAACGGTTGTTGGTTTCCAAATGGTTCTTGCTTTGCAATGACCCTGACTCTGGGTCGCCAGTCATCTCCGGCGGGATTTTCTCCATGTGGCTTATAGTACAGATGAGATATGGCGGAGTGAAATCTTCTACTTGTTTTTTTTTTTCAAGATCTCTGTTGTAGGTTAATTGTTGTGACATTGGGCAATGCTCACATGGCAATGAAGATCTCAATTCGTGGACTTTCTTCGACAGTTAAAAGTGTTTTTTGGAAATTAGTCTAATTGCTGCGGATTTATTACAAAATCTCTCAGATGTGTGCTGATAGCTCACGTACATAAACTACATGCACGACGTTGCGGAGAAAATGGAAAGTTTTTGAATCGGGACTACGCACTGGCATCCGGCTGTAAACCAAAAACATATTTCGATTACCCAACCAACCCACTAATTAGTAGCAAATGCATGTATGCAATCCGCTTTATCTAAAAAACCAAAACTAATTAGAGTCATTGGATTCCAAAACTCATCCATAAGGTGCAAATACCTGAAGCGTAAATCCGCGAAGCCTTACACAAATGGAGTGGAGATTAAAGACCAATCCCAAGCCCACCTTCCGATTACATAAGTTCTACTTTTATTTTTATTTTCGCAAAGTCGGAGAGTGTAAGACAAATGAAAGTGAGTTGGCGGCTGAACAAATTTGGCCAAATACATATATGCATATGGTGAGGAGAAAAGTTTCAACAATCAAAAAGTTCAGAAAACAAATTTTCATTCGGTTTGTTTTGGTTTCTTTTGATAAAACAACACCATGAAAAACCAAACCAAACTAAACAAAAAAAAGAAAAAAGAAAAAAAGTGTCCGTTCAGCTTGGTGATTTTCATGAAAACACCAACGAAAAAGACAAACTCCTCGGTCTGGGCCACTGACTTTGGCATAAGCCATGTAAGGGGATTATTTTTGGGATTCCACTCCATGCGAGTTCTGTCTGGTTAAACATCGTAAGCATCGGCATAAGCATAAGTATTTTGCAATCAATTTTTGTGGCACAGGTCAAGCTATACGGCAAAAGCCGTTAGGGAAGAACTTGAACTGTGACAGAGCCATTAAATGTATACGTATACGTATACGTGATATATTCTTTGCCGAAGTGGAGTAACGACAGCACTCAAGTATGACAATGTAATGAACCAAAATTAATGCACTAAATGGAACTTGAAACTGGAGCAACTTCATGGCCACAATCGGCCTGGGTCCATGCGTATCCATGTCCAGAAAAGGGGATTTCGATTGGGTTAGTTTGGGGATGGTAAAACCCAAACAAGTCACGTAAAAACTTTTATCCGTCATAAATCGTTGGACCAGAACGACGTTTTGATGTCTCCGTTTTGCTTTTCTTGGCTGACTTTTCTCGCTAGGAATTTCACTATTTTTCAGTTGTTACTTTTCAAAGGGTTACATGCGGTTAATTACTTTGTTTGTTTTCGATTATCAAAGACAACACTTGGATCCACAATTACTTAACCAACATTCCAAGCCAATAAATACTTGCCAAACTGTTGTCAAGCTATGCACTAAATATTGTATTTATTTTATACAACTTTAGGCTATTAAGCTGTTTAAGATGCCTAAAGGCTTTATCTACATTTCATATTTTGTAGTACCTATTTATTTTTGATAAATAAATTTAAGCAACTCACCATTATTCAAAGAGCCGAACGCAAAGATCCATATCCATATCCAATGATGATTTATCCACATTTTGTATAACAATATCTTAATATCAGCAGTCAAGTTAATTGAATAATTGTTTGCTTCTCAGAGCAACATAGCACTTCCACACAAATCATAAAATGATCGTTTTATCCCTGCAGTTTAAGCTGAATCACTTCACTAGAAATTCTTTCACATTTTCCATAATATTGTTGTTCAGTTATTCCACGCAATTTATTGTCTTCATCACTGATGTGCCATAAACTTTCTTGAATTGAATTTACGTGCAACTTTTCTATTGTTAAGATCTGAAATTTGCAAAATGGCAATTTGAAATGGATAACAGTGAGGGTCGGTTAGGGAAAAACTAGAGTCTTCTAGATTATTACAAGATTATTAGATAGACAAAACACTTTGGCACATAAACCAAAGCAACTGGAACATTAGCACTCCTCACCACCGCCAAACCATCTAGCAACTGAAAGTTGTTCTTCATCTTTAGCATATCTTGCCACCCCGTCCGCCTCTTTTCTCCATTGTCTTCTGGTTGTGGGGCAAATGTCGCACACATGTCACCTCCAAGTTGCGAGTTTCGAGGTGGATGTTGCTTGCCACATTGCCTTAGTTGTTGTCGCCAGCGGAATTAGCGGCATTTTATTCCACCAGCAACACCAAGAATAACACAAGCGGTAAAGGGATGATGCTTTTGGACTGCGAAACTTTCAATACTCTTTATATTTTATTAAACAAAAGCCTAGTAAGAATTATGTTATACACTTTTTCCAAACTATTAAATATTTTGATTACCCCGTACTTTTTGTAACTGATTGATTGCAAATATAAATAAAGATCTTTGAAAAAAGGTTACTGGAACGAACAAAACTCAAATCCTCAAATGGAAAAGGATCTTACGGACTTTAACTAATAATATATGTGTTATGTTAGTTCCTATCTATGGACAACCAACTTTAGATTAAAATACAGTACTTTTGGACGGCTTTAAATACCCTATATATTATTTTAGAATTGACTATCTTCTCTATACAAACTACAATACCTTTAGAAAATAGAAGGGTATAACGACAAGAACAGCCACTAAAGACGGTGGCAATGTTTTTGTTTTTGTTTCCTTGGTTCCGGTATTTTCGTACTAGTGGAAGAATTTCAAACGCCCGTTTACACGGCCCAAAGGAGCTTCCTTCTGGCCAGGATTTATGGCATACCACAGTAGGTGGGTGGGGAAATGGGGAAAGTGGGGTGGTGAAAGTGTGCGGAGTGGGTGGCGTGTTGCACGGGGGGAGGTTGATCAAGGCGTTCGGAGACGAGGAGGAAGAGGACAGACAAACATTTGCATACAAATCAGCCGCTGGCCGTTGTCCGTTGGCCGATGGCGAAAATGAAAACGCTTTTTTGACCGGAAGCCCGCGGAAGTGCACAAAAAAGTCATTCACCTGTGTAAAAACGGTTACATTTTCCAATACTCGCTTGGGTTCGTGGGCTGCGAACTTGTTTTTACCAGGGGCTTTTCATTCGCCACTTGCAGATTCGCAATAAAATGTTAACTGATATATGGCATATGGGAAGTGTTATTGGACACAATTTATTGATTCCGGGAATGATTAAAAGACGTGAAGAAAATGTAAAAAAAGTAAAGTACAACATTAATCTCATAAAATTAAGTGTGAAAAGTTCCATATTGATATATTATTATGTATTTAAAAATTTTAAAATATTTAATTGAAACTTTCCCGTTTTAAAATTTGTGTTCAATTTGGTAACAAATATTTTAAAACTTTTATTATCATATCCTTAGAAATCAAAAGCAAGAACACTCTTTTAAACGTTAATTGTTATTTGTTGTTATTTCAAATCGAGCAAAATGATTACATTTCATGTCACTTTCTTAACCGCAAACCCTTTCGCACATGACTCATGACTTTTAAATTCAACACAATTCGCTTAAATTTGTATGGGTTACACAGTATTTATGCTTTATAAACACGCACTTTATCCTTTTTGTGGTTTTTACCGTGAGCACACTTATTGCATTGTTATGATTGTGATTGCAATGCACAAAGAACAAAGTTGGCCAAAACTATTTATTTTAGAGCCACTCCGAAGCGCTAAACGAGCTCCTCGCATCGCGATCCAAACTCAAACTGATTTTCCATAATGTTGCCAAAGCCGTGCCCCTAACAACCGACAGCAATAAAAACAGCAACAGCCTGTAAAGCCGGTGTGCGTTGGACTTGTGCCTTACTATCAACATGCATGCACACATGCCTACAGCTCTGAACAAAATAATAGAATTTTTAGGAAATCTAAAAAATATTTCAAAATTCATAAAATGGTTTTAAAATCTTATACGTTTTTCCCACTTTTGAACATGGCTAGAAATAAATTTCTTTCAAATCGTAGTCTCTTAAAAATATAAAAAAGAGCTAATTTGTTGAACAGAGTGTTCCGTTCCTGACAGTTACAAATACATTTATTTTTGAATTCATCCACTCTTGGTACCTTATGAAATTAAATAATTGTTTCATGCTCAAAAGAATTAAAAAAGTTCTGGCTTAAAAACTTGTATAACACACTATGCTATTTGATTGATTTTCAGCTTAAAATTGTTTAAGAATAAGTAATTTAAACTTAAAAGAGAAAGAATTCTTCAATTGCCAGTTATGTATTTTGACCGCTGCTGTGGTTAAACGGTGGAAGACTCTCTGGACGCTAGCTTTTACTTGTGTTGAAAATGTTTCCACATCACTCGTCAAGCGTTTCGGCTGGAAAGAAGCGCGAAGAAACGGAAAGCGGCGGTGGCAGTGCCATGACAACAACAACAACAACACTAGCTGCCACAGCGCACGCGCCCCAGCTGGAATTGATGAGTATGACTATGAGGTAGTCCCTCTCTGGGGCTCTCTTTCTGCCTTCGTTGCGCTCCACTGAGCCGGCTTTGCAACCCCTTTCTCTTACTCTTGTTTTGGGGCTCTCTCTCTCTCTCTCTCTCTCTGTTTACATTGCATGGAGTAGCCATGGGAACCAAGGCGGCGTCCTAGCCGGCTCCGTTCCAGGCTCTCCTGGGATTCTCCTTCCATTCCACCTGTCCTCCTTCGTGACTCAGCTCCAGTGACATTGCATTTGCATGTGACTGCCGTTAATTGCTGTAATTCCCGCGCTGGACGTCGCCGGCACATAATTGAACTCTCCCGCTCCAATAAAATGTTCCTTTCTCTTCCTGTACAGTTTCGTGCCTGGTTTTTCCTCATTGTTCTTTCTTGGCTTCCTTAACTCACAAAGTTCGAGTAGTTTTTTGGGACATGCTTTCCATTGGGTTTTTGTTTTTGCCTTCCTTCCGACACTTTTGACTTACTTTATGGCCCGGTCGATTATGCTCGCTTATCGTACTTAAAATGGGTTGGAGTACCTAATGTAATTCCTTGATTGGAAATAAGTAACTTTTTCTGATAATGTTAATTATTCTCATCAGAATATCCAGGTTGATCCTTTCGACAAATGGTTTGGGGTTCCTCTTTAAATTTCTGGTTTGAAATTAAGTTACTTGTACTATTATATGGTTGGTAATTCTCATCACAATAACCAATGGTTAGTGATTTTTATTTATTTCATATTTTCCAAATTAAAGTAATAAGACAACTATTAAACTTGTCCTATTATTTGGCTTATAAAACCAAATCTATAGGTTTTTTTTTTTTGGATAAAAAATCTTTATCTATCTGACGAACCAGATAGTCCAGGATCCTCAATCAGTCTATTTTAAGCTCAAATCTGTAAGTGGTTAAAAGGAAAAAAAGAGAATATTAGCAAAATAAAGGTCAATAAGGAGCTTAATAGAATTCAATGTAACTAAAATTTTGAATACAGCCGACATTCTGGAAATAGAGCCCCTATAAATGTAATTAAGAAATCATTTAAATTTAAGATAACTTTCAGGCTTTAAAAAGTCGACTGTTTTTATTACCGAAAATCTTAAAGCTAAGTTTCTTATCGTAGCATTGGCATAACTATTCTCCAGCCTCGTTAGCAAATAAAGTTTTATGATTCAAACTTGTAGAAAAAAAACATAGTTTTAACTAACGTTCTTAAAGTAGTGACAAAGGGATACACTTTTGCAGAAGGAGCATTACATTTGCATCACAAGTACCTGGCAACATAACTATCATTCCGACTTAACCTGAACAATTTGGGTCTATAGTTTTGGCTATGAATTACATTCACTCTGAGAACTTATAATAAATTAAGACTTTTAGTTGTACAAGTTAAATTGGCTAGGATTACAGTTCGGTGTGTTTGGGCTTGTTGAACAATCTCTCGCACAGTTTGGCCAGGATGTGGGCCACCTCCAGTCGGTATTCGTCCTTGCTGTTGGCATATCGATTTCGAATCGTTAGCAGGGCATGTCTAAGACCCGAACTTTGCGACCAAGTGGCAATGCAAAGATCGTCGGTGGTTTCCAGGGCAGTGGCAAATTGTTCCACCACCTCTGGTTGCTCGAGAAGATGCATGAAATCCTTGGCCATGACATGATCCACTGCTGGGCAATAGCCCTGCGATTGTAGCCAAGGCTCGAACTCCAGCAGCACATATTGCGCCATTGTGGAGGCGGCTTCGGTGGCATCTTTGCTGGCCTCCAGCACTGACCGCTTCTCCAGCACCAAGTCGCTGATGAGGGTCACCACCTTGGCCTTGCTACGTAGCTCCACTTCGGGACTTTGCAACACCTTGACCAGAGCCTGTGTCCCCGAGGTGGAGAGCAATCGCTGCTGGGCTAGGGGAAACTTCCGGAGCAGAGCTCCAAAGGCATGCAGCGCCGCAGAGATCTCACCGACATTGCCGGAACTCATCAGGATCTGGGCCAGATGCGAGCCAAAGTTCTTCTCGAACACCTTGATCTGGGCCTTGGGATTGTTGCTGGCCAGCGAGCCCAGCACCCGCATGGCTGAAACCCTCAGCGGAACACTAGTATCGTTGACCACAATGGGCAGCAGCACATCATCCAGCCCTCCATTGTCGATGAACAGCAGGGCATTGTCTATCTGATGCAGCAGGTACTCCAGATTCTCCAGGCAGTCCAGCTTGGAGCGCATCTGCGACTCCAGCAGCGGCGTCTTGCTGAAGTTGCGGTACTGATCGATCAGCTGGACAATCAGTTCCCCATCTGTGCGAAAGTTCTTCTGGAACTCCTTGTACGCCTTGCGCAGCTCCGCATAGCTCTTCTTCTGCTCCTTCACGCGACGTAGGGATTCCTCGATGATGTCCGGCTTGTAGTCCAGTGCCAAAGGTTCATTGTCCTCTAGCTGCTGATTCTGATTCTGATCCTGATCCTCCGGCTGACTTTGCAGGGCCGTGCCACGTTCACTCTCGTCCAGGAGTTTGGCCTCCTTGAGTCCGGTTTGCAGATTGATGCGCACATGGAGACCCTTGGGAATGGCCTGACCTGGAGTTGAAGGAATCCTCGTTTACGACACGTCTTAAGTAACCTGTTTCATAGTTTTACCTTCCGCAATCACCTGCCATTCCTTGGTGGCCACGAATTCACTTGTTTTGTTGTCCGTTTCCGTTGCCACTGACTTTTGCAGGCTGGCCAGGATGAGGACACTGGCCAGTAGGACCAATATCTGCATGTTGCTCCAGCTGTCTTGTCGTCGGAATGTCTTTTACTAGTATTTCACCCAACAATTGATGAATTTCGTTATAGTTTTTAAACCCAACTTTCAAGACCACTGATGTGGATGTGGTTGGTAGTGTGCCCGTAGGCATTTCCACGATTTACACTACACCTGGCTGAAGATTCGGAGGAGTTCCGGAACCAGTGATTTGGGAACCAGTTAAAAACGGTTACAAACTAAATTCAAATTTAAAATTATGTTGTTCTCAATTTTAAAACATTAACCAACAAGTCAAAAAGCTCAGAAAATAACTGATTGCTTATTTCTAGAAACTAAAACATAATTTTCGTTTTTTTTTTTAACTAAGCCAAATATCTTTAAAGCCAAATTCAAATTAAATTTTTTAAATTTTAAAACCAACAACACTTTTTAATTTAATTCCTGCCTAAGCTAAAATTGGGAACATGCATATTTCTACACACACTTACTTTTGATAATACTGGTATTTATTTAAATGTTAGCCCTAACAAATTTTTATAACAACAATAATCGATCTAAGCTTTAGGTTATGAAAACAATCATTGCATTTTATTTGCATTTGAAGAAAATATTTTGGACCTTAAGACCAAAACAAAATTAAATAATGTTATCTAGAACATTCAAAACTAAACCAGAATGCCAGACAAAATTCCCAAACTCATCATGAATTCCCTAAAAATAAAAAGCAACAGTCATTTACAAACTTTTCTCAGTTTTACGAAGTGGATAGACTGGTTAGCTATTTACTACATATTTTATTAAAATATAACCGAATCATGTTTACACCAGATGAATCAAATGCAAACAAAACTTAATTCGGTATGCAAACATATTCATACGGCTATAAAATTAAAGCGTGTTAGCATATATTAATTTAATTTATAATTACATTTTTTGGCGCCTCCAAAAACACTGTAATATCGATGTCTGCGACAGCGTCTGGGAATTGCCTGAGCAAACGAAACAAAGTGCCCAAGCTAAAATATGTGGACTCACCTGGCGCCAATTGGATGGGTAAATAAACAAAATGCCGGTTTACTACATAGTATATAAAGCAATCACACCGAATATGCTAATTGCCGATGACGAACGCCAGAAGCCAAAAGCCTTTAACTAGATTTTGGCAAATTAAATTCCCAAAAGCCGCTTGTCAAAATAGTTTGAAAGTGAAGCCACCTTTTATCCGGCGAAACCATTTAGAATGCCGTTGAAACCAGTTTGATGGTGTCGTCCAATATGCCTGATGATGTCTAATTGGCTTATGTTTGGAATTGAGTTGTTGGCCAAAATCATCTATCTTTGCATTTTGCAAACGGAAATTCTTTGGGTTTCCTTGAAATATTATAGGATTAATACTACTTATTCTTATATTATCACAAAATGTTTGATTTAACAATATTTAATTAAGAAAAAATAGTAAAAAAAACAAACTGGACATTTAAAATTGTATATTATGGAATTTATGACTTCATTATCAATCTATTCCAAGCTGCATGGCCATTTAGCACTTAATAAACCCCCGAAAGTTCTAAAGCCGCATGCTGATCTCAAAGCAAATATTAGATTGATAAGTAAAACATTTTTATTTGCACTTCATTATAAATGCGAACAAAGCGCAGATATCATTCCACAGAGCTTAGATCTATAAAAAGTACAAAAGTACAAAAGGCCGAAATAGTCTGAATTAGAATGCATTGTGGAAAAAGAGGAATTACTATATATGTACATACTATACAGACCTGACGTAGACAAACTCGACCGAAAACTGGCTGGTGAATTGAACATTAAAATTTATAGAATCACTTTTGATTTTTCGCTGCCTTTTGTCCGCTGCTATTGTTATTGTTTATTGTTATTTGTTGCTATTCTCGCGAAACCAAGCACATGCTAATAATATTAATTAATAATATTGTTGGCTAGGGGTGGCTACGACGATGATGTTGAGGATGGGATGAGAAGCCAAAACACAAAACGAAAGAGATATACGAATAATCAGCAAGAAGAAAGGCTATAGTTGAGTGCCTCGACTATTGGATACCCGTTATTGCCAATTTATAGCCAATTTTTTAATTAATATGCCTCAAGAAAATGTTATGGTTTTGGGTGGAGCCATCTGCCGAACTGCAGGCTCAACATTTATTTCGCTCTCTTAACTCCTCGCTCTTATGAACTACGTTTTTCAATTATGAAGTGACGTCATAATTAAAACTTTGCTACTAACTTAAAAAATAATGGTTCAATATTTAACATTATTGGGTTGTGGATAGATATTAACGAATAAAACTTATAAATTAACTTTACCATGTCCAAAATGTGACATGACGGAGTTTTGCGATTTGTGGCTATTATAGAATCGAAATATCTAGCTTTTTTAGTTTCCGAGGTCTAAACGTTTATACGGTTATTGTTCCTGATGAAGAACTTATACACCTGTTACATACTTCTCAACAAAAACAATACACTCTTTTACTCTACGGGTAAGTGGTATGAAAATAGCCAACAATCATGGGGCCAGCAACAGCAACAACAAGAACAACAACAACAACCACAATGGGCAAGACAAGTCAGGAATGAATAAACTATGAAGTGTACTGGTTGTTGGCCACTTCGCTCCATCGTTCTGACCGATCAGAAATTTTATAAATGCCGCCGTCTGTCCAGAGTCAATTTACAGTTTGCCATTGAACCTGGTCGGGCGTTCGCCAAAAAATTCGAGCGGGTGAATTTTGCAGTAGTGCTCCGTAGATATACCCCCATCAAAAATCAATCCCTATAATGTTGCTGCTCCAACTGGGCTCCGTGGCCTTGCTCTTCTGTTTGGCCAGTGGTGCCTCCAATTTTCGTGAGTCCTTCGCAGTGTTGGCCATCCCCTTCTGTGCGGCTCTTATCCGAGCTTTGTCCTTGCAGCTCCCGAGTTGCCTCGTTGTCGAGTGGGCGACACTAGCTGCATCATCAGCGTCTCCCACATGCTGATCCAACAGTATGCCAGGACTGGCTATCCGGCGGCAGGATTCCCCCAAGTGGAACCCTTCCTCATCAAGCGTTTCGACATCTCCGATGGACGCACTGGCTCCCTAAATCTCAAGCTCAACTTCAAGGATGTGAATGTGGAGGGATTGTCGGGAGTGAAATTCGATAGAGCTGTGTAAGTATAAAAAGTTATTTAAAGTACATTTTATAAAGAAATATTGTTTAAATCACTTTATTTGCATTTTTTGAATATAAAATTATAAAGTAGATACGTTATTTTAGTTGCATCCAATATCTAAGCTTTAAAATAGTTGTTAAATAATTACATTTTTCAGCAGCTTGAAAAAGGTTTACCTTGCGTCGAAAGTAATATTAATATTATTGAAATAGATAAGTTACTTATACTAAAATAAAATTATTTGGTATTTGTGTATAATAACAAGCTGGAATAACTAACTGGTTCAACTATTTTTTTAACCTTTTTCTTAAATAAACCATTACTTTTAAAAATTTAAATTTTAAAATGGAGAGATAAGTTAATTTTTCATTGTAAAATGCTGCTTTAAAATAATAGTTAAATAATTCAAATCTACAGCAGCTTAAATATTGTTCAAAGTATAGCCTTAAAGCCAAAGTTTTATGAATAGTTCTGCCAACTTAAATACAAATTATAAACGTTTAATGTGAAGTCCTAACTTATCACTTTTTTTTAAATTATCTAGAGGTTTTGGCGCCGATCCTGCCACCAGCAAGTTTGAGATGTACGGATCGTTTCCCAAAATCGTGCTGAAGGGCAAGTACGTGGCCGACGGACGCATCCTAATCCTGCCCATTCGCGGTGATGGCGATGCCGAGATCGTCCTGCACAATCCCAAGTTCTCGGTGAAGTTTAAGCCGGGCACCCAGTTGAAAAATGGACGTACCCATTTGAGTGTGGACAAGCTCAAGGTGCTGGTGGAGCCACAAAAGTGAGTAAAAGATTATAATCTTATATGTTATGGCTTTGTTATATATATATATATTTCTAATCTTCCAGGATGAATATTCGACTGGCGAACCTTTTCAATGGCGACCAGGCATTGGGAACCAACTTGAATCAGTTCCTCAATGACAACTGGACGGAAGTGTGGAACGAACTGCACCCCTCCATTCACGTGGCTATTGCCGAGATCATGAAAAGTGTCCTATCCCAACTATTCAAGCGTTTCGCCTACGAAGATCTGTTCCTGGAGAACTGAGCCCTAGTCCTTTCATTAGGCTAAGTGTACGAGTACTTCCTCACCAGCATTCCAAACACACACACATGAACCATGGGACGTTGCATTCCGGCCATTGACATATCATCATATCATCGTATCTGCTAAGCTAAGCTTTAAATTGTAGAATAAACAAACCTAATATGAAAACTGGTTGTGCTTCTGCGGGGGGCTATTCATTGTTAAATTAAGCGTAGATCTTGGCATTTCCGCACAACTGTCGCATACACACTTTTTGGCAAGTAATTTGGCAATCAGCAAGCAACTCACGTGATCGAACTTTTGGTGAGGAATTTGCATGATATATACATAATCACTAGATGCGACAGGTGCGGAAAGAATTTTAGCAATAAAGATGCTACTTTAATCACATAGCGATAATTGATAATTTTCCATTATAACTTGTTTATTATGTGTTTAATGATCAAAAACTAAAATATTTGAGTGCCTAGAATTTAGTATTTTGTTAGGAAACATTTTTTTCAAGAACTTGAAAAAAAAATAGATTTTAAATCTAGAAAGAATTACTTTAATTCAGGAAAAACAAAGTACAAGACGCTCCACAAAAATAAATAAAAAAATCGAAATCATACATATATATAACTCTGACCATAACTATATGCTAAGAACCCAGTGTACCAGACTTTTTTTATTTCGATTTCGTTTCAGTTTTGCTTGCCAAGTTCAAGAGTGCCCAACGGTAAAGCTGCAATCCCATCCAGCCCAGCAATCCGAGGAGTATGGACACCCAGTTGGCCTTGGGTCAGTGAAAATCTTCCACGAGTCAATCAACTGCAACTGAAATCGAGTGGAACTGGCTGCTTTTGTTCTCCACGGAGGCTGGGCTTTAAAACGCCCCGTTTTGGGCCATTAAAGTTAACTGAAGTTTAGGACCTGTTCTGGAGCTCCACCTTTACTCCGATTTTTTTTAGAGAGCTGCCCGTCACGATGATGCGACACTTTGTTGTTCTCGCAACTTTATTCGGCTATATTTGGAACTGGTCCTTGTGTAAAACAGCGCACACGCCGAAGTACTTAATACCATAATTGTTCCTCATCGTAATTATAACGCTTTTTAATTGGACAAGGAGTAAGCTGTCTGTTACACACATTAAATGAATCAGTTTTATAATGACTTCCCATGTAACTACTAAATCATGCATTGATGTTGATACTCATCAACTAAATAACAAGTTTCCCTATAACAGTAACAAATTTATTGGACTAATAATATTTAGAATTGATCTCATTTAACTGAATATACTACACATAGTAAAAAAAATAGTAAATTCTAGTATTTGCAGTTAACAACTTAATAGTTTTTATATGTTGATAATTCAAATAGTATTTTTGAAGTACTTAAAGTACGACGTTTTTGTTTAAAACAGTAGGATCAATTCATTTTAAAGTACTTATTTCACTTTACTATGGCGTTTTTCTCTGTCTGTAGTTTTGAGTGGTGTTAGATCACACGTGATAAATAGTTATTACGGGGTTTCAGATCATTGACTCAGTTAAGATCTCTAGTAAACATTTGACTAATCTTCTTTTACACAATACAATCGTGATAGGTTTTAAACGAGTTCACAAATTGACAGTAGACATTGACGCCACAGATAAAAGTTTAGCCAAAGGTCGCTATTAGATTTATTTGAGTTGCACTTAGTGGGCCACTATAAATACTAGGCGAAATTACCGTTCATATTCAGTTACTTAAAGTTATTGACGCGTAAACATGTTCGGAATCGCGTTGGCAATCGTTTTCTGTATTTTCTGCTCGGTGCAAGCTCATTTCCGTAAGGTTCACCAGGATCATCAGGATTCTAGCTTATGGATTCAAAAAAAAAATGTATCTTTCCCAAATTGGCACTGATTCCGTAAGATTAACCAGAATCCTCAAGATTCTAGTTTGAAGATATGTGTGAAAATATCTTCCCCCAAATTTCAGTATAATTAGAAAAATTTTCAGTGAAAGAAAATAAATCCGCAAAATTATTTATGTTAAAATTCAATTTTCATATATAGTTAGAAAATTAAAATAACAACAAAAATAACAATACCCGCAGCTGATGATCCTAAACCCTGTAAATACGGCGATGGCGAGTGCATCATGCAGTTTGTCAACACATTGTTCAGCGAGAGGTTTTCGGAGGAGGATCCTGGCCTGAATCTGATGCAGCTGGATCCCCTCAAGGTGGACAAAATGGTAATAAGCCAAGGAGAGGGTGAAAGTCCTGTTAGCATTACTCTTACTTTTACCGACAATTTGTTGTACGGCATCAAGGATCAAAGGATCGTTAAAGTGAAGTAAGTTTGAAACTAAAATAAAATAAAACAAACATTCAACAAACTTTTTAACAAACCGTAACATATTGATAGCTTAAAGTATTATAAAAATTAATAAAGTATGAAGCACTCATCGATTTTATGCATTTTCTAGTTTGTCGAAATATGAATTCAAATTTAAACATTATAAATCAAAATTACACTTAATAAAAAGATTAAAAATATCTAAACAAAAACTTAAGAATGATAACTACAATTTAGAAGTGATTTTCCAAACCTTCAAAAATGCGCTAACTTTAATTATTATAATAATCATAAAAACAAGAAGACTTCATGAATGTCATTAAATTTATAGGTTTTCGAAGTATAATACCAATTAAATTATTTCAAAACCAAAATGCTCCTAATGGATATTATTTTATTTTCAGGGGATTTGGCAAGGATCTCACGACAAAGCACGAATTGAAAATTGTTTCAAAAACCTTTTCTTTAGTGGGTCCCTATAACATTCAAGGTAAAGTTCTAATTCTGCCCATTAGCGGCACCGGAATAAGTAACATGACTATGGGTAAGTTTGTTTTTAAAGTGTTTTCTTCAGAAAGCGAACTTTAATAATAACCCTTTCCAGCTAATGTCAAAATAATCGTTAGCTTTTCGGGCAATCCGTTAGAGAAGGATGGAGAGACTTACTTGGATGTCACCAACTTAAAGTTCTCGATGAAACCCGAGTCCACCCACTACCAATTTTCAAATCTGTTTAATGGAGACAAGGCGCTGGGTGATAATATGAACGTATTTCTGAACGAGAACGCGGAGGAAATTTACAAGGAGACAGCTTCAGCCATCGACAGGTCCTTTAGCCAGATGTATTTAGGCCTCGTCAAAGGCGTTTTCGCCAAGGTTCCATATGCCAAGTTATTTGCAGAGGAGTAGCTGGCTCTTCCCAATGTAATATTCTCAACTTTTTATTTAAAACGAGTATTGCCCTCTTTTTGATTTTTCTCGCTCCAGCACCGGTTGTTTGTTTACTGACAGTTAGAAGTTTTAACGCTTGGCAATCATCATAAGGTTTAACAAAGGTCGTAAGTCCAACTTGAATGGTAGTACAAGTATATGTAATTAGGGAAATTCTAGAAGCAATGTAAGCGGCATCTTCTGTAAATAGAACACCATCGCGTGTCATGAAAGTTATAACACTAAATTGTCTAAATCTAATTGGTGCTTCCCCAATTAAAATTTCAAAGTTATAACTTATTTTCTTTTTTAAAACTACATTTTATGATTGAGATTAAATTAAACTAAACAAAATTGAGTGGCAATAAATTTTATTTACTTTACCCTTCATAAAACTATATTGTCTAAATCTAACTGTAAATGGGAAAATTTACAATTTTAAAATTATTACATTTTTTCTTCTATATAACTACGTTTTATAATCAATAAAAGTTGGCCCCAATGAAAGGCTACTTATTAAATAGAACAAAAATCCAATGGCAATAAAGTTAATACATTTTTTGCTTTATAAAACTATATTGTCTTCATCTAATTTGTTTCTCGCAATTTAATACAACTATATTAACTAAATTGGAATTGTTGAAATGTTAAATAAGTGAAAAAATCCTTACTACTATCAAATAAATCCAAATCATCATCGTTACGGACTAAAACAATTATCTTTCTTGCAATTTAAGAATATGACCAATAAATATTTGCTTAAAAAAATTACCAAAGGTTCTACTTAATAAATCGAAACCCGCCTAAAAGTATGTGTTATGGCTAACTGATGAAAATGTTCTAAAACTTTTATAACGCCCTTTAGAAGGTTATAACATTAAAAAGTTCTTCAACTTTCCAGGTCGAACCCCTTGATAAACAAGCTGAGAAGACGTCAGTTCTCAGCCATTAATTAGCCTCAATTCAAATGTGTCAAAGGGGTTTGAACAGGAATAAATGTTCGATTTTGGGAAGGCCAATCTAATTTGCATATGTCGAGCAAATTACATGCAAAACGTGATTAGGAGAGATGGGATTCTGAGGTCGATGGCTTGCCAGTGCGAATGAGAACTCAACAGGTTCAAGTTCAGTTTGGGGGTTCATTAAAGGGAATCGTAAAATAAATTCGCCGGCTATAACACAGGCCAGTTTTGGTTTATAATCCATTTAACTGACTCAGGGGTATAGTACGTGGTGTCGGTCTAAAAGTCAAATTCAGTCGGGCTGAAACGCAAAAGCGGTTTACGGTTTACGGCAACAAAAACATGATACACTTAGCCCGCACTTGGCCCATTCAATTGACGAAGTGAGTATATAAGTGGTATCATCCGAGGCTAATGGATCAGTATTCAATTTCGTTCTGACCGCGTCAATTATGGAGCTGACTCTCGTCCTCGTCCTGGTGCTCGGATGTGCCTCCCTTGGAATCCACAATGGACAAGCCTCCGACTTGCGTGAGTTTTGCCCTCTTTAATTCTGGAGAATTTTCATTGAATTTACCTTATAAACCTGATAAATTACAGCCTCGGGAATCGAGAAATGCGGGGCCATGGACGAGCAGTGCTTGTTGAACGGGGTGAACTATGTGCTGAGGAACTATGCCAAGAGTGGAATCAAGGAGCTGGGACTGATCCCACTGGACCCGCTGCACATCAAGAAGTTCAAGATTGGCCGAAATCCACACAGTCCAGTCAACATTGATCTGAGCTTCCGTGAAGTGGACCTCTTGGGTCTTCATCAGGCAGTTGCAAAGCGAGTGAGGTAAGAAAATATACAATTTTACAACCATAAATAGTTAATATATTTTCTGATTGTATACTTTGTATTTATAAAAAAAAATATTTATCTACGTAAAAAATGTATTAACAAATTTAATGATACTATGGTAGAGCGCTACAGAAGTCATTAGACTTGTGTGCAAAAGTATGCAATAAAAAACGTAATGAATCTACCGGAATTCCGGATAACAAATTATGTATTGCATACTTTCGACCCTTTTCTAAGTGGTTTAAAAAAACTTGTTTCTTATTCTTTTTTTATATATTAACAATGTACAGTTTTCAACACTAAATTAGATTTTTTCTGCTAATACATATAGACATCATATTAAGCGATTTAAAATCTTTACAGCGGATTCACAGCAGATCTCGATCGTACAATTGAGCTGGTTATGGATGTGCCCGAAATTGCACTCAAAGGCCCCTACATAGTAGATGGCCGAGTCCTTATTCTACCCATTACGGGAAAGGGCAATGCCGAGATTCGGCTAAGTATGTTACGGTTGCTCATCCTTTGAATTATATAATCACAAATGTATTTACTCGACTTACAGTAAAAACGAAGGTACATGCTTTGGTCAAGTTAAGGCGTGTTCCCAAGGGCGATCATCAGACCTTTGCCGAGGTGGTTGACATCAAGGTGGAGGTGAATCCCTCCCATGTCTCCTATCACCTGGAGAACCTATTCAATGGCCAGAAGGATTTGAGTGAGAACATGCACGCCCTCATCAACGAGAACTGGCAGGACATCTTCATCGAACTCAAGCCAGGCATTTCCGAGGCCTTCGGACTAATAGTCAAGTCAGTGCTGGACAGGATCTTCGGCAAATTGCCGCTGGAACAGCTCTTCGTAGTCTAATCTTAAGCCTTAGTAAAAAGCTCTTCAACTTCAATTAGTTGAAACATAACTGTGAATATTTATTTGATTTTAAACATACAAAACGCAAAGCAAACAATTCACTGACAAGTTCCTCTTACAAATTAAAATCAGGCACAGAAAGATTGTACTTATACTTAAGCCGTAGACTAAACTAGCTTCATTTTTGGCTTACAAAGGTAGCGAAAAATCGTTTTCGTTTGTTTTTGGATCTTTAAAGTGTACAAATGTTGTTCAGACTAGCCATTTTTTAACAAATAAATGTAAATCCTTAACCAAATCGTTTTCTCTTGAATTGTAATAAAGTAACTGTTTTATGTAAAAATGTAATGCCTTTTTAATGGCAAAATCATTTTCGACTTAGACATATATGTATTTATAAAATATTAAAATCAAATATTTTTCGTTTTGATTTGTGCTCTTTGGATAACACAGTTAAATAAATATACATCAAATCTTAAGTAAATTCAGGCACTCACAAATTATTCTTAAATGTATCAAGTAAAATAAACGAACTTAGATAATAAATATTACATCTTTGAGTTTTACAAATGTTTTTCAGAATTGTATAAGTAATTTAAGTTTACAAATTAACGTTTAACTTTAACCAAGACGTTTTTCTTAAGATCTTGGGTTGTTCAAATGTTAATATAGGTCAAAGTAATATGTTTACGTAGAAAAATGATGCAAATTTGACGTCAAAATAAATTTTTGACTTATATGTTTTGATTTGTGCATATGAAATTATTGTTAAATATTTCATTTAAAAATGGTATTTTGTTGTCCCTGCACTCATTAATCTCTTCCTATTATTTTTCTTTGTTTTTAGAGAAGAACTCCCATTAACTTCTGAAGCGATAAAAATGACGTTCGCTCCTTGGCGGTGAAGATGGGGACTCCTCCCCGCTCTCGTTTCCGCTTTCGATCTCGAACTCATCACTCCAGTCGTCCACCACTCTCACTTCGATGACGGTTTTGCCGCAAATGTCCACCACACTGGGCGTGAAGTAGGTCTCCGGATTGGCGAGCAGAGCGGTGAGGAATTCGTCCTGCTCGACGGCACATTGGACCACGTTCTCCAGCTGGTATCGCTTGGCAATGAGCATCTCCTCGGCGTTCAGTCCGCGTGGCTTTGCTGCCTGTCTTTCGGCGCCGGCCAGCAGAATGGCCCGCTCGTTCAAGGACCTGTGACTTTCGGTCATGGCCGCCGAATACCGGTGGTCCAGATCCATTTCCCAGTTGAAAACGTGCACGCTGAGATGCGAGGCCTTGAGCCACTCGCGCAGACCGATCAGCAAACTCTCCAAGCGCTGGGCATTAACTATAAGGTTGATAAATATTAAATAAAATACTTATTGGAACAGTAATGGAGTACAGAACATACACTTGGCAAAACTGTTCACAAAGTGTCCGCCACGGTGACGCATTTCGGTGGTCATGAAATGATTGAAGCACTGCAAATAGGAGGCCGATCCCTTGAGCAACTTGTCGCATTCGGTGTACTTTTCGTAGTCAAAGTGGCGATTCGTCTCCAGTGTGCGACGCTGCTGGCCCAGGAAACGCTCCACTTTGGTGCACAGCACCTGCAGCTGGTAGCGCACATTCAGGCTTTTGGGCATTGCGTTCTTCGCGGGCATCTCGAACGGATAGTCCGAGGGCATTGAGTTTTGGCGCGAAAAGCCCAAGTCGGCGATCAGGTGATCATGCAAAGACCTGAACAGATCCATCAGACGCAGAACGGGATTGTGCTCCAAGCTGTTTATGATAAATGAAAATTAACAATGGATATGCTTAAAATAAAACAATTTCATTATAAATTGGATTTTAAGTACAATAATATTTTTAATGATTATGTGATTAAACATCACATTTAATTTATTTTTTATTTACGTTGCTTTGAAGTATTCCTTGAAAGTATTTGTATTAACATGAATCTTTTAAAACAGCTTAAAATGATTTAAAGCTACACTAAGCTATACAAAGCCAACAAATTTCCGTGAAATAATAATTTTAGATTCAAGTTTAATTCGTTTTTATTAACGTTATTTGAATTTTTGCTTTACGATTCTTGATGTTTGTTACTCTTTTTTTTTAAGGTACCACTTTTAGGGTACTACTGCCATTAAAAATAAATCAAAAAGCGACTACAAAATAGATGGCACAATTTGGGAATTTGCTAATACCCATAATATAATTTTTTATGTTTAAAGAGCTCTGATTTTTAGGGTGCACTTTTTGCCTTCATAAACTCACCAATCGCCATGCAGACCAATTAAACGAAGCCTTTCAATGGTAATGTTCTGCACAGAGGTCACTTCCTGGCGGCATTGCCGGTTCCAAATGTTCTCCTGCTGCAGTTGCTCCTGTTTTTTGCCGGAAACCAGAGAGAGGGCTCCAACTGACCTGGATTTCTTAGACGGAGCACCGCCGCCTCCCGATTGGCGGGAACGCTTCGAAAGCTGTTGCATGCAACCCAAGCCGTGGAATTCGAAGCGTGGCGCATTATTGTCCAGTTGGAGCACCCCGAAATTGTGTTGAATCTCCGCCAGAACACAGGGCGAGCTGCTGGGCACAGCGTCGGGATTCTCGAACACCGCAGAAGCCGGCACTTGCGAAAGATTCTCATTGGATTCTATCATGCAGGACAGTTGCTCCTGCAGCTCCATCAAATTGAGGTCCAATTCCTGGTCAGCGCTGGCCAAATGGCCCAAAGACGGTGCACGGAACATCTTATCAAGCGAAATCACGAAATAACAAATCAATCGTCTGCCGTCTAAAAAAGCTTTTTTTTTTAAAATGGGCGCGACGCCACGCTGTCTGGAGTTTTAAGTAGTGGTGGGGGGAGGAACAACGACGCTGACATCGATAACATCCGTGTTTTAAATGTCTGTATATCGATGTTTAAACGGTCGTCATCGATTGTTTTTCATATCTAACGGGATACACTTAAGAAAATGTTGACTTTTTAGATTAGCCAAAAAATAAACGAATAATCGCTGAATAATTGTTTGCTAAGTGCTCCATACAGTTAAATATGCCACACAAATTTTTTTTTTTATTTTTTTTTTAAATGTATCTAAACAAAAATTTCTGTAGTTAAGTAGATGATCCAAAATAAATATATAAAATATACATATAATAATCATTTTGCATTGGGCTAACAATCAGTGTTGAACCTAGGTACGTACTTAAATTAGAATTTATGATACCTTATACCTTACCTAGGTAAACAATGTGATAATACATTTTACCTAACCTGGGTAAAGATTTTTAATTTGTCTTAAAAACTGGCTGTATTAGGTACTGAAATATATTTTGTATTGTTTTTAAATAGGCTTGATACCACTTAATTTAATTCTGCATTATTTTCGCCAAAGCATCATTTCACTACAACCTGAATAAAGTTAATTCCACCAAATGTGCAAGATAAAATATGATTTTTTTACCTGTTTCTACAACCAGATTTAATTGCCACAACTACAACTTCGTGAAAATAAAAAAAAAGTATTATTAATATTACATATTTCGCCCCATTTATTGATGGAGTCATTGAAGCTCAGAGACAGAGACAACTATATGGATACTGCTTGAGAATTTTTGGTATATGTTCACGGGCACACTGCCTTTTTAACGTTAAATTCAAACTTTATTTTTTTGTTTAATATTTTGTGTTTATCCGGCTAATTTTAACATTTAAAGGTTTTCAGTTGTAACCTTTAAATGGTGAAAAATATTTCGTATACATTTAAGCCTCGCTTTTTCATTCCGTTCTGTCGCGTTATTATTGGTATCCAATTCAGTTTAGTATTTTACTTCCGGGTATCGGGTACTGTCAATTTTTTTTCATTCATTGCTCATTAGAACCGTCAAACGTTTGTCTTGCTCGCACTTACGTAAAATCGTTAAGTTTAAAAAAAATGAGGAAGATTGAGGCCAACAGTGTTGTGTCATAAGCCCATTAAAAATTGAACAACTCAAAAGATGGCAGCGCCGGGGTGGAAAACTCTACTAAATAGTATATTATTTAGCATGGGCTCAAACCAATATATATTTTACATTTTAATTTACAAAAATTGATAAATACATTTTGCAGCGGTATTTAAATTACAGTTTTAATCATTTACTTGTAGAAATGCGTTTTTCTGATCTAATTAAATTACTATATATCTTAATTCCTTGGTATTTAACTTACATTTCTTTGTATCTTCCAATTTTAAGTTAGCCTATTGCATAAAACAAAACATTGTGGCCGAATTAAACTAATTTTAATTAATGACTGCTTTTCACAAACTCTCTAAAGGTGTTTCGCCATTGGCCCAAAAGAAATAAGATAACATCTGCATACCTGTAATCACATTCTTAAAAATGTATGACATATCTGATAGATTTAACAAGGTCTTTCAATTTTTAATAAACAAACACTGCATTTTAACAATTCCATGGTGAAAACCCTGCAGTCTCGATATTAAATCCTATAAAACATTCTTTATTATTATGACAAATTCCTGAAGTGTTTTGCGATTAATGGCAAAACCCAAAAATGTATTTTCTCGTACAGCAGTTTCCAGATTGGTTATAACAAAGTTGCACTCTCTGTATCTCATCTGCTGGCCACTATCCGCTTTCTTATAAACAAATACGACAAGAGTGGGTTTTTTTTTTAGCCAACCACAAGATCGTTAATTCTTTAATTCACAAAGCACAATGAACCAAAGACCGGAGCAATTGAATTACAAGCTTTCTTTTGGATAGGTTCTGTGGTTTCTTTACGTTTTATAGATTTTATTAAAAAATTAATAATTTGTGGTTCATCGCGAGTCCCATTTTATTGTGGCTTCCTGCGGAAAGAGCAGCCTGAAAGAGAGAAAATAGGGTTTATTAGTTTGTTGATAAGGAATGAATGGCATTGAATAGCTTGACGTTACCTTCTGTCAGCTTGGCGCGTCCTCCAGTGGGCTGGCACAGAATGGTTGCGCATCCGGCGCAGACCACGACGCCCTGGGCGTGGCTGAAGACGGTGGTGATCCTGTAGCAGCCGGGGCACTTCACGTCCATGAAGTACGAGTTGGGGTGCTGGACCAGGCGCTTCAGCTTGTGCTTGCGCTTCTCCTCAGCGGGCAGAGGGTGCAGAAGATCTTTTGCTAGCTGGAAATGAGAGAACAATCAGGGAATAAGTATAAATGGCATAAAATATGTGTTAAGTACTTAATCATTTTATTAATTTTTTTAATTGTTAGGATAGTTTTGACTGTATTTATACCACAATATAATTTCCATATTTAAATCCAAAAATGAGGGAGCTTCATTTGCATAAGTCCTTGGCGGTAATTTCTTAAGATAGTTTTGGCGGTATATTGATTATATTTTTACTTGTTAAAACCAAGGTAGAATTTCACTAATTCCACTAACGCATTTAGAATATATTCTTACAGATCAAACAAAAACTTAGAAATTGATTAAAAATAAACAATTTTTTTTTTGTAATGAACAAAATATTAGTTATAAGTTTAAAGCAATAATAGACATTTCATTAGTAAAAAAAATATTATTGGCACATTTTTCCCTCAGTCTATCAACAATTGGAGAGCACAGACTTCAGGCCACAACAACATTAATTCGCCAACTCGTGTTCTAGGTTATGTACAAGGACTTCTGGGAAGTCCTTCTGGCAGTACAATAAACTCTATCTTGAAGTCATTCAAATTTTTCAAGATTTAATCCATTTCACAACGGTTTGCAATTTCACAGGCGCACGCCATGCGTGGCCACCAAAACCACACACACTCTCATGAAAGCGGGCCAGACATTTGTTTTAAGGCCTTTTAAAGGCACTTTTAATGGCCAACACTTGCTCCATGCACACTAGACACTTTGGGGATGATCGCAGCACGCTTTTGGTTTGCATTTAAGTGAGTTTTCTGTGTTTAAAATCAAATTTAACGCAATTTGGCACCCACCGGCATGTTTTTTCTTTCACAGCTAACACGGAAAAGGAAGTGAGGTAAATCGCAGCCAACTTAACTTGGCCGAAAAGGCACTAAAAAATACCGAGCAGCTGGCCGGCGACAACCTTTCCAACACTGGACTCTGTATCTTCTTAAGTTCAAAATATATAATAAAGTATTTATGCAATAAATAATACAAATATAACAAATTATATGCTTTATATTATTGCTTAAAATATAAGTATATATTAGGTGTTCAATCATTTATAATAATAGCTTTCTCCAGCCTTGTTTTATTTATTGTTTTGTTTCTCCTAATGAAAATCGTATAGCAATAAGTAAATGTATATATGTACAAAGATATGAAACTAAATAACAATAACTTTATCCAGAATTGTTTTATTTATTGTTTAGCTTCTCTTTTTGCCATTCGTCACAGTGTAAGCAAACCTTTTAGTAAATTCGTGAAATCCACGACGGTCTTACTAAAGTAAACAGATTTTGGCGCTACCGGCAATTTGTTGCATTTATCCGAATAAAAAAAAAAAGTGGGGAGATATTATTTATTAATTCAGTTAAAATTAAGAAATGCGATCTGTTACCGAGCCCGATCACACCATCCAGCTAAATGAGACCATCTACTGCTACGAGATCTGCACCAATGACTTTGCCTACAACCTGATTGCAGTGGCCCTCAAAAAACGCCTGTGTCTGATACTCGTGGGTCTGCCGGTGAGACCATAAAACTATGAAATGTTGAATTAAATTGTTTGATATAACATTAACTATTTCCACAGGAGGAGAGCGGTGAGTTTGGGTACACACACCTGCTGGACCTGGACATGGGCGACATGGATCAGCGGTGCGTCAGTGCATTAGCCTTTTCGCCGGACACCTCGCTAAATTGCACGCCCAATAATGTGACTATATGCGCCGCCTATGGGAATCAGTTGAATATATGCCGCACCGATCTGGGCCAGTTCAATACGACTCAATTGCTGCGCGGACATGGAGACTATGTGAACGATGTGGCCTGGGCTTGCGAGGGCGAACTGCTGGCCTCCGTCAGCGATGACTTCACCTGCAGATTCTGGACAACCTCAGGAGAAGGCGAGAATGTGATTACCTTCTGCCTGTCATCCGCCGGAATGTCCATCAAGAGTCACCCCGAGGATCCCAACAAGGTGCTGGTGGCGGAGAAAAAGGGTGCGGATTAATCCTATATCATCGAACCTTGTCACCAAGCAATCTCCACTTACAGGCATCATCCATCTGTACAATGTGAGGAGCAAGCAGACAGTTATCTCCGTAGAGTCACCAAAGTTTCCGCTCATGTCCGCAGATTGGGCTCAAAGCAATAGGCTTTTTATCACCTCCCTCGCTGGCGGGGATGTCGTCACCTGGGATCTTAATAGACCCTTTGTCCCAGCGGATGTAAAGCAGGTTCACGAGGACTGCGGTCGAGTTGTACGATTTGCGCCAGGATCCTCGGAAATGGTCATCGCCATGATCATTGGCCTTACGCTCAAGGTGTTTGCAGCCAAGTCCACGGTTCCATTGCTCGAGGCCTCGTTAAAGACCTTCGGTGGAATGGCCTGGCATCAGCGATTGCCGTATATCAGTGCGGTGTCGGATAGGAAACTGCTCTTCTGGAAGGTGCAAATGAAATAAAGTTCTGTATATAATAAGAATAAAAAAAAAGTGTTTATGAGATTTCTTCATTTTGCATTTTTTTACTTAATTCTGTTCTATGTGTAATATTTGTCTTGGAGAGTTTCAGTTAATGAGTATTTTCTATTAAATTAATACGCTGATCTGAATGTAATATCTTTTTGGAAAAACCAATATCGTTCAAGGACTTGGTATCTTTTAAACTGCTCTAATCGATTAATATTAAGCTGCAAATTAAATTTAAATAAGTTTCAAATTTAAATTCTTAAAAATTTTAAAACAAGACTTGATACTTCTCGCATTTTAAAATTAGATGTTAAAAATACTGACTACATGAACGAGTCGAATGCTTTAGTATTTTTGAGGGCAAATTGTGCAGCCACACTATAATTGTCAGTCCCGGTGTTGCATATGTATTTTTGTTGGCCTAGATTGCCAGGCAATATTTTAAATTAGTACTTAGCGAAATATACGACTTGATCTGTAGGAAAAAGGCGTGAACAGTGCTTATACTGTGATTGCCTAGCCGGAGCTAAGTAGTTTTCCGTTCGTAGTGTGTTAATGTTCGAGCAATCCGACTCGATCGGATGACGAGTGAGGAAGAATCGAGCGCGAAGCACATTTTTGCTAGGACGAAACTATTGCGAATTGAAAGCGTCTAGAAAACAGCACAGAAATGTTCACCACGCGAAAGGAGGTGGACGAGCAGGTTCATAAGCTGCTGGGTAAACTGCCGCCGGGAAATGAGGTAAATAAACTAGAAACGTGCATCGGAATTTCTAAAAAAAAAAATCAGTTGCGAAATCGAAGGCGCCGCCGCCATTGAAACCGCGCGGTTGTGTGCGTGCGTGTGTTTGAGTCGGCGTCATTTGGCTAGCGTTTTTTGCAATCGAAAAGAAAATTGCGCGCTTTTCTTGGGGCACAAGCAATTTGCTTATTTACCCAACGAAATAGCTTTTCTCCCATATTCAAGGCCTTTTGTTGTCCTCTCTCTCGATGTAAATCAAAATAGAAATGTGAGGTTATGTGGGCGGCAAGCAGACGCTTGTTTCAATTTACATTTACAGTCAACACTCCATATGAAGCTCGGCGTTAAATGATATTTACAGTACAGACTCGTTAAATACAAAAATAAAGTAAATGTATTCAAAGTAATAAAACGTAAACACTAAACTCTTAAGAATCACTAGTTTAAGAATATTAAACTAAAAAAAAACAATAAAATATTAAATCAAAGTTAATTTCGTCTTAATAGTTTCGAAATTTATTGGAATTCCATTGCTGTGCCTGACATGGTTTGCAATAAAATCAAGAATAATGCCAACCCTCAAAATGTCCTTATTATTCCCGCTCAAATACTTTGGAATTGAACACCGGGCTTCTAAAAAAAAATGCTCTAAAGGAAAATCTTCTCACAAATTATATTACGCTCTGCAAGGGTATAAAAAGTATAAACAAGTTTTAAAGGCATTATGAAACCCAATTTGTTTCTGTACTCTTATAGATGAACTAATAAATCCAACATAACTTTCGCACTGGTGGCTCTTTGAATACTTATCAAAAAGATTGTTGTATGTTTTTTACTTGACTTATCTCTGAAAAATTTATTTTCAGCGTGATATAAAGGGTTTGACAGTGGCCCGTCTGTACAATAAGATCCAGGAGTACCCCAAGGCCATCGAGTATCTGAACAGCTATCTGAGGGTCAAGGACGAGGCTGTGGCCCACAAGCTGATCGCGCTCTGCTACTCCAAGCTCAAGACTCCGGATCTGCAGAAGGCGCTGCAGCATCTACAGCGCTGCATTCAGCTTAATCCGCGGCAGCATGATGTGATCAAGGATGCCTGCCAACTGCTGATGGACGAGAAGAGCAACTTCAACACGGAGCAGGCCAAGTATTGGCTAGATCTGGCAGCTGGCGAGGATTTGAGCGACAACGAACTGGTCTTCGCTCTGCGCATGCGGGTGAATCTCAAGGAAAGCAACGGCGGTGTAGGAGACGGTGTTGCCGACGGTGAGGACAACACCATGGAGCTGCTCATGCATAAGGAGCTGCAGATACGTCCCCATGATGTGAATGCGCGAGTGCGATTGCTGCGAAACTATGTGGAGAAAAAGAAACTGGATCAGGCCTTTAACTACGCTTTCAAAGCGGAACTGGAGGCCAAGGGCTGTACGAGTCAGTCGAGCGAATGGTACGAGGTGGTCTGGCTGATGCTCACGAAGATCGAGCTGACCAAGGATGTGAAGAAGAACTGGCGCTTCTGGCAGCTGGCCCTCCACGCCCTCGATCGCCTCATGCAGCTCAGTCTGGAGGCGGCCAATGGCTTGGCGGATAGCAGTAGCTCGCTGTTTCGACTCGATCAGTATCTGCACAAGTTCAGCAATGTGATAGAGCGAGCGGGCGATGCCCCGCAGCGGGAACTTCATCAGTCCTGTGCCGAGCATTACACCGGTCAGCTGCTGCTTCACGCGGTGGCGCTGATCTTCAAGCGGGAGCTGCTGGGCAATAAGAACAAGTGGATGAGCACACTGCGGTCGGTGCTGCCGCTTCTGCTCCTTGGCTTCCAGGTGCAACCGCTCCAGGAGGCGCATGCCCACCACTGGATGAAGCACTGCGATGCGGAGCAGAAGCAGCTGATGCAGCTGTGGCGCCAACAGGGCGCCTTCCGTTGCGCTCAGCTGGGACGCACGCTGCTCGGCTGTCTGGAACGCTCACGGACGGACAACGAGAACCAAAAGGAGAACAACAACCACAATGAGAACCAAGTCCCCGCCCAGACGCTTTCCGGATTATTTGGCGACTCCGAGGAGCTGCTGTCCTGCGCCCACCAACAGTGTCTGGACAAGAGTTGGCGCCGTCAGCTCTACCAACTGCTCTTCACCCACGCCGAACACAAGCTCAAGGACCAGTCCTCGCATCTGGTGCATCATCCGCGGCTGCAGCTGCCACTTTTCGAGTGGCCCAATCTGGCGGAGATTGAGACCTGCGAACAGCAGGCTTTGTTGCTGCCGCCGCAGTCCTTGGCCCAACATGTCTACCTGGCGTTGGGCACCGAACCTGACAACCTAGGAGAAGCTCCACGGGTCCTATTCTACGAGGGCTTCCGGCGGGATGTGAAGCAGAACCTTAACTACTGCGGCCACGACTCGATCAGCCAGTTGGATGTGGACCTCTACCTCTATGCCACCGTTATCCAAACCCAGCGGCGATTGCAGCTCCAGCGAGAGGCGTACGACAGCTGCAACTTGGGCAATCGCAATGCCGCCACCCGGCCGCACATGATGCCATATGCCAATCTTGTAAGCCAGCTGGCCGCATCGGAGCAGAGCAACTGGTGGGATTTGGTGCTGCGGCTGCACCGGAACCAGCTGACCACCGAGGGCAATCGGGCCGAGCAACGAGCCCAGTTGCAAGTGGGATTGGAGGCGGTACGTGGGATAAATGGACCCAAGGCGGATACAATCATCATCTTCCGACTGGGAAAGATCCTGCAGTCTCGCGCGGATCGAGCTACTCTTGAGGCACGTATCGACGCCCTATACCGGCAAGGATTCACAATGCTGCGCCGCCAGCAGACCCAGCAACTGGATCCCTTCGTACGCATCTTCAAGTACGGATCCGCTGCCTCAACGTCAGCTTGGCAGGAGCTTCAATCGCTGGCCGAGCATGCCGTAACCTACCTCAGCGCCAAGATGTTCAAGGCAGGCCAGTACGAGCAGTTTGTCGACGAGGTGAGGGGCCTGAATCTGCCCATGGCCACCTACATGCAAGCGGATGCGTATCGCCTGCTTGAGGATTCCGGCAAGACGGCACGCGTTTCCCGGGCTCGTTTCTCGGAGCGACGGCAGGAGTGCCTGCAGCAGACGCAGCAGCTGCTGCGAAACGACACTAAACACCCACTGAACACGGTTATCCAACGCGAGCTGCGACGTAGCCAGCAGAATCGCAGTATTCAGGGCATGAGCGACAGCTTCGGTAGCCCCGATGTGCACAACAATTCCTCCACCTACGAGGATGCCGAGGATGATTTCTATTCCGGTGCTGCCTTGTCTGCCAATCGATCGCGTCGCCAACTGGAACCCCAAGCTCCAGTGACCCCAATTGTTGTGGCCCAACCGAGTCTCGAGATGGAACAGACTGTCAAGCAGATCAGTAAATCACTGTGTGTCCTTAAGGATGATGTGAGCGTGGGCATGGAAGCCATGCGGCAGGAAATCAAAACCCTTACGGAAAAGTTCACTGGTCTGGAGGATCTGCTCAAGAAGATCAAGATCAGCAGTCGAGACACGCCGACGCGGGATGTGGATCCCGCCTCCGCTTTGGGATTGGATGATCTCTTCATCATTGAGGATGCACTGGCAGAGCACCAGCAGCAACAGCAGCAGCAGCACCACCATCACAACCAAGCTGCAGTGCATCAGGCGGTTCCCAATCCGTACGGCGGACCCACCGCTGGCTTCTACAATGGCGTACCGAACACACCTTCTGCTCAGGATCGCTTTCTGCCGGGACCCTATGGCAGTCCCATGTTCAACCAGAACCAGATGTATAGCTACTATGCTGCTCAGGCTCAAGCACAAGCCCAGTTCTTGCGTACTCCGCCAGCTCCAGGCTCGATTCCACCACCCAATATGTTTGGTAAGTCCTTAGGATTCAAAATCCATAGGCATATTTTTAATGTTTCATTTTGTGTAGGTCCCCGGAATCCGAACTTTGGACTGCCCAGCATATTTCCACCACCGACAGGGCCTTCGGTGGCACCCTACATCGATGCAATGGGCAACTTTACCCAGCCGCCTCCAAGTCTGATACCGCCACCAGCTCAACCAGCTCCGGCACCTGCTCCTCTGAGTCTACTGGAGCAGAAACCAGCGGCTGCTGCCTTGCCCACTCCCGGCTTTTTCAACCCTTCTGCGCCGGGCTTTGGAGCTTCACCCATTCAGGTGCCGCAGTCCAAGCCCTTGAGTGTTCCAACTGCGCCAGTTCCTGCTGCTGCAATTGTGAATCCTCCAGTGCCAGTTGCTGTTCCTGCTCCTGCTCCTATTCAGATACCCCAAGCGGTGGCTCCTACGCTGCCCGCACCTGCAGTAAGTGTTCCGGCGATGTTTAACCGGGCCTTGAACAACCAGCCCGTGGAAAAAGAGCCGCCAGCCAATGTGGTCATCACCAGCTCTGATCCGTTGCCAAAGCCGACGAGTGCCAGTGTCCAGCCCACTTTGAGTGTGACTATTCCAGCACAGCATATCAAGCCCAGTTTGGTGCAGGCCCCGGAACAACAGGCACAGCAACAGCCACAGCCACAGCCGGTGGTTCCAGCTCCCACGGCAGCATTCAGCTTTAACTTCGGCACTAAATCCTCGGAAAGTCCATTCTCTTTCAAGTCGCAGGTGGCCAAAGCAGCTGCCGAAAAACAATTGGAACAAGAACGAGAGACAGCGGCAGAATTGAACCAAAGCGGAGCTAGTGATCCGAACAAGAGTCTGCAGCAAGCAGACATTTCCGCAGCGGATGACTACGATGCCCGGCCCGACTTCCAGGCCATCATTCCGCTGCCCGACGAAGTGGAGGTGCGCACCGGCGAGGAGGACGAGGATGTCAAGTTCAGCAGCCGCTCCAAGCTATTCCGCCACGCGGACAAGGAGTGGAAGGAGCGCGGCACTGGTTTGATTAAGATTCTGTGCGACAAGGCCACTGGTGTGTCGCGCGTCCTAATGCGTCGCGATCAGACCCACAAGGTGTGTGCCAATCACAAGATCACTGCGGACATGAGCCTGGCCACAGCCAGCCAGGACAAGGAGAAGAAGTCATTCCTGTGGGTGGCCAATGACTTTGCCGATGAGCAAGTGAGGCTGGAGAAGTTCCTGGTGCGATTTAAAACCGCCGAGGTGGCTGAGGAGTTCAGGTTGGCCTTTACTAATGCCAGTCAGGCGGCGGCAAAGTTGGAGAAGGCAAAGCCGGTAGAAAAAGTAGCTCAGAAACCCGTGGAAACCAAGGAAGCAGTTGCTCCTGCCGCATTCAGTCCTCCCAAGAGCTTTTTGACCAGCACTCCGGCTCCCAATTCCCTCTTTGGCAAGCCGCAGGAGCAGACGAAACCTGATCCTGTACCAGCAGCTCCAGCAGCGGTGGCCAAATCACTGTTTGGAACCCTATCGGGGGTTGTTGCCGCACCTCCTGCAGCAACAGCGCCCTCGGCTCCTGCGCCTTTTGCCAACTTTAGCTTCACGGGAAATGGAACCTCCTCAGGCTTCGGTGGTGGATCCACGGCATCTCCGTTTGGCAATTTATCTTTTGGTGGCGTTTCCGCCGTTGGCACCAGCAACACCGACAACAGCACACTCTTCACCACCGCTTTGGTCAAGGACAACACATTGCAAAGTCAGACGCCGCAGGCACAGCTAAACAAATCCGCCACCTCGGACGCTGAGGAGGACTATGTGCCCACTGCCCAGTTTGCGCCGGTGATTGCCCTACCCGAACTGGTGGAGGTTGTGACCGGGGAGGAGAACGAGGACGTGCTCTTCGAGCACCGGGCCAAGCTTCTGCGTTGGGACAGGCAGGCCAATGAGTGGAAGGAACGCGGTCTAGGAAATATGAAGATTCTGCGCGATCGTACCGATCCCAACCTGGTGCGTCTGCTAATGCGACGCGAGCAGGTTCACAAGCTGTGCTGCAATCAGCGTCTGATGCCTGAGACCAAGTTCACTGCCGCAACGAACATCAAGGCAGCCGTCACATGGGCTGGTCCGGATTACTCGGATGAGGAGTTGACTGCCGTTTTGCTGGCCGTGCGCTTTAAGTCGACCGATGTGAGCCAGGAGTTCCTCGATGCCGTTCAGAAAGCTCAACGGAGCATTGGCAACGAACCAAAGAAACAGGACGACGCTGGAGAAAAGGAGAAAGAGAAGGAGAAGGAGAAACCAGCAAAGGGCTTCGGTGATGCCTTCAAGCCCAAGGCAGGCAGTTGGAGTTGCCAGGGCTGCTACACCAACAATGGCCAGGATCAGCTGTACTGTGTGGCCTGTCAGGAGCCCAAAGATGCCACTGTGCCGCCCAAGCCATCAACGGGCTTGGATCAAGGCAATGCTTTGAACCTCACCACCAGCTCTGCGACAAAGTTCTCCTTTGGATTTGCACCGGCAGCTCTGCCGTCCACCGGTGGATTTAGCTTTGGAGGAGCTGCCACCCAGCACAAGGAGGAGGTCAAGGCAAAGCCAGTGGTGGCAGCTGTGACCGCCTCGGCCTCAGCTCCTGCTGCACCCGCCTTTGGATTCGGAAAGACTGCTTCTAATACTGGTTTCGGGGACGCCTTTAAGCCCAAGGTGGGCAGCTGGTCGTGCTCCGGTTGCTACCTAAACAATCCCGGAGAGTCGCTTTACTGCAGCGCCTGCGAAGCGCCCAAGGACGATACTGTTCCAAAGAAGGAGAATACACTGGGGTCGGGACTTACTCTGCCCGCCTCTTCGCAGTTTAACTTTGGCTTCGGAGCTGGTAACAAGGATAACAAAGACAACAAGCCTACCGATGTGGTGGCCAGCAAGAGCAGCAATGTGTTTGGATCCTCCACCTTCAGCTTTGCGGCTCCAACCGTAGCGGCACCAGCAGCACCTGCTGGCCTGATGGGCGCCGGCAGCTTTACCTTCTCCATGCCCAAACCCAGCCAAACTCAGCCAAAGAGTCCGGCGGCGCATGAGGGCGAAGATAATGATTCCCACGAGGAGGAGGAGGAGAACAACGCTTATTTTGCACCAGTGATTCCCCTACCCGATAAGGTAAGATGACACTGTGACACTTTTTTTTGTAGGTTTTTGAAGGTACAAAGGCTCCGGCTCAGCTTGCGTTTAGATTTTTGAGCATTTGGATTTTATTTTCATGGAATTCGTTTTTTTTTTTGTTGGTAAGAACAAAAGGTTCAAAATTGCAATAATACCAAACGTTAATTGTTATGTTAGTACCAAATGTGTCTTTAATTACAAAAGTGTGAATTTGAAATGTAGCCATTTTTAATCCAGGTTTAATTCAGCTTTATTCCTGATCTTTATTATAACCAAACGCAAGCTATGCTAGAGGATCCTTAAATAGGGTTTGACCAGCTTGGATAGGTACTTTCAGAATTTCAAATACAAATTGCAGTTACATTTACCGTGTTTGCAACAAATGTTTATAAACTGACACACACACATGTTTTCAGATCGATGTGAAAACGGGGGAGGAGGACGAAGAGTTGCTGTACGTGCACAAGGCCAAGCTGTATCGACTTACGGAGGGCGAGTGGAAGGAGCGCGGCTTGGGCGATGTGAAGATACTGCGGCACAGGGAAACGAAGAAGCTGCGCGTGGTGATGCGCCGTGAGCAGGTGTTCAAGATCTGTCTCAACCATGTGCTCAGCTCGAATGTGGTGTACAAGCCGAAGAGCGAGACGTCTTGGATGTTTGCTGTTCACGACTTCAGCGAGGGTGAGAGTGTCCTCGAAAGGTTTACCCTGCGCTTCAAGAACCAGGAAGTGGCGCAGGGATTCAACAACGCGGTTAAAAAGGCCCTCGATGGAACCGCTAAACCGATAGAAGAAGGTTCGGATACAGCAGTCAGCAGCTCCACCTTAACAGCCAGTACGAGTTCTGCAGATAATCTGCTCCAGGATCATATAGGCGGGGCCAGCTGCAGAGGCTGCGATCCGGAAAAGTTCGAATTCGGCAACGCCACTTCGTCAACAGTAAGCACCTCCGCCGGCGAAGTGAACCCACCACTTCCCATGACCCTGCCCATCCTGACTCTCCCCCAGACATCATCTGTTATTCCTCCCACCTCTGCACCCGCACCCTCGATATTTAAAGCCAGTTCGTTGGGCACAACGACGAAACCTTCATCGTTCTCCAGCTTTACCAATTCACCCGCGCCGGAGGGTAGCAAACCGCCCAGCTCTGCTTTTCTATTTGGCAGCACGGGTAAGTGTTGGATTTTCTCATTTTTGTGGTAAAAAAAAAACATAGGTTTCGAAATTCCCTTACAGATAAACCACAGTCCGGAGGAACTGCTGCCACACCCTTTGCCAATCTACAAAAATCCATCTCCAGCGGAGGACAAGGCAACGTTTTGGGATCTATTTTTAGCAGCAGTGTATTGAACCAAGCTCCTGCTGACGATTCAGCGAAATCCATTTTCGGCGGTGGGGAACAAAAGAAAGAATCCCCCAACTCCATTTTCGGAGGCGTCAAGCCGGATTCCCAGACAGCAGCTAACCAAGAGGCTTCCAAGTCCATATTTGGTGGTACCGGAGGAGCACCCGTTTTCGGAGGACCAAATCCTTTTGGACTCCCAAAAGTGGAGTCGCAGGCATTGGACGGCAAAGAGGCGCCAAAGTCAATCTTTGGCGGTACCCCAAGCATTTTCGGAAGTACCAAAGTTGGGTCCCAAGCAGCACCAGCCAGCCAGGACGCCCCCAAATCCATCTTTGGTGGTAGCCCCAGCGTTTTCGGAGGATCAACCGGCGGAAGCTATGTATTTGGCAGTGGTACCGTCTTTGGACAGAAAGAGGCACCCGTCTCGTTCACAGATCTGGGCCAACAGGCAGCCCAGCCAGAAAAGGTTGCAGAGGAGACCAAGGACAAGCAGGACACGGTGGCCAGCACTACGTTTGCCGACTTGGGAAACAAGGCGGGCAGCACATTTGCCGATTTGGCCAATAAACCGGCGGGTGGCACATTTGCTGATTTCGCGAACAAGGCGACGAATGACTTTGCCAACCTGTCGGCCAATAGCCAAGGCAATCCCACGGTATTTAACAAGTCCGGCGGCGGTAGCGGTGGCTTTTACAACCTGACGCACCAGAACGCCTTCAAGAATTTCGGGTCTGCGTCGCAGACTGGCAAAAACAACGATTCCGGAGCGGCTGGAGATGGCGACGAGGATGGAGACGGCACCACCGATGACAACTACGATCCGCACTACGATCCCATTGTGGAGCTGCCGGACGAGATAGTAGTCACCACGGGAGAGGAGAACGAGACTAAGCTGTACGGCGAGCGGGCGAAGCTCTATCGTTATGACACCGAGTTAAAACAGTGGAAAGAACGAGGTAAGTTTTGGTCCCATATCCAATTAAATGCATGCAGGCTAATATTACTAAGGTGTTTTTTTTTTAAACAAATGATAACTTGGTTTCTAATAAAAACCAAGAAAACAGAGTAACCTTAGACAATTTTTGTGCCGTTACCTGCGTTTTAAATCTTAATTTTTGTCTTAATAATTCACAGAAGTACTAGAGCTTAGAACGGAAGAATACGATGATGTTAAATGTATTCTAAAATACATAAGCATTTACAAATTACAATAAATTTATAATTGAGTGTTTTCCAATTGGTCGCACATTCAAAATTTGGAAAAGTATCAACAAATCAGTTTATTACAATAACAATTTAAACCATAGCCATTGGCATAGCTTTACTGTGAATTTTGGTGGACAGTTTTATATGTAGATTACCTTTCTCCGCAGGCGTGGGCGAGATAAAAGTGCTGGAGCACCCGGAGCTGCAGACATTCCGGTTGGTCATGCGGCAGGAGCAGATCCACAAGCTAGTGCTGAACATGAAGATCACCGGCACAATGCAGTTCGATTATATGAACGAGCAGAAGAAGAGCTTCCTGTGGGCTGGCTACAACTACGCCGTGGACGCAGAGGGCAAGGTGGGCACCGAGGGCGTTCTGGAACGCCTGGCCTGTCGATTCGGCAAGGAAGAAACGGCCGACGTCTTTCTCAAAACGGTCAACTCCTGCGTACAACGGGCTAAGGCCTTGGACTGCGATCAGGAGGACGAGCAGGACAGCTCGTAAGGAAACTGGAACTAAATATATGTAGCATGTTTACGATTGAGTTTATAAGGTAGTCTGTCAAAAAAAGTATCGGAAATTATTGAAAATGCACAATTTTCATCTAATAATAAAAACTTTGATAAACATTAAGATTTAGTTTTCAAATAACGCTTTGTTTGCGGGGTTGTTGAACCAGTTTCAGGTCAACGAATTTATGCTATTTTGAAAATTGTATGTTGGTTATTTAAATTTTAATAGTTCACGCGCCTTCCAACAATCGATACATAAAAGAGGAGCGTGACTTGATAAAAAAAGAATAACTGTAGATATTTTAATCACATACAATTATAATTTGTTATTTGAATTAACTAAAATAAATAATTTATTTCTATGGTAAATATAAAAATTAACCCTTTACGATAGTCGCTTGAGAACCGATAGTTCCATCCCCAACTCAGCGACTATCGCACGGGCCATCGATAGTTTGACAGCCCTGCCACTGAGAGAGCATAATGACGTGGTGAACTCTGTGTGAAAAAAGAACAATAAATTGCCGACAAATCTGTAGTGTAATTAAATTAGTTACCGCATAGGATCGAGCTACATTTGGGGCTTAATAATAACAGAAATCGTAGTTCCGAAACCTTGGCAAGCGGGCTCTGGAAAACTAGAAATCTCAACACACTGACAGTCGCAAGAGCCCTACAACAAGGAGGAAGAAGAAGAAGGAGGCGAAGGCGACGACGGGCGGTTGCATAGAACATGAGAATTAGAGAATAATTAGCGATTGGAGCGCACCAGTTGGCCTGTTTTGTGTTGTGTTAGCCCCTTTCCGGCTGCCCCTGCCCCCGAAGAGGAGAACACACAGCCCTCGGAATCAATACACGTGTGCAGCGGCAACGACAACGTCAAAGTCAACATTAGAGGCCGGAATCTCATGAAAGACTAACCATGATGAACGAGGACAGCAGTGCTGCCAGTGGCGGCGGCGTTAAAAAGTTCTTTCAGCGCCTCTCACAGGTAGGATGTCCTTGTTGCCGTCAGAACTCCATATCCTAGCTAATCTCTTATCTCATCGACAGACCTACCAATCCACCTTGGACCGGAGCACACCGCACACACGGATGCGCTGGGTTTTCGCCGGATTTCTGCTACTGCTTTTCGTTCTGCGCATCTTCATCTATCAGGGCTGGTACATTGTGTGCTATGCCTTGGGCATCTACCACCTGAACCTGTTCATCGCCTTTCTGACGCCCAAAATCGATCCGGAGTTCGATCCGTATTCGCAGGACGACGAGGACGAGGGTCCCAATCTGCCCACGCGCAGCAATGAGGAATTCCGACCGTTCATACGCCGCCTGCCCGAGTTCAAGTTTTGGCTGTCGGTGGCGAAGAGCACGCTAATCGGGCTCATCTGCACCTTCTTCGATTTCTTCAATGTGCCAGTCTTCTGGCCAATCCTGGTCATGTACTTCCTCACGCTGTTCTGCATCACGATGAAGCGGCAGATCAAGCATATGATCAAGTACAAGTATTTGCCGTTTACGCGCAACAAGCCGCGCTACCAGCGGGTCAACGATATGGCGGGACCTGGACCTGGCTCCGTGGCGGCGGGCCATGCGAAGTGACAATTAGCCGCACAGACGCCGGATATGCGGGCCACGGCAGCAGGAGCGGGAGCAGGCGATCATTTGACCGCCTCTTCTGCAGCTGCAGTGCCACCATCAGCAACAGCAACAACTAGCGACAACGCGGCGACCAAGGATGTAGGGTCGCCAACTGTGGGAGGATCAACAGCAGCATCGTCCATCAAACCACCGCAGATCATTGCCATTGAGGACTACTAGAGAAGGCTACCAAAAGAACCAGAAGCATAACTTCAACCATAAATCAAGCTTATATTATGATTTCTTTCGGTTTGTGTAGCATTTTTCTTTCCACTGTTGAGTTGTCGTACGGCGTCTTGTGCTAATTATTTTGTTTAACTTTGTTTAATCTAAATGCTTGTTTAAATTTATATTTATATACAATGCTTTCTAACTATTGTAAATCCCCCCAACGATACCGAAACAGATCAGCTCTAATTTAAATTTTCACCCTAATCCTAACGATAATTTAATGTTTTTGCTATCCAAAAAGTAGAATTATTGTATTCGAAAACAAATATTTTTTGATTATCATGCTTAGATGCTATAACAATGTATGCCTAAATATATATACAAACATATATATTTTGCATTATGATTATACAATTTTTGTTAGCGTTTACTATAAAAAAGAATGTTAAAAAGGCGGATTGAAAACTGAAACTATAGGGAGTATACACTGGGTGCGTCTTATGAATAAAGAAAGACACAAGAAAACCAAAGTAATTGATTGTTTTAATTTTGACCTATTTAAAATGTTGAGTTGAGGATTTAGTGGCGTGGTATTTCTGTTTATCTAATCGCATTTTCGATCGGAGCGCCTCAATGTCGTTTGCTGTACATTATGTTATGAGTCAAGTTTTGATAAGGGGTTAATACATTTTATGTCGTTGGGCGAAATTAAACTAAAATTTTTAGATAATCAACCAATGTGTTCTTGCCCTTAATATTTTTCCTGAAAAACAGAATAATTTGCAAGCAGCTTTTTCTCTATAAAAACGTAACAATAAGATTTTATTCAAATGAAGCACACACCCAGAGGTTAAGCGCACATAGTGATGACTACAAAACACGATACAAAAATAGGGGTAACAAGTTCAGTAAGGCGTCAAAAATACATATATAAAAATGGCTGAAAAATGTGGAACTTTTGAATACTTTAAATAGCCTTGTGACATGCAATATAAATGCACTTTGTACTTTAAAATGAAAACGCTATTTAATGTACTGGGCACTTGGAATACTAAAGAGGCAACGAGACAGTAAAGGTTTCACTTGATTTCTATTCAGATCCAGCCCTGGCCTTGTCTTCTTTAGCGCATTTCCGTATGACACTATTGAAGTATTTGTGCAGCCCGTAGCTAACAAGTCGCAGTGGTCCCAAAGCGATGGCATGCAGGAGATTGGTAAAGAAGCCATCCCAAGGGAGTAGAGCCCCACCCAAAGTGGTGATCAGCCAGCTTTCTGCTCCTACCGTGGATGTGAAATTACCCTTCTGCAAAAGAGATACAAAATATTAAAGATATTATCTTAAAAAGGGCAAAATTCAATCTTCATCAAAGCTATTAATTAGATAGTATAATATTGGCTTATATTTGGTATATTCTTGTTAAGAAAATAATAAGCAAATACATTCAGACCTATGAAATTTCACTTGCTTATACATTTGTTTAAATTGCTTTGTAGAAAGATCTCCACTAAATAACCGACTCACCAAGGCATCATTGAGTATAGCTTTGGCCATAACCTCTGGCTCGATGAGACCTCCGCCCCCCGAGATTATTTTGGTCTCCCTTGGCTTGGATTTCTCCTCCTCTTCGAATCCGGGCGTATTCGTATCGCAGGGCATGGCCAATGTCACGCTGATTCCGTGCTCCCGGGATTCCATGGCTATCGTTTCAGCCATGGCTCTAAGGGCATACTTTGTGGCCGAATACGGACCATAGCCGTAGATGCCAAACATTGCTGCCTGCGAGGCTGTGATCACAATGATGCCCTCGCCAGACTTCTTCATCTTGGGCAGGACGTAGCGGGTGCAGTTGTAGGTGCCAAAGAAGTTCACGTTCATCAGCTTGTGCACATCCTGGACGGAGACCTCCTCGAACACACCGCAAATGGCCATGCCGGCGCAATTGATCAGTGTGTAAATGGGTCCGAAACTCTCCTCGATCTCGCCCAGCACCTTGGCCACCTGGTCATAGTCGCCACCAATGTCCAGGCTCCTGTACTGGAACTTTTGATCCGGTCGCTGTCGAATCACTTCCATCAGGGCCACTGCTCCGCCTAGGGAAAGAGTATTTATTTTAGATAAGGGTAATGTTTTGGGTGCGGTTTTTCAATTACTCACTTAGCATTTTTTCATCCCGTGCTATTACCGTCACATTGGCGCCCTTCATGGCGCATTCCACTGCCAGACAGAGACCGATTCCCTTGGAGCCGCCGGTGACCACCACATGACGGCCAACAATGCTCCTTGGGCGCTTGGCCATGACGAACAGGTAGACCAGAACGTGAACCAGCACCGCTATGCCCACGCAGAGCACTATCTCCCAGCTAAGTTCCATGGGGTTGAAGATAATGCCCAAATTCTATAATCTATTGTGCGAAATTGTTTAATCAGATTGGAAAAAAAAAACTGATTAGAAAGTGCAGCGATGTGTGACCGTTTGCCAAGACTGCATTCATATCGATAACTTTCAACGGCAAACTGAGTATTAAAATAGCTATTAAAAAGCTAAACACAGTCAAACAATTTTATTTAAGTCTTCAGCTATTTATTTTTTTCACATTTAAGTTACTCGTAAACTTTGTAAATCTTTTAAAATTAAGCTTTAAGGTTTTAGGAACTATTTATAATAAGTTTTGGATGCTATAAAACTGAGGGAAATTTTAATGGGAATTTATAAGTTATGTTTAAAAAAAGCTAGATTTTGTCGGGATCGATTGGCAGCACTGACCACATGTGGCAACTCCATCTGAATTTGTTGTTTACTTGGAATTAGTTTGTAATCTAGGAAATATTAAACGAAAATGCCACCGAAGAAAGATGCAAAGGGCGGCAAGGACGCGGGGAAAGGTGGCAAAAAGCCAGCCGCCGAAGACAAGTGTAAGTGCATATAGAATTCCAAAGAAAATAAGTCTTATTTCAATGACTGATTCCCACATGGGTGGTGCAGCTGCCGGCAAGGAGAAGAAAGGAGGCAATGCCGTCAAGGTGCGCCACATCCTGTGCGAAAAGCAGGGCAAGATCACCGAGGCCATGGAGAAGCTGAAGGCGGGCCAGAAGTTCCCAGAGGTGGCATCCGCATACAGCGAGGACAAGGCACGCCAGGGTGGTGATCTTGGCTGGCAAATCCGCGGAGCCATGGTCGGTCCTTTCCAGGACGCCGCCTTCGCCCTGCCCATCTCCACCGTCAACAATCCCGTGTACACAGATCCCCCGGTCAAGACCAAGTTCGGCTACCACATCATCATGGTGGAGGGAAAGAAATGAGGGCTAGCTGATTTTATAAATCGAATTTTAATGTGACACGGTTTTTGTTTCTTTTCCTGGATAACATGTACGCAAATCACTTTTTGCCTGCATCCTCTTTAAGACCCACCGTTCGGTTGAACACTATGTGCTCCGAGGTGGTGTCCGGGTCCACAGAGAAGAAGCCGATCCGCTCGAACTGGAACTTGTCGTAGATCTTGGCCTGCTGGAGCGCCCTATCCGCAAAGGCCACAGCCACCGACATGGACTGCTCGCTGATGTCGCTGAGGAAGCCGCCGGGCACCTCGTTGGGATCCTCGGGATTTCGGTGCTTGAAGAGCTGCTCGTAGAGACGCACTTCCAGCTGGATGGGCTGCGACACCCACTGAACAAAGGCCTTGGGCTTCTCGGCCTGCTCGGCAGATTGGCTGGAGCAGATGAGTTCAACTACTTGGCCCGTCGCCTTATCCTTTACAATCTCCTCCACGCTGATGACGAGTCCTGCGTGGCGCAGACCCACGGATTGCTTAGGTGACAACCGGCGGTAGCCCTTCTCGGGCTCCAACTTGAAGTCTCCCTGCTCGATGTAGATCACCTTGTCAAGGGTGATCTTGTGCGATCCCTGCTGTGGGTTCTGGGGGAAATCAGGCACATCTAACTGCACGGGCTTCGCATGCGGGAAGTTCTTGATGGTGACTTTGAGCGGTTCCAGGACAACCAAACGCCGGGGAGCTGTGACATTGAGCACATCTCGCACGGCCGCCTCAAGCATGGCGGGATCCACGGCAATCTGGGCCCCAGTGACGCCCATTTGGGCGCAGAAGTTGTTAATGGCCTCGGCGGGGAAGCCCCTCCGCCGCAGAGCCGTCAACGTAAACAGCCTGGGATCGTCCCAGTCGTGGACAATCTGCTCCGTGATCAGCTTGGCAATCTTGCGCTTCGAAACGAGGGCGTAGTTCATGTTCAGCCTGCCGTACTCCCACTGCACCGGGCAGTAGATATCGAGGGCGTTGCACAGCCAGTAGTACGAGGATCGCCGCGATTGGAACTCCTTGGTGCACAGAGAGTGGGTGATGTCCTCGATGGAGTCGCAAAGGCAATGGGTGTAATCGTAGGTGGGATAAATGCACCAGTCGGAGCCGGTTCGGTGGTGAGCGATAAACTTGATGCGATACGCCACCGGATCCATCTTGCCCTCCTCCAGGGTAACCTTCATCCGCAGCGTGGCCGCTCCCTCGTCGATCTTGCCGCGCTTCATGTCCTCGAACAGACGCAGTGACTCCTCAACGGGACGCTCCCTCCACGGACTCGGCTTGGGATTGAAGCCCTTCAGCTCCTCCGCCTTCTGGTGGCAAACGTAGGCCAGTCCCTTGTTAATCAGGACCACAGCCCACTCGTACAGCTGCTGAAAGTTGTCCGAGGAGTAGGTGATCTTGTAGGGCTTGTAGCCCAGCCACTCCACCATATCCTTGATGGCCAGAAAGAACTTCTCCTCCTCTTTCTCGGGATTGGTGTCGTCGTAGCGCAGATAACACACGCCATCGTGTGCGGCGGCGTAGCCAAAATTTATGTTGATGGCCTTGGCATGGCCAATGTGCAGAATGCCATTGGGCTCTGGGGGAAAACGGGTGTGCACTTTGCCGCCCGTCCTGGCCAAGTGCTCCTTGAGAAGTCGCTCTGTTTGCTCCGTCACCACATAGCCATCACTCTTGAAGTTCTCGCCGGGAGCATGGAAGTGCACCTTTGTCTTCATCAGTTCCGCAATCGTGGTGGCTCCGTCGGAAGCTGCCTCAGCGGCATCTTCTTGCTTGGGTTTCGCCGCCGCCTTGGGCTTCTCGTTCTGCTTGCTTGGGGGCTTCAGGTCCGCCTCCGTCTTGGGTCCCAGCAGATCAAATATCTCCACATCGATGGCCGCCTTCACGGACTTGGCATCCGCCCATTTCAGCTCGCCTCGCACATCCTGCAGGATCTTGAAGGAGTTGAAGTGATAGCGCTGCTCCAGCAAGGCATCCCTGTAGCTGGCCTTGATCTTGGCCTGCACAGTGCGTTCGATTTGCTCGGGAGTGACCACCACGCCCACGCCGCACTCCTTCTCCAGCGCCTGCAAATCGATGTTGGCCTTCAGGCTCTGGCCGCTCTTAAGCACATACTCCAGGGCCGCGTCCACGCGCTGCGTGTTGTCGAGTTTGCGCTCTACAATGTAGCGGACCAGCAGAGGCAGTTGCTCCGCCGTCTGGGGCTTCAGCTTGGTGGCCATGTGGTAGATCAGCATGCCGGTGCCATCGGTCAAAGGAGCGCCCGATGAACCTGCCGCTGCAAGCGCCAGTTGGAGATTCTTGGTCACGTTGGCATTCTTCAGGGTCTCCTTCGCCTTCTGCTCGCTCATCCCGAGCGCCTGGAATTGGGCAATCAGATCCTCGCCAGCCATGTCCGCAGTTTTTGTCTCTTTCTGATGAAATTGTGCAGGCCAAGTGTGACCGTATTGCGCCGGCCACAAAACACCAGTTGCATTCTATTCTGAAAACATTTAGCGGTTTTCCACTTGCTCAATTTTGGCTAGTGAAATTGACATTAAAAAAGTTTGCCTTGTAATTATTACATACGTGCATTTTCAATTTATGATTTATTACTTTTAAAAGTGATTCCCAGCTTTTTCAAATTTTTGTTGATATCATCTGGGCAGTCGTGAAGCTCAATTTGTATTTCGTTCTAAAAATATTGACCATCTTTTCGCAATTCACAAAAAAAATACTAGTTATTTTGGATTTCATCTGCCTCAAATTAAATTAAGAAAACATTTAAGAAACAATACATTAAAAAGTATTGTCTATGGTTTCTGCACTAATTAAAATTAAAAAAAAAAAAACAAAAAACACATTTAAGCAAATGTTGATATATAAGTACAATCTCAAATTATTAAACAAACAAATTTTAAAAAATGTTAAAGTTAGTGTAATCTTAAATTATTTAAACATTTATTCAAATAGTTTAAAAAAAAAATTTATTTCCGGAGGAACATTATTAAAGTTAAAAGTTTGGAATTACATTTTGAACATATAAATTAGTAATTATAATCGATATTTTCTAACACCACGAAAATATCGATTTCCTTCCACCCCTAGTCCGCCTGCACGTGTAAAAAGAAAACATTGATAAATGCATCGTAAAACACAGTAAAACTGCCATAATAAAGCGAAAATGGGTAAATTAAACGTGACAGTGCTGCGCTACCTCACCAAGGAGGACTTCCGCGTCCTCACGGCCATCGAGATGGGCATGAAGAACCATGAGCTGGTCCCTGGACCCTTGGCCGCAGCCATTGCAAATCTGAAGACGGGTGGAGTCCACAAGTTGCTCAAGGAGCTCTGTAAGCACAAGCTGCTGGCCTACGAGCGCGGCAAAAAGTGTAAGTGTGACTCAGATGGTAATTCCCTTAATTAACCTATTTAAAATGCTCCATAGATGATGGATACCGCCTGACCAACACGGGCTACGATTATTTAGCTCTGAAATCCCTCACCTTGCGGGGATCGGTGAGTTCCTTTGGCAACCAGATTGGCATCGGCAAGGAGTCCAACATCTATGTGGTGGCCGATGAGGAGGGCACTGCCATTTGCCTGAAACTCCACCGATTGGGACGCACTTGCTTCCGGAATGTGAAAGCCAAGAGAGACTACCATGGACGCCGGCACAAGGCCTCCTGGTTGTACTTGTCTCGCATTTCGGCCACCCGTGAGTTCGCCTACATGTCCGCTCTGTACGATCGCGGATTTCCCGTCCCCAAACCCATCGACTTCAATCGCCACTGCGTTTTAATGGATCTCGTCAAGGGCTGGCCCATGTAATATGGCTTTTTTCTAATTATTGCAATTGCTTGAATATGGATTTCTCCATTGCAGGACCCAAGTTCATGAGCTGCTGGATGCTCCGCAGGTCTACGATGATCTTATGAATCTAATTGTTCGCCTGGGAAACTCAGGAGTCATCCATGGTGATTTTAATGAGTTTAATTTAATGGTGACCGACGACGGCAAACCCATACTTATTGATTTTCCTCAGATGATGTCCACCTCGCATGAGAATGCTGAATTGTAAGTATCTTGGGATTGGTTACTCTCGTTTTTATTTTATATTTATTTTTTCAGTTTTTATCTGTTCTGAACCTAGTTTATTTTTCTTTACTTAACTAATACCTTACTCTGTTGCAGCTTCTTCGATCGCGATGTAAATTGCGTGCGTGAAATGTTCCGTCGCAAATTTGGCTACGAAAGCGAAGACTACCCCAAGTTCAGCGATTTGGTGCGTGAAGATGACCTGGACGCCGAGGTTCATTGTACGGGCTATGGTTTCACCAAGGAGATGGAGCAGGATCTGCTTGAGGAGTACGGAATGGTGGAGAAACTAGATGATGACGAGGAAGAGGATGTTCAAGAGGAGGAGGAGCCGCCCACTTTGGTTACTGCGGCAGCTGTTGAAATTGACGAATGTCGACGTCAGGTGGAGAACGAGGTGTCCTACAGTGAGACCAAGCCCACACAAAAGTCCAATGATGCAGTGCGTCGCTATATTGAATCGTGTACGCAGTATCTGGGTAATCTGGCCGTAGGTCCAGAGGTTCCCGATCAGACACTGCCCAAGAAAGTGGAAGTTTCCCTGCCTGCCGAAACTACAGAGGTTATTCCAGCCGTTCTTGAAGTTTCCGCTGCACCCAGTGCTTCGGAAGATGCCAGGTCCATCAGTTCCAACGATCTGGACACCGATGAAGTGCCCGAGTTGGTGGGCCTGGATCCCAACTCTCGCATGTATCGCCTAAAAATGGTCGAGCAGATGCTAAATGATGCCAGAAGTCAGCGCTCGTACTCCACCACAACCAGCACGATAGCTCCGTCCGTGATCACCGACCGGATACGTCGCAACATGGACATCAAGGAGAAGCGGGAGCAGCGCAAGAAGTGTGTGGCCAAGGGAGAAGCCAGTGCTGTTCATCGTCATCGCAAGGAGAACAAGGATGTGGTGAAGGAATACGCCGGCTGGGACTTTTAGATCAGGTTAGACCTGAAAATCTATTTGATAATAGATAAATATTTCTTACTCCCTCTAGTGATATGTAAATGTATAATAAAACAGCTATTCGTTTTGAACTTGTTGTCCATATTTGTTTGGCAGTTAGTTCACTGCATTCTTCCCCTTCTAATCAGTTTGGTTTCGCGTGATTATGTTTATAATAGCACCATAAAATACAAAGACAAAGTTTCTTTATCCACTGTTATCTCTAGCTAAACAAGTATCGCCATTATTCGGGCGTGCAGTGCATTGTAAAATACTACTATCGCTTTTAAGCAGTTTAGCCGTTCTGTAACCGGTCAGTAAGGTGTTCAAATTATTTCCAGGTATGCCAGTTAGCTGTCTGTTAAAACAATTTCGAATGCTCTTTTAAAGAAACATTTTAAAACAGTCTGATTAAAAGTCATATAATTTCAAAAACAAGCCATCTAAAGAACAATTTCGAATGGTGAATAACTTAATAACAAACACCTTGAAACATTAGCAGGTAAAAAAAACTAGTTAACCATCTCATCAAACCACTTCCAAAACTAGCTAATCCTTAAAAATGTCCTAATGGTGATTTCCGAATGCTAGCCATTACGTTTACTCTGAATCAGAATAAGATCAATTTTGGATAGCATTAGTTTGACTGTCTTTTCCTTCCAATGCGTTCAAGCTAAGGCAAAATTACTTAACTGCGGACAACAACAACGCAAGTTATCATTTTTATCATTACTCCCCTGCAGCCCTATAAAAGAAGTAGTCAGAAACCCCTTAAGTTACAGTAAGGAACACACAATGCCTGAGGAAAAGACTTATCCGGTACCCAGCTGGCTCACTAAAGACTATGTCCAGGAAAAGCTGCGTGCATACTTCAAATCCGACACCCTTAAGTTGGAGAAATTGCACATCAAGCCGGCCATTGCGAAGGGAAAAAACTACGCCACCGTCATGACCCGCATCAATGTGGAGTTCACCACGAAGGAATCAGTGGAAAAGAAGGCCACCAACTTCCTGATAAAGACCACATTCACCAAAGATCCGGCTGCCCATGTGTTTATAAAATATGGGGTTTACACTCGGGAGATGGACATGTACCAAAGGATTTTGCCCAAGATAGGAAAGTTGGTGAAGGAGGAAATCCAGGATCCTCGAAGGCTTTTTGCGGGCACTGTTATCGTCGATAGGGAGACGGATTCGCTTATATTCGAAGACCTAACGCTGGAGCACTACAAAGTGGCCTGCCGGGTAAGAAAACTGGATCTGGAGCACACTCATTTGGTGCTGGAAAAGTTGGCCGAGTTCCATGCCGCCGGAGCAGTTCTGGCCGAAAGAGAATTGGGGATCTTCAGAGAGAACTATGACCGTGGGTTTTACAACAAATATACGAGGGGTTACCAGCCGGTCATGACGAATCTCTTGAAGGCCCTCTCGCGATCCCTAAACTTGGATAAGGAGCTCCGCCAACGCTACCAGGCGAAGATCGACCGACTTATCAACCATGTGATGGTCTATGGAGAGCGATCGACTACCAACAATCCAGGGGACTTTTTAACCCTGGCCTATGGAGATCTTTGGACCACAAACGTAATGTTCCAGTACGATGATGAAGGTCACCCCACCAATGCCATCTTCATTGACTTTCTGTTTAGCGTGTGGAACTCTCCGGCAATCGATCTGCACTATTTTTTCTCCACATCCATACACGACAACCTTCGACTCCTAAATCAGCCAGCATTGATACAGTTTTACTACTACAAACTGAAGGAGTACTTACTTAAAGTCAAGTACTCGGGTCATATTCCCAGTTTGTTTGACTTTCAATTACAGTTCCGGAAAAGAGCCTTCTATGGTAGGTAGATGGATAGACATAACATATTTTAGTTTCTGCACTGGAAAAACCCGTGTAATCAAACATTTAGTTATTTAAAATAAGAACACAGTAAATTAGTTTTAAAATTTTTGGAATAGATTTAAATATCTAAAAGTCTAATTTAAAGCTATTTAAATAAAGTATTTATTTATAATATTAAAAACAATAATATCCAATTGCATGATTTAATATTAAGTTTTAGATTGCAATTAGAAAATATTTTCTATTTGATTTATTTTCCACATATTTCATTTAAATATGGATTAAATTTAAATTTGTTTAGTCAGATCTTAAAACCAAATTCAAAAACAGTTATATAAAAAAACTTAAAAAAAATGGTGATATTTAAAATCACTTAAAATTGCAATGAATGACAGTCAAAGCGATAAATATTTAAATTGAACAGAAAGTATTTGAATTTACTACTTTTTTTTACCAGTGTACATATAGTGTTTTTAACTCACTTAGAACCCAATTATTATTTTATGTTTAACTGAAATATGAAATATAACGTTTTGGATTCCATTTTATTATTGCAGCTGTTTTTGCTTCTCCGATGTTCGAACCCTTTATGGTGTACAATGGCAAGGAGGAGCCTTCCCTAGAGCAGGTTATTTCTGAGGACAGCAGTGGGATAAGGTTTAAGGACGACGTTTTTCAGCAGGAGGGTCTCCGAAAAAGGCTTCATCTCACACTTCCCCATCTGGAGCAATGGGGATTACTGGATGACATGTAATCATTTTGCTTACACTCTGTAAAAATTTACCGTAAGCTTTCTAAAATAATAAATCAGATAGCAGCCACCTTAATCTCTACATCTTAGTCTCTAGATTTTTATGACTTCATAAAATGTAAAAGATTAGCGTTCTTATCTAATCTTCATGTAATCCCTTGATAAATATCTTATTACCATTACTATTCGGTGATGCAGATCTTTTTGAAATGCTACAGATATATATATATATATATATATATTAAAATATTCAAATTTAATATTGATTGAGAATCTTGTTTGTTGGGTGCAGTCTATCTTTTAAAGTAAAAGATCCGTTCTCATTAATAAAGTAAAGAAAAACAGGCACTAATATTTTGTTGCAGGCAATAAAGTTATAGGCAAACCTAAAGTGAGATGATAAAAGCGCAGCAATTCTGACGCAAATCTACACTTTCAAAACTACCGAGCTAACGTTAAGATCACAAAATGTCCGAGAAAAATAGCAAAGAGGAACTAGAATGGCCCACCAAGGATTATGTTGAAAAAAAACTGCGTAATTATTTCAGGAACGACACTCTCCGGTTGAAAAAACTTGGCATTAAACCGGCTGCAGCCAAAGGCGACAACTATGCCAGCGTTATGTCCCGGCTTAGTGTGGAGTACACCATCAAAGACTCAAAGGACGTGCAGGCCGCATCATTTCTGCTGAAGACCACCTTCGCCGCCGAGGACCCGGCGACTATGTTGCTAACCGACTACGGAGTTTACACCAGGGAGATGGACATTTACGAGCAGGTCCTGCCCCATTTGGCCAAGATGGTGAGGGAGGAGCTTAAGGATTCCAGGAAGCTGTTCGCAGCTACCGTTAATGTGGATCGCCAGCGGGACTCGATCATCTTTGAGGATCTGTCGCAGGAGCAGTACAAAGTGGCTTGCAGGCTAAATAAACTCGATCTGGAGCACACTCATCTGGTGCTGGACAAGCTGGCTGAATTCCATGCCGCTGCAGCAGTTCTGGCCGAACGGCAGCCTGGCATCTTTGACAATAACTACGATCGAGGATTTTTCAACAAACATGTTCGCGGCTACGAATCCACCATGCGCAACCTTCTGATGGCCTTGTCGCGCTCCCTAGAGTTCAACAAGGATCTCAAGGAGCGCTATCAGGCGAAAATTGATCGTCTGGTGGATAATATAATGGACTACGGCGAGAGATCGACGTCACATAATCCAGGGGACTTCTTAACCCTGGCCCATGGAGATATTTGGACCACCAATGTCATGTTCCAGTACGATGACGAAGGTCATCCCATCAATGCCATCTTGATTGATTTCCAGTTCAGCGTGTGGAACTCTCCGGCCATCGATCTGCATTATTTCTTCTCCACCTCGATAGACGACAACCTTCGCTGGAAACACCAGCCGGAGTTGGTTCAGTTTTACTACCACAAACTGGTGGAATCTTTGAAGAAACTAAAGTATTCACGACATATTCCGAGTTTATTTGAGTTCCATCTGCAGTTTCAAGCGAGAGCTTTTTATGGTAAGTGAGTAAAAATTATATTTAAAATTAAATTTAAAAAAAACTTTTCACAGCTGTCTTTTCCTCACTGATTTTCGAGCCCTGCATGCTGTACAATGGAGTTGAAGAGGCGTCCATTGCACAGGGAATGTCGGACTCCGAAAGTGGAATCCGGTTCAGAGATTCCGTATATGCGGCAGATCATATCAGAGAAAAAATGGTTCTCGCACTGCCGTTCCTCGACCAGTTGGGATTACTGGATGAAATGTAAATTTTATAATTAAAAACTTAAAAATCGCTAAAATATAAATGAGTAATTAATGAAACTTATATTGTGTAGCATAAAACAAGAGAAAAAGTGAATTTTACATTTCCTTTACCAGGAGGGATTATTAGATGTAAAAGTGATTTAAAAAGGGTAACCAAATAAACAAATAACGAATTACCCAAGTAGTGTTTTAAGTACAAATTAAAAAAAAAAAAGTGAAATAGTTTAAAATCCTCTATAGGTGTTCATAGTGCTAAGGCTTTATCGTAATCATTTTTCTCGCATTTGCTTTCGGCTAGACTCAGAATCTTTTCAGTTGCTGGCAATTAAGGAGCTTACGTCTCGAGATACGTTTGTTGCCAGCTGTTATTTTCTTCGGTCTCCCTTAGCCATATAAAAGCATTGCAGCTCCGACGAAAACCAGCAGAGTCCCAACATAATGTCTGAGGAATCGATCTCAAGGAGTTACAAGGCACCCGCGTGGCTGACTGGGGATTACGTGGAGCAAAAGTTACGAAACTACTTCAAGAATGACACCCTGAATCTGGAGAAACTGGAGGTCAAGCCGGCAACGGCAAGTGGAGAGAACTATGTCAGTGTGATGACCCGGATTAATGTGGAGTATACCACAGAGGGTTCAAAGCATAAGCAGCCGGTAACGTTCCTGCTGAAAACCACCTTCGCCGACAAGGATCCCATTTGCTCTTCAACTATGGAATCTACACTCGCGAGATGGAAATGTACTAGCAGATCCTGCCCCATTTGTCGGTTATAGTGAGGGAGGAGCTTCAGGATACCAGGAAACCACCGTAAATGTGGATCGCGGGCGGCACTCAATCATCTTCGACGATCTCTCCCTGGAGCAGTACAAAGTAACGAGTTTCATCACATTTTCCCATCGAGCAGTTTGTTTCTAGAAAAGGCAAGTCGCAAAGAGATAGATTGAAAGATAAGAGTAGAATAATAAATACTTATCGTGGGACTATAAAAGCCGCTCGGCTCCCAATGAAAATTTCGCAGTACCTGATCATCAGCTCTACGGAACGTATCATGTCCCAGGAAAGCAATAGTTTGACACCCACTTGGCTCACTCGGGACTATGTGGAGGAAAAGCTGCGTTCGTATTACAAAAATGACTCACTTAGGGTGGACAAACTGGACATCAAGCCGGCGCTTGGCAACGGGGAGAATTATGCCAGCGTGATGACCCGCATCAATGTGGAATATACTACGAAAAGCATAAGGGAATCCACTAGATTCTTGGCCAAGACCACTTTTCCCGATCGAGATCCGGCGGCGGAGGTGCTAATGGGCTATGGAGTGTACACTCGGGAAATGGACATGTATGAGCTGATCCTGCCCAGACTGACGGATCTGGTGCGGAACGAGCTGGGCGATACCAGGAAACTGTTTGCGGGCACCGTGAATGTGGATCGGAAACGGGACTCCATCATCTTTGAAGATCTATCGCTGGAGAAGTACTATGTAGCAGATCGCCTCAAAAAACTCGACCTGGAGCATGCTCATCTGGTTTTGGACAAACTGGCTAAATTCCATGCAGCCGGAGCAGCTCTAGCCGAAAGGCAGCCTGGTATCTTTGCCAAGAATTTCGATCGAGGGTTTTTCAACCAACACACTAGAGGTTACGAGTCCATTATGAGGAATCTTCTGAAGGCCCTGTCGCGTTCCTTGGAACTGGAGCCCGAGTTGCGCAAACGGTACCAGGCCAAGATCGATCGTCTGGTGGACAATGTTATGGACTACGGCGAGAGGTCGACTTTAAATAACCCAGGGGACTTTCTAACCCTAGCCCATGGAGATCTTTGGACCACCAATGTTATGTTTCAGTACGATGATGAAGGTAATCCCACCAATGCCATCTTCATTGACTTCCAGTTCAGCGTCTGGAACTCTCCGGCCATCGATCTGCACTATTTCTTTTCAACTGCTCTACAGCCACATATCCGTTTGAAGAATCAGCCTGAACTCGTCCAGTTTTACTACTACAAACTAAAGGATGCCCTGAAGGCAGTCAAATATTCGGGGCAAGTTCCCAGTTTGTTCGCCTTCCAGCAGCAGTTCCGGAGCAGAGCCTTCTATGGTTGGTACATCACTATAGCACTTGATTTAATTCATTAACATTTTTATTTTTATTCAGCTGCCTTTGCGTCTCTTTGCTTCGAGCCTTCGATGGCATACGATGGCAAGGAGGAGGCCTCCATGGAACAGATTATGACTTCATCGGAAAAGGGATTGCGATTCCAGAACGACCTTTACCAGAGGGAAGAAATCAGGAAAAAGATGCACGACACCCTACCGTTTCTAGATCACTTGGGATTACTCGATGTTATGTAAAATATATTAGAAATATTTACAATTTTTTATTAAATTTATTACTTAATAAAATAAATGTATTACACTTTACGCAAAAAACAAAAAATTAATATAACTGTAGCTTATTAAATGTAATTTAAATAAATATTCCTTTAAACCTTGTATTAATAAAATACTGATCACTATACAGGGGTGGTGAAAGTATTTACACAAATCAAGTGAAAATATGTTTATAAATTGTGTAAATAATTTTGACCACCTCTTACACTCGTTAATAAGCAGATATTCAAGATAAATTAAATAGTAAATAGTACTCTAATCGTTTTATAGATATTGACAATGAAATTAACAGTAGGTAATAGGGGGGAATTCCTTAAAAAATGCTAATGCACACACCCAAATACACTATTGGTTGGAGTATATGGAGAAAGATAAACACTCAATTACGAAATAAAAATAAGTTTATAAAGAAAATTATCAAATAAATAAACACACACAGACACTTTAAGTTCATTATTTTTTTAGTGCATCGGTGTGTTTATCAGTTGGCAATTTGGATTGCCTGCAAATTCAAATGCCAGTGGAATACTTAAACACATGTGCATTGTAATAAAAGTGCGGAAATCGTTTAAGTGTTGTTTGACCATGACAAAGCTGGTCGCCACTAGATTGTTGCACTATCATTATCACATAAGCCCGAGGGGACTATAAAAACAGTGGGCCTACGCCGGAAAAGTCTCACAAGCAAGTTCCCTGAGTTGCGGATAGGATCATGCCGGATGAGAATACTGCCCACAAAGTTCACCCGGCGCCAGAATGGCTCACCACGGATTATGTGCAGGAAAAGCTGCGTACTTACTTCAAAAATAGTTCGCTTAAATTGGACAAACTGGACACAAAGCCAGCTGTGGCCAATGGAGGAAACTACGGCAGTGTGATGACCCGCATCAATGTGGAGTACACCACGCAGGAAGTTAAGGGAAAGCAGACCACTACATTCCTGGTTAAGACCACATTTGCGGACAAGGATCCCGCCGGCGATGTGCTCATCCACTATGGAGTCTACACCAGGGAGATGGATATATACGATCAGATCCTTCCCCAGTTGGCGCAGATGGTAAGGCAAGAGCTCAAGGATCCCAGGAAGCTGTTTGCGGCCACCATGAATGTGGATCGCCAGCGGGACTCGATCATCTTCGAAGACATGTCGCTGGAACACTACAAAGTGGCCTGTCGCCGGAAGAAACTGGACCTGGAGCACACTCATCTGGTGCTGGAGAAACTGGCCAAGTTCCATGCAGCTGGAGCAGTTTTATCCGAGCGTCAACCTGGCATCTTTGCCAAGAACTACGATCGTGGTTTCTTCAACAAACATACTCGTGCCTATGGACCAATTATGACCAATCTTCTGGAGGCCCTCTCCCGTTCCCTCACCTCGGATTTGAATTTGGGTCCAAAATACAAAGCCAAAATCGACCGGCTTGTCGAACGTCTGATGGATTACGGCGAACGATCGACTACGAACAATCCGGGCGACTTTTTAACCCTAGCCCATGGCGATCTTTGGACCACCAACTTCATGTTCCAGTACGATGCAAAGGATCACCCCATCAATGCCATTTTTATCGACTTTCAGTTCAGCGTTTGGAACTCGCCGGCCATCGATCTGCACTACTTCTTTGCCACCTCATTGCAGGATGATCTCCGCTTCGGACATCAGTCGGAATTGGTCCAGTTTTATTACTACAAGCTAGTGGAGGCCCTCAAGAAGCTGAAGTTTGCGGGAGCGATCCCCAGCCTATTTGATTTCCACCTGCAGTTCCGCTCCAGAGGTTTCTATGGTAAGTATAGCTTGAGAAATCAGTCTTATCTTGGCAATTTTCGGTTTTGTAAATGAAATCTGATTAAAATTTAACATAACAAGCAATTTTTTTAGAATATAATATGAAACATCTTTGAAATTGCTTTAATCTGCTACTTAAATATGATTTAAATTAGATTTTTTTGTAATTTCAATGAAATCGTTTAAAAAGACTCACATTTATTGTGTAGCTTAAAAAATCAATATTTTTTTTATTTTCAATTTCTTTAATTGGTTAATATAGTGTGTTTAAAATTGAAATTTTTTTAATTTCCTTCGTTACTTACAGCTGTTTTCTGTTCACTGGTCTTTGAACCCGTGATGCAATACGAGGGCAAAGAGGATGCTTCTATTGAGCAGGTTTTGTCCAATTCTGAAAGTGGATTGCGGTTCAAAAACTCAGTCTATGAGTCGGAAGCCGTTAAAAAGAAATTGGCCGTCACTCTACCATTTCTCGATCAGTTCGGATTGCTGGATGACATGTGATACGAGTGCTTATAGTTTAAATAAATAAAAGTTGTAGTTCTAGTTCGTATTTAACGTGTTACGACGTTTCTAATTGAAAGCTAATTGCACTTATATATTTTCCTGGAATATTAGCTATCAGTAAAATGTACATTGTGTTGAGACAATTCGGGCCATAACTGACCTTTACATACGCAATACAATTCTCTTGACTGATAACAAAAGGATCTACTTGAATTCGGTTAGACAAAGTAAGGTGCTTGAATTGCAAACAATAATAAAAATCTCAGCTGATAACAGTTACAAGCCCTTGAAAAATGGTGAATTAGAAATATTCAAGATACGCAAAACGATGCATCGCAGATGTCTGGACAAACAAAATAGTGTGCATGTATATACATTTTATATAGTATAAAAATAAAACTAAGCTGAAATACATTTTTATTGTTCAAAAAGTAATCAAAATTATAATATTATAACGATTTCACAACCATTCAAATATTTTAGCCGTTTCAAAGTAGTACGAAAAAGATATGTTATCCCATAAATTGGACTGAAACTTTGGTTGAGCATTGAGTATTTATAATATATATATAATTATAAGAGTTAAATAGCATACAAATTTATTGGCAGCGTTATAAATATCAAGTATACGCTCTGTTGTCTCTCAAACGCTTGTTGAGCTTTTATTTAACAACACCGAATACACGTTAATTGGTAGCTTTATATATAACAGGCATACACTCTGTTGTCTCTGTTTATTTTTCTCTTTAATAAGGACGCATTGAATATGATATATCGGTACAAACTTCCAAAATCCACTATATATTTGGTTGTGTTTTTTAAACCGAAAGACTTAGAAAAATTTGATCCAAAATGGTATATTTTTCTATTCATAAGTGCAAAGTTAGCTAAGTGCTTATTTATTTATTTATGACAGTAACACAGAATACAAGTTTATATGCAGCTTTATAGATATCACGCATACGCTCTGTTGTCTCGGCTTATCTGTCTTTCTTAGAAGCAAGCTTTGATTTTGATGTACCGGTACAAACTTAATTATGATTGTGTTTCTTAAACAAAAGTGCTTAAAAAATTGTAGTCTAAAATTAAAACATTTAATATTTGGCTATCCATATGTTGAGTTCTAATTCTATAGTACAGGGTTAGAATACAAGAGAATCACTTGTAAAACGTGGAGTCTGTTCAGTCGGTGACATCTAGAAGACCACTCCTATCGAAGCGTGGCAGCTCGTACTTAAGATTGTTTTGCAGGTTCTTGTTGGTGTACAACAGTTTCCGGAAGTTGCGTCCCCGATCGTCATCCTTCATCAAGGCATTAAAATCGGCATCGGCGTTCTGATCATTGGTCATTATAGCCTGGCTGACCAAAGCAACTGTCACAGCTATTTAAATAAATACATATAAGGTGAACAAGGAGACAGCTGGGGAAAACTCTCTTAACTCACCAAAGAATCTTCCCTTTTCCAGCTGCAAAATGAGCTGCCTCAAAGTGGGAGTGTATCCAGCAAAGTTAAGATCCTTGAGTGTTTCCACCAGCACTGAGTGGTAATACTGAATCAGCTCGTCCTGCCGTTCGAAGCGAATTTTGCTCTGCACTGACGAATTAAAGAAATAGTGCAGATCAACTGCTGGCGAGGACCAGCTGCAGAACTGGAAATCAATGAGGGTCATGTCCAGTGGTTCCTTTTTCTCTCCATAACGCAGCATCACGTTGTTAACCCAATAATCACCGTGCACCAAGGTGTTAAATTCTCCCGGCTGAGGATCGTAGACCCTTGTGGAGTACTCCATCACTCGCTTTTGCAGCTCCTTCAATTTCTTAGCATAGTGCTCACCCAGTTCGGGACACTCGTTGGCAAAATCAGCAGCCACGCCCACCAAATTAACAAAGACGGGCGCAAAACCCTGGGTATGACGATTAAAAATGCCATGATCGAATTGGGTCAACACTCCCGGTTGACGTTCATTTAAGACAGCCGCTGCAGCATGCATTTTGGCCAACTTTCGCAGGCCCAAACGTGTGTGCTCCAGGTCGAAACCGATAAGTCTATCGGCCAGGATATATTTGGCCACAGCCAGATCCTCAAAGATGATGGCCTCGTGTTCATAGTCCACATAAATAGTCTTAGCAAAGAGTTTCTCTGGCTGACGGGTCTTACCAATCAAAGAAGTCAACTGGGGCAAGATCTTGTCGTACATACGCATTTCCGTAGTGCTGACCTGGTACTCCGAGAATATGCCCGAGGCAAAGGCATCATTCTCATACGTGGTCTTCACAATATAGTACTCGATCTCGGGGGTCTTGGCGCCACTCTTCAAATACAAAACCTTTACGCGGGTCATAACACTGGCATAATTGTCACCCTTGGCAGTGGCGGGCTTTATTTCCAGATCGGTGATCCTGAGATCCGGATCCTTCTTCAGATCCTTGAGCAGGCGTTCCAAATAAGGTTCATCCAGCCAAACCGGCGCCGGATGGAAGTCGTCTTGTTTGCCCTGCTCCACCATGATGATGCTCAACTTGCGTTCTGGTTCGCCGGGTCCAGCCAAAGGCCCCTTTTATAGGCAGCCAGTGTCGGCATAATCTCGCCGTCAGCGACCACGACAGATCCCACATTATGGTATGCCGTAAAGCAAGACGACTCAGACACTTACGGGGCTGATTTAAATTGAGATTTCAACGCTAGCGACACGCGAATATCTAAAGCGGACTAGATAAGGTTCATCTCGCAAATCGGTGCACGCGGTCATAGGTGATGTAAGTTGTACGCGAAAAAAGTTGCTGACGTGGCGCTTAAAGATTACTACTCTCTCGTTCCCGCATAAATTTAGCCTTCTATAAATCCATCTGCCCATTTGCATAGTTAAGTCCACATAAAAGTGTACAGATTTGAGTGGGTTTCACTTGTGGGGGCTTCTAGGTAGCAGTAATCGACGTTCATACCCAAGGATTGCTGTTATAGAAAGAACCAGAAGAAGCCTAGCTATGAAAGTTTTTAGGTGCCATGTTAATAGTTAAAGGAAATAAAACAATTTTAAGTGCCCTGTAGCAGGTTAGGGAGGTAAAAACCAAATAAGATGTTGACTGTATACTTTGAGGTGTTACCGATAACCAAAGTGCTGAGAATTAAACATGAAAATTAAATTAAAACCTGATAAAGCTTACCTAAACATTTTTAGCGGAATCTAGGAATTTAACATTTCCCACTTTTCGAAAAATTCTTGTGAGACGATGAGACAATTCGTACAACTTAACATTGCTATGAGTATGCCATCTTTGTGGCAGATATCCTATTAATTATTGCTTATACGACATGTGCGCGCTTAAATTTTAAACAGTTCAAGAAATTTAATATTTCTTTCTTTTGGAAAACTTGTATAGTGATACCTACCTTGCCAAACGTTATTTTTAGTTTTGTAATAAATTGTTAAATGATACCAAAATTAACAAAAGGCCAACAATACGTATGAGTGATATTCATCTTTGAGCATATTGCATATTAAAAATTGGTCATACGACGTGTGCTCCAGTTCATAAATTGATTTTTTTGGTACTAGAATAAAACAGTGTTATTATTGTTGTTGTAAAGCATTTAATACAACACGATCTAGACCATTCTAACCACTGTTGTCTCCACTTTATTAAAGAAAGCCTATTGTTTAAAGAAAATAGTGAAGTGTAAATAATAATAAGAGCATTTATTACAACTAAGTTGTTATATTAATATTCATAGAACTAGAAAACCCTTTAAATCACATTCCATCATCTCATCAACAGGTCTGATTCACTTCTAGCAGGCCTTTTTCATCGAAGAAGGGGACCAAAGAGTGAAGATTTTGTTGAACAGTGGGATTGTTATACAATCGGTTCTTGAACCGAATGCCGCGCTCATCGTCGTTCATCAGGGCATTGAAACACGCATCCGTGGGATCTTGGCTGAGCATGACTGGCTGTACCACCACAGTCGAGTGCATAGCTAAGTAAAGATATAAATTAGTAAGAACTTGATTTATTAAGCTAACTAAGCTAACTCACCGAAGAATCGCTTCTGCTCCACCTGCAGCTTAAACTGATGCAGACTGGGAATGGGATTCTGAAGGTAGTTGAGCTTCTGCAGCGTTTCACTGAAAATGCTGTGGTAGAACTGAAAGAGACCACTTTGCTGATCCCGACGCAATGGTTCCTTGAGCGAAGTGTTGAAAAAGTGATGGAGATCGATGCAAGGCGATCCCCAAAAGGAGTACTGAAAGTCAATGAGCAGGACATCCACGGGTCGTCCTGTTTCCGTATCGTACTTGAACATCACGTTATTTGTCCACACATCGCCATGAGCCAAAACATTCACATGACCCGGAGTGGGTGCAAAGCACTCCCTGCCAATATCCATGTAGTGGGGAGCCAAGGCGAATAGTTTCTCCCCATAGTGGGCCAATTTGGGCACCTGGCTCATCCAGCGGGCAGCGGCCAAGAGACCACCCACAAAGTAGCCCTTATAAGCGTTGGTATATCGGTTGAAGAAACCACGATCGTACGTTTCCAGACACCCCTTTTCCCTTTCATTTAAAACCGCGGAAGCTGCATGAAGTTTGGCCAATTTTCTTAGGATTAGATGCGTGTGCTCCTCATTCAGGCGACGCACTCGATCGGCCATTACATAACCCGTCACAGAGAGATCCTCAAATATAATGGCCATTCTTTCGCGATCCACAAATATGGCAGTGGGGAAAATCCTTTCATAATCTCCAATTTCATTTAGCAAGTCCCTTAGCTTGGGCAGCACATCCTCGTAGATTGTCATTTCCCGATTGTAGATATCATAAGGAGCCATCAGTTCCTGGGTCAATTCATCATCATCGATTTCCGTCTTCACAATCAAATTGTGCAGATGTTTCTCCTTATTGGACAGTGTAAATTGCACTCGTGCTCGGGTCAAAACACCTCCGTAGTTTTCTCCGGGTCCCAAGGCGGGATTTATCTGCAGCTGGGTGATGGACAGGGCATCATCCTTATAGTGAGAGCGAAGCGCCTGCTCGATGTACTCGTGGGTCAGCCACTCGGGTGCCGATGCCATCTTTTCTGCTTGACTTAATTTTTCAAAGTACTGTACAAAATACTAAACACAGACGCTAAGTCGGCTGCTTTTATACTACTCTTTAGTGCCGTACATTTGTCAAGGCGCACTTAATGGTACCCTCTGTACGTGATATTGTACTGCACTCGGAGAAATACACCTTTAAGTCTAGCAACCTGCCAAAACAATAACATAACTTACTTTAAAAAACATTTTAGTAACCTAATTGCTAGTAATATTATACAATTTCTATAACATAACCTTTTTTATTTCGTTTAAATTAATTTGGCCACAACAGTGTTTTTTTCACAAATCCTATTGAGAAATTGCGTTTAATTGTTTATGTTTACAATGTTAAATAAAAACATATGATAAAAATCTAGTCTTAGATTTAGTTAACTGTATGGGAAGTTCACAAAATAAAAAATATATTTTTTTTTTTTCTTCATTAAAATATATTATAAAAATAAATAAAAAAAAGGTTATCTCTTCATTCCCAACCAATCTCAAAACATTATAATAACAATTATTTATCACTATTGCTCTGCGCAAGACAGGTCAGAGCTTACAGCACATATCGCAGTTTCTGTTTCTTTTTTCTTACATCCCTATAGGTTTTTCTAAGTGTATTTGGCCTGCCCGTATCTGCAGCTTTAATTGCAACTTGAATCTTCTGACGTTTTTAGATATGATGCCTTGGCAAATATTTGCAACTTAGGCCAAGGATGTTTGCTTTGGGGATTAGCTCCGTTTGGCAACAGGTCTCAAATATGCGTTTCGTGTGCCGGAATCGTGCCATTGCTCAACTCTGTGGAGATATAGTATCTTTGGATATATGTAGATATTTGTTGGGAACAGACGCCCACTGATCCACATCATTAAGATACAAACATTAATGAAGCGGCCATCCAGAATCTTCATTTTCGTATTCCGTTTTAATTTTTGTGCACGTCCTATCACGCGGGTACCCACTCATCATCATAATTTTCCCATCGAGAGCTTCTATTGTCTTACGTAAGCAAGTTAATCTTTTATAGCACCAAAATTGCATTGTGACAACATGTACTACTATATATACTACATCAAAATTAATTGTTTGCCAAGACTTCCTTAGAAACTGATTCAATATTTACCTAGACGTATTAAGCTTGTAAAATTTATTTCATATTTGATGGCAAGGCTTTTCTTCAAAATAATTTAAATATATTAGATTACATCATTCAATATTTACATAGACGTATTATAATAACTTCTTAAAAATGATTTGATTTTTGGTTTTGAGTGATTTTTGCCATCTTTGTCCTAAGCCAATTCATTGAGAAAGTAGTTCAAATACCCATATTTACCTAGACAAAGTAAACGTAGTTTATCAGTTAAGCCGGCAAAGTTAATTAAGTTAAAAAATACAGTCCAGTTAAACGTTAAAGATAAAGTTTATTAAGTTTGACTCGTAAAGTATAGTTACTAAAACTGTTTCCTTTCTGAGAGAATATATATATATATATATATATATATATATATATATATACACGGTATATATATTGAATATACCGTCACTAAATAGTTTACCTAAAAGTAAATTCGTACAGTTTAATGAAAGTTAAAGACTTGATCTTTAAGTTTTTAAATATGTTCTTAATCTAATGAACTTTAAGAAAAGGTTATCAATGCAAGCAATTGTATATTTTCCTTATATCCCTAAGATTTTTCCCAGCGTCTGACGTTAGCATTTTGACAAATCACTCGCTTTTGGAATGATATGGCTGAGAATCGTTTGTCGTTTAGCATTTGTGAGTCTCGGGTAATTACTTAAACAAACACTTGTGCAGCCCTAAGCGCACAAAAAGTGCTGTAAAGATTAACTGGCTTGCCTTCGACAAACTTAAACAATTGGGCAGTAGCCTAGTTCAGATTGCCGGATGGGTTCTGGGGGTGTGCTGAATGTGTTTGCATACCTTCACAGCTACAAAATCTGCAATTTTATGGTTATATTAATCACAGCTGTGGGTAGAGCGTTATATCTAGGAGCTGGGAACAGCTTACGCCGTCTGATGTCTGAGATTTTGCCATAAAAGCGGCAGTGCTCTGAGTTTTGGGCACAATTGCGCTTGCAAGTCCCACCGTTGAAAGATCACTTTTTAAAATGTCGGTTTCGGATCTGATTGGTGCCATTGAGGCCATCCCTAAAATCACAGTATCTACAGTATCTCCTGAGACTAGTTCGGTTTTCCTGGATGCCCCCGAATGGCTAACGGAAAGCTATCTGCAGGATGCCCTGCGAAAGTACTACAAGGATCAGAGGATCAGGATCAACTGGGTTAGGGTTAATCCTGCATTGGGGAAGGGCGAAAACTACGGTGGAGTTTTGACCCGCGTGAAGGCTCAGTTTACACGCAGCGATGGTTCGACCCAACTGGGTCACTACATTGTAAAGTCCACCTTCGAGGGCAACGAGTTTGCCCAGAATACCATGGAACCATATGACATCTTCAATAGGGAGATGACCATCTATGAGCAGGTTCTGCCCAAACAGAAGGCACTGCTCCAAGAGATTGGCGATGCCGAGCAGATCTTTGCCGAGACTATGGCCGTGGATATTGATAACACAGCTTTGATTTTCGAGGATCTGAATGCTCGTGGCTTTGTGATGCCAGATCGTTTGGTGGGATTGGACCTGAAGCTAGCCCGAATGGTGCTCCGAAAGTTGGCCAAGATGCATGCCACCTCGGCGGTTTTAAATGAGCGTGAGGATGGAAGTTTGGAGGGTTATGATAGAGGGTTCTTTAATCGGTACACTGAGAACTATGCGCCTGCCTTCGTTGGCATGTTTCAGGCGGCCACTCGTCGTGTGGCCCAATGGCCAGGATATGAGAAGTATGCCGAGAAAATGGAGGCTCTAGTGCCCATCTACATGGAACTGGGGAAGCGAATCTTTGACATCACCCCAGGTCACATCAATGTTCTGGCCCATGGCGATCTTTGGACCAATAATGTGCTGGTCAAGTACGACAAGGAAACGGGGGAGCCCATGGATGTCATTATCATTGACTTTCAATACACGGCTTGGGGATCGCCAGCTCTCGATCTTTTCTACTTCCTGAACACCTCCCTCGAGTTTGACCTGCATCAGAACAATCAGGAGCAGCTGATTGCCTACTATTTCGGCATTTTTACGGACACCTTGAGGAAGCTGCAGTACCAGGCTAGAGTTCCCAGTTTGCATCAGTTCCACCAGCAATTGCAGCAGAAGAAGTTCTATGGTGAGTAAATAGTTTAGGGAAAAACAAATTAATAATGGTTGGTACCAATTTTATAGTACATAACATTACAATGCCTATTTAATATAAACCCAACTTACGTAGATAAAATTGATAAAATATTGAATACCTCATATCATATATATATCATATATATATCGTCTAAATGATTATAATTTCATTGGTACAAAATTGATTTTTATGCCTGAAAATTGAATTAAAATTCAAAGCATATTTACCTTACTATGAGTAATATAAATTTTAATGAAATAGGAATTTTTTTAAATCTTATATTTTTTAATTTATTAATATTATGATTTAATATGTCATTTAAACATAATAATAATATTATAAATAAAAATTCAATTTCCAGCTGCCCACACCTCCATCTCGGTGTTTCCTATCCAGCGAAATGTGGAGACTGCAGATGCCGATTTCAATGCTCTAATGGAAAACAACCAGCGAGCCATAAACTTCAAGAATGCCTGCTATAAGAATCCGGTTTCTCAGAGGATTTTAAGGGAACTCCTGCCCGGTTTTGTTGCAGAAGGATTGCTCGATGTATATCAATAATAGATCATATAATACCTGTGCTTTAAAGTGCACAATAGACCAAAATGTACATAGAATAATATTAGACAAATTATATACTATAGGTTAAATAATGTAATCACAATTGTAAACTGTATCAAAAGTATTATAAATATTCATAATAAAACTATAATAGTATTTATATTATTAAATTTATTGTTATACATTTTTTGCCTTATTTTATGTCATAATTGAAGTGGATTGTTCGTTCTGCAAGTGATCTATTAGTTTGATTGGGATACCGGCAATAATAGGAAACTATAGTAATCAGAAAGATACTGTGAGTTTACCTATTGATTAAAAACTTTAATTTGGTATCAGTTTACCTGTTGTAAAATTCCGAAGTGGTTCTTTTTAGTTTTTTTTTATTCTGATTGAGACAATAAAAACACGGTTATATATTTCTTTTTGTCAATCATTTAGTGCAAAAATCCATTTTCATTGATTTTAATTATAATATTAGATAATTAATACAGTTCAGTCGTTACTGGTAATAACTCATTACTGATCAATAAAAAAGGCGGTGTTTGCAAATGCAAAAAGCTTTAGCAAAGCATTTCCAAAGCTCAACCGTTTTCACTTAAAACGGGCCAAGCCCGTGATCGTGGGATCCATAACCAACTAGAATTGCACTCAAAATAGTCACTTGTGTAACGACAAACAAAATGAGTGACAAGTTAGATGCGGAACAATTCAACGACGACGAACTGGAGGCCCCCACTTGGTTGAACCCCCAGTTTATAGGCGAGATTCTAAGCACGTACGAAAAGGCCCCTGAATTAAAAGTGATTGATCTTAAAATCACACCCGCAACTGCCCAAGGAGACCACTATGCCAGTGTTATGTTCAGAACTACCGTTGAGTATGTCACCTCGAAGGGTAAGTTCTCCAAGCCGCTGATTATCAAGACAATGCCCGAGCAGGAAGGACACAAAAAGGACATGCTGAGCGAATCGCATTTGTTCGAAACTGAGATCGGAATGTACTGCCAGGTGCTTCCTGAATTCGAAAGGATTCTTCAAAAAGCAGGGGATACCACTAAGCTATCTGTGCCCTGCATCTATCACAGTCTGGAGCCGCGGCAAGTGATGATTTTTGAGGACCTGGTGCCTCTGGGATACTTCGTCATTCGGGATCGTCCCGTTTCGCAGGAGGAACTTAAGACCGTCTTCTCGAAGCTGGCCAAATGGCATGCAGTCAGCATAAAAGTTATTAAGGAGGTGAGTTTAGTTCAGGAGGTGGTTTCATTATACTTCTTATATTTCATTTACCAACAGCGACCTGCCTTCCTCAAAGACTACAGATATGGTCTATTCGATATGCCCACTATCCACAATGATCCCTTTATAACCACCGGAATGGGTAGCTTCATAGAAATGCTGGACAAAATACCCGAACTAAAAAAGTATAAGCCTCACTTTGAAAAAATTAAAGATACATTTTTGAAGAGACTGGAAGTTGAGATGCAGGAGTACCACAAAAACCGGCGAAATGACGCTTACTATGTCCTGTGTCACGGTGATTTCCATCTGCGCAATATGATGTTTAAGAACAATAAGGAGACAGGAGCTCACGAAGATACCATGCTGGTGGATTTCCAGATCAGCAATCTTTGCCCCATTACCGTCGACCTGACATATTCCATATATATGTTGATGGAGCCGGAACAACGTAGGGAAATGGGAAAGGAATTGATCAACTATTATTTCACAGTTCTTGTAGCCACCCTCAAGAAAATCGGATACAAAGGTGATATGCCAACCCAAGCTAAGCTCTGGGAGCAAATGCATCGAAATAAGTATTATGGTAAGTGGAAGTCACAGCTGACCGCAAAATCGAACGTAACTAATACCTTTTTTGCAAACCCCCTTAGATTTCTTTTTGATAAGCACTTTTCTTCCCCTTATACTGGCCATCAAATCAAATACTTTTAAAATGCATGATTTAATCCTGAACCCGGAAACTCGCCAAAAGACTTACTTTCTGGATACTTACGTAAAGGATGTTACCAAAATGTTGCCCAAATTCGAAAAACTGGGCTACTTTAAGGGTCTTTAATTTCAATATAAGGCCAAATGTTGTTATAATAAACTAAGCCAACCAGTTATTTGTTTAATTAACACACGTAATAAATAAAGGAATTGTTTTTGCAATCAGTTGTAATAATTGATTAATATCATTACTATCATTACATTATTAATATCATTAATATCGTTACATTTGCATTTTGATTTTTAATGACATCTCTATCGATCTAAAATGGTGACTGCACAAATTATATCACGTTGTTATCTTATTTTTACAGAATCAATCATTGTGCATATTTTATTATTTGCTCTTACATGTTGCTTGTACATTTACTTTCAAATTAACATTTTCTTTTCATGAAACTTTATCTAAATGCTTAACAAACATACCTGTTTTCAGAACGTATAAGCTTCATTTTGAAAAAGTTACAGACAATTACATGCAACGACTGCAGGTTCAGATGCATGAATATCACAAGTATCGGCGGAATGATACTTGTGTGCCACGACACTATGTCGTGGCACACGGCGATTTCCATATCCAGGACATGATGCTTAGGCATAACAAAAAGACAGGAGCCCAGGAGGTTGTCATGTTGGCGGACTTTCAGTTCAGCAATCTTTGTCCCATTACCGTTCACCTAACCTACTCCATATATATGTTGATGGAGGCGGAACAGCGCTGCGATTTGGGAAGGGACCAGATCAACGATTATTTCGCAGTTTTGGTAGATACCCTTAAAATGATTGGTTATAAGGGAGAACTGCCTACCCAAACAGGATTGTGGTACCAAATACACCACAACAAATACTTTCGTAAGTTTGTGAACATGTCTTATTTGCAGCTGATAAATTAAACGTACTTAATTCCATTCTAGATTTCTTTCTGATAAGCAATGATGTTGTGCTTTAAATCTAATAATCTGAAAATGGATGATGCGGTTCAAGACCCTGAAGTTGGAAAGAAGTCCTATTACTTTGACAACTACATAAAAGATGTTTCCACTCTTTTGCCTTAATTTGATAAGTTGGGTTACTATAAGGATCTTTAGTCTTAACATTTAAAAATTCGTTAAGTGTGTTTTTAAAAATTAAAACTAATGTAATATGATATAACAAATGAATTATTGTTAGACTTTTTAAATTGATACAAAGACTATTATAGGAAATAAGATAAAGATTGATTCACTTATATATTGAGTACACTGTTTAGACAATAAACCGAGTTATCTGAGATATTTTATTGAAGTACCAATTAAGTGTCACATTACGCAAGATTTTAGTAATAGTAAACAATAGTAAGTAAACAGTATTATGTTATGTTATTTTCTTGCTTGCAATGAAAAATAGAAATGTTCCACGAAAGTTTGTATTATGTATCAGATTTTTCTAATAATAAGTGATCAAAAGTTCTTCACCCATTAACACAACTTTTAAAGCGTTGATAAGATAATCGGACATTTCACACGAAATGGAAACATTTCAACTCAAAAGCTTTAAACCGATTTCAAAAGCTCACTTAGCAAACCTTTAAAATGAGGAGATACCCATTTAGGTATAGTATAGCCAGATCGTATAGTATTCCGGTTAGTCGTATTGTGCGGGCCGCGAAAAAAAGATGACAGACAACGCAGACAAGGAACAATTCAATGACGACGAATTGGAGGCTCCGGCATGGCTGAATGCACAGTTTATTGGCGAAGTTCTGAGAACCTACGAAAAGGCTCCCGAACTGACAGTAACCGATCTGAAAATCACACCCGCAAGTGCCCAGGGAGATCACTATGCCAGCGTTATGTTCCGAACCACTGCCAAATATACCACATCGAAGGGAGAGTTCTCCAAACCGCTTATCATCAAGACAATGCCCGAGCAGGAAGGTCACAAGAAGGAAATGCTGGCCGAATCGCATTTGTTTTCCACCGAAATCGGAGCCTACACCAAAGCTCTTCCGGAATTCGAAAGGATTCTGCGAGAGGCAGGAGATAATACTAAGTTATATGTGCCCTGCATTTATCACAGTTTGGAACCGCGACAGGTGATGATATTCGAGGATCTTGTACCGCAAGGATACTCCGTCATCCGAAATCGCCCGGTTACGCTAGAGGAGTTAAAAAAAGTCTTTGCCAAACTAGCGAAATGGCATGCAGTCAGCATGAAGGTTATGAATGAGCAACCCGATTTCCTGAAAGAGTTCCGGTATGGCTTGATCGAGATGCCCACCCTAATGACCGATCCTATGGTTACTACTGGAATGGAAAACTTTATGAACATGCTAGAAAAGATACCCGAACTCACCAAGTACAAGCCGCATTTTGAGAAAATAAAGATTGATTACCTGCAGCGTATGAGCGACGTGATGCAGGAGTACCGAAAGAACTTTCAATCTGACGGCTACTATGTTATGTCTCATGGTGATTTTCATCTCCGCAACATGATGTTTAAAGGCGACAAGGACGTCATGTTCGTGGATTTTCAAATCTGCAATCTGTGTCCCTCTACAGTCGATCTTACATATTCCATCTATATGTTAATGGAACCGGAACAGCGATGGGATCTTGGAAAAGATCCTATTAACCACTACTTCTCCGTTTTGAAGGACACTTTGAAGAAAGTGGGATACAAGGCCGAGATGCCCACCCAAAGTGGCCTGTGGAAGCAAATTCACCGACACAAGTACTATGGTAAGGGCCTTTTTTATGTGCTAGTTTTCAATTACTAACTACATGTTTTATTTTGATACAGACTTCTTTCTTATGAGCACCTTTTTACCAATGATGCTGGCCATTAAAGCAAATCAGCTGAAAATGATCGACATTATTCAAGACCCGGAAACCAGAAAGAAAGCCTACTTCTTAGATTTATACGTTGAAGATATCAAGAAGCTTCTCCCCAAATTCGAAGAAACTGGATATTTTAAAGACCTTTAAATTTTGTATGTTAAAGTCTTGTTTTCGCTATAATAGAATAAGCAAAAACAGTCGTGACGATCTCACCTTTAACTTGCATAATGACTTATTTCAAGTGACTTCTTTGGTACTTACTATGAAAAAGTAAAAACGTTTTTGACCAAATTAAAATAAAAAAAGGATTTAAAAAAAAAACAACACGGTTTTAAAGTTATGTATGAGTACTGTAAATAATTGATTGTTTTGCTAGTCCTTAAAATGTTCTACTAAACCTGACACACTTATACATAATTATAAAAAACTTTTCTCTTAGATGTATTAAAGTATACCTATGCACATTGGCCAGAACTTATTGGTTTGTATTAATAACATTAAGCAATTCTCAAGCTGTTAGTTAAATAGATAAAGGCATGCTTGCCAAGCAAATAGTCAACACCTATAATTATTGTTGTAAGTATATTAATTGCCTATTTACTATGGAAATTTAAATTCCATTCACTAAATTAATATCGATTTCCCTCTAAGGTTTGGAATATTTATCAGATTAAATTTTCAAATGATAAGTGATTAATGACATAGTTGGCACAACTTTCAGTGCATTGATAATACTTGTATTTCACATAAAATTAAAAAGTTTGTGCTCAAAAGCTTTATGCCGCTTTCAAAAGCTTCATGAACGAACCTTTAAAAAGCACGGTGACTACGACTAGTTGTATAGCGCTTGGTAGCGAAAAAAGATGACCGACAACGCAGATACTTATCAATTCAATGCCGATGAATTGGAGGCTCCTTCATGGCTGAATGCCCAGTTTCTTGGCTACATTTTGAGAGCCTACGAAAAGGTTCCCGAGTTGACAGTAACAGAGCTGAAAATCACACCCGCGAGTGCTCAGGGAGATCACTATACACTGAAAGAGAGCGTACTTCTTAGATTTATTTGTTGAAGAAATCAAAAACCTTCTTAAAGGTTGTTAAAGTTAGGTTATCGCAATAACAGATAGGAATTTGTCAGAGGATTAATTGATGTTTTTTAAAATGAGCTTCATAATTGAGAGTAATTGTACCCAAAATGCTAAAATAAAATTGACGAGCTTTTAATTGACTGTTAAAACAATATTTATTAATTTATTTGCATATAGAAAATACTCATGGATCTTTGTGTCTGGAACTATTTAAGGCTTACTCTATATGGAAGCCCGAATACTTTTGTTTGAATGTTAAAGTGTTCCCTGTCAGCTTCTCTCTTCGTTATGGTCAACTAAATATCCAAGAATCCGGAGAGCTCGAACTCTTTGATTGTACGCTGTAGGAAAGCTCGGTACTTGGGATTTTCCACATTTTCCCGGCGGAATCGATCGCCACTCTCAGTGCGAGAGTTTAGATCTTCCAGGTTCTCAAAACCAGCTCCTTCCCGGAAAATCAGTGGGGTCAAACAAGTAGCGCCAATCACACCTTAAAAAAAACGAAAACGTTAAAAGTAACAAGAAATCTTATATAGTTTTCAAGCTATTACAAAAATAATATATTCTAAGAAACGACTATTTTTAGATTTGTATGCTAATATACTGGTTCCTATGGCAGCTATATAAATATAATTGCCCGATCCTAATAATAATAAAATCTTTGTATAAAAATATTATTCGATTTCAGTATCTCGGTGAATATTCGTATAAACACATAAATTATAATAACCTCTACAAGTGTTAAATAATAATAATTACATTAAGGTGACTCACCCATTAGACTGGTGTTGATCATTTCAATGTGGAGCTCTTTGAGTGTGGGAATGTGTCCTTTGTAGTTAAGTTTCTCCAGGGTCTGCTGTAGCATCCGCTGGTATTTCAGAACGATATACTTGAAGTGGACCTTGCGAACATTCTCGTTTAAAGAGCCGTAGAGGAAGTAGTTAAGATCGATGGTGGGGGAGCCCACATAGGCCAACTGGTAGTCCAACTGTAAACCAAAATATACCATACAGTATCTATGAAAACACGTACAATATCAAGGACTTACGGTGACCACATCATCCGGCTCCTTGGTCTCGTTGTTGATGTGGAACAGCAGATTGTTGATCCACAGATCGGTGAGGTTGAAGACGCGGAATTCCTTGCCAGTGGACTCGAACATGGTAAGAGCTCGTTGGAGCACGTTCTCGGCCAGCAGGAACATCTTCTCGGTGATCTCCTCGTAGCCCTTCCAGTGGGCCACCTCCTCAGCCACACAGCGGATGTTCACGGGGAAGAAGGTGAGAAAGTCACGGCGGTCGGGATTCCGGGAGATGGGCGCCTCGTCGAAGAACTCCAGCACCTCGGGACTCTCCTGGGCGATGATGGCACTGCAGGCATGTAGCTTGGCTACCTTCTCAATGGTGGGCAGTACGTAGTCCAGGTTCAAGAGTCGACCCCGCTCGAAGTTCTCAAATCCGGACAACTGCATGTCCTCCAGGATGAGAAAGGGCTCCGGCGATTCCGTGGTGTAGTAACAAGTGGGGGCAATTTTCGTTTCATCTCCAATTGATTTGAGTAAAGCCTGGACTCGTGGCAGCACCTCTTTGTAGGCCAGGATTTCGCGATGGAAGAGCTTACTCCTCTGGGCCACTGCCCCAGTTTGTCCCTTCGGATGATCCTTCACAATCACCGAGAACTTGCTTTTCGCTTGGGAACCCCTTTGAAGGTTGAAGCTGGCGCGGTGCATTTCGCTGGCGAATCCAGCCGCCTGGTCACCCACTTGGGCGCTCTTCACCAACAACTCACTGACCACCAGCTGCTCCTCCTTGAAGTGCTCCTTAAGGACATCTTGCAGGAACTCTGCGGTCAGCCATTCCGGTGCCTGGTAGTTCTTGCTGCCGGTTCCCATTTTATTTGTATTTTTTTCAAGTCAGCTGACCAAGTGGAATGAGAAAAACCAACTTACGTTGGGGGCTATCGAATTAAGAATGTGGCGAATGGAAACATGTGACGGCTGGGAGAAAGATGGAGCTTTCATAAAGCTCTCTCTGTTGTCAGCTTTATGCTGGCTTATCAGCTGATTTGTGTACACATATATGTATATTATATGTATATTAGGGTGGTCCAAAAAAATATAGTCTCACCGTTTGGTGTGGTTGATTTTGGTGAAAAATAAATTTAATAAAATGTTATAAATTTTGTTTTAAGTCGTTAAGTTTTTATAAAAATTACTCATACCACACCTAATGTAAATTTGAATTAATTTTTCGATCAAAGGCAACAGTACGTTTGAATGATAAACTAAGTATACAATCCAACGAATTGTAATGATATAATATAAACTTAAATTAAAGATTAATCTATAAATTTGGACCACCCTAATGTATATGTGGGCCAAGTGCCAAGCCATATAGCGTTGAATCCAGTTTGTGGATAATTGTGGAACGAATTTTGTAGGTGTTGTTGGCTGATAAGAAAAGTATGTGTGGGTGTGGTTTCTTAATATTTTCATTCACAGTAAAATATTAAAAGAGAAAATGCATGACGAAAACTTAATTAAAGGAAAAGGTATAGTTTTTCTTTTGTAAGTTTTTTGAAAAGTAAAAATACACTTTACTCAACTTTTTAAAAAGATATCTTTGTTGTATTTTTATAGATACTTTACTGTAATAGGTGATAAATAAAACGTGATCTGATCCGAGGCACCTGTTGTGATCAGCTTCCATGACTTGACAATCACTTGGTATATTTGATCTAAATATTAACAAAAGTAAATTGAACAGTCAAAGACGATCAGCCGTAAGTTTTTTAAATAAGTCAGCAGTTTAATCTAAATCTTTCTTTTTTATTTTATAGTACTAATCAACTCCGTATGTTTTTTTCGATTTTTCTATACTAGCTATATTGCTTAAAACGTATGATAAGTAACAGTAATGTATGATAAGACAGTGATAGAATTTTCAAAAATATTTCTGATGAATTGATAAAGTAGGTTTCTTTTTGGTTAGGGTGTAAAGAAATGATAAGAAATTATAACCAAACAAACTTATTTGGCTTATTTTCTTAAAAACAATTTGTCGCAGCTAAACAAAAGATAAGTCTAGGATGACTTGAGAAAACGAAAATACTGGCTTTGTATTTTAAGAGTGTGTTTATATATAAAAGATCGAACATATATTTTATTGTAACTTAGTCAAAATTGGTCTAAAAGTTTCTAAAATGCCATTAACATTGCGGAATTATTATTAATTATTGTTCAAAACATTTGATTTTAAATCGTTTCAATTCTTCAGGATATAACAGTCCTAATATAGATAGGTCGGGCTCATCCTTTGCCAGCAAAGACTTAAACTTTGATTCGTTCAACCATTTTGGTATAACAAGACTCTCGTTGGGATTGTCAATCTTCTCAGAGCGCGACATGATTTCAACTGTCTTCAAATTCAAATAATATTATGATGAGTTTGTCATGTCAGCTAAGCTAATTATCATGTAAGATAAGATAAATTTGCATGTTGAGTTTATCATTTAAGATAAGATAATTTTCACCAAACATCATAGCCATTTTTTAAACAATTTTTTAACAATTTAACAATTTTTTTTTATGGAATTTTGAGGGATACAAACTTACAAGTCTCCAACCTAATTATTTGTGTGAAATACCCTGGCCTTCAAACTCAACAATTATTTGGAGATGGCTAAGCCGAATGGGTCGCTTTAAATTGGTCTATGATTCTATTACACTTGCTTAAGTTGTATTTTATGATCATGATAAAATTTGCGAGCTTTTTCATTAGAGATGAGGCCATTGATCGATTGACTTCTATCGATTATTGCAATTTATGGATGGCGCGTAATTTTTTTTTTAAGTTAAGGATTTAAAGATTTAAAAAAAGTTTTTTTTTTTAATTTATTAGCTTTAAAAATTTGCTTTATGCCAAAAAAATGGTATTATTCCGTAGTGAGGAGGAAAATTTCTAGAAGTTCTCTCTTATACTGTTGGTACCTAAACATAAACATAATTAAAACTAATAAAATGAGTGTGTTTATATATAAAAGATCGAACATATATTTTATTGTAACTTAGTCAAAATTGGTCTAAAAGTTTCTAAAATGCCATTAACATTGCGGAATTATTATTAATTATTGTTCAAAACATCTGATTTTAAATCGTTTCAATTCTTCAGGATATAACAGTCCTAATATAGATAGGTAGAAAAGTTTTAAAAGTCTAGAATACCACGCCTGTATAGGAAGGGGAATATACTGAGGGCTGCTCGTACGTACAGGGGATTTGTGTAGACCTTGGATCGGAATTGATCGCCTTCCTCTCCCGGCTGCGTAAGTTTAACTAAACTGGCCTCCGTGTCCACGGGCAGCAGAATAAACACCAAATGAGTGAAGGTCGTAAAGTAACCTAAAGCAAATAGTTTAGATTAAGAGGAATTTTCTTTGAAACAGTGATCCTAACTCACCCCAAAAGCCATATTTGATCATACTCATATGGAGTTCTCTAAGCATTGGCATTCTCTCATTATACTTCAGAATTTTCAAACAGTGCACCAGATGTGTATGATAAATTCTCACAAAAAAGTCAAAATTCTGGATCCTTATGCTATGTCTGGCGGAACAAATAATAAAGTTCCATAAATCCTGGGCTGGACTGCCCCATTTGCACAGCTGGAAATCCACAAAACGCACTTGGTTGATATCTCCAGATTGAGTGTAGTTCAGCATTATGTTACTGGACCAGAAGTCGCCGTGATTAAGAACTTTGAACTCATGCGGGCTAGTGCTGTAGCAGCGGGCATAGGCTTGCACAAATTGATCGGCCGTAGGCTTTGGATAGAGTGGATAAAATTATGTTTACAAACTGGAGCTTGAAAACACTATTAGGGCGGCTAAAAGTATGCATTTAAAAAATATAGTCGACTTTATGAATGAAACCGATGGACTTCTCATTAGCAAAAATATATATATCATTGCATACTTTTAATTGAATTTTTAAAGTGATTTTAAAAACTTGTTTAATTTTAAACTGTGATACTTACGATGCGATTCACGTAGTGCTCGTGATCTTGCAGTCCCCAACTGGCCATGGCTGTCTTATAGCTCTGTATCCTTGCCTGATACGATTTGGATCGATTGTAGTTGGCGGGCAGGTATATTCGTTGAAACTCCTCCGAAAAGTCTCCATTCCGCTGACGCCAAACGGCACTCGCAGCATGGAATTCGGCCAACTTCTCTAGCACCCGTTGCATTTGGGCCATGTCAAAGCCTTTGAGGCGGCTGATGTTCCTATATTTCTTCGTTTGCAGATCCTCCTGTACCATGCATATCCGTCCATTAATTTCCTCCGACCAGTGGCACTTGGGTGCGAATTTCACACTCAATCCAGCCTGCTCGTAGAGAAGTTCCAACTGCGGTATGATCGTATCGTACATCATCTTCTCCTTGGGAAATATATTGAGGGTGTTCACAAAGCCACCATTTCCCCGGGCATCGTCCAGCATGGTCTTTACTATGTACGACTTTTGCTGTGAGAATCCATCTGTCGAAAGGTAATTGTTGTTATTAATAATCAGGGTACAAAACGTCTTAATTCCATTTTGTGTACATAAAACATGGTCAAAGTATGTTTTCTGTTTTAAAATTGACAGCTCTCAAATGAATCTAGTATTTTGACAACAAATTTAAGTGCGTATGGGTAATAGGCACGTAAATTTTAAAGGTTTTAAGGTATCTGTACCCCTGAAACCAGTTTACTATTCAATTCAGTAGATGCCCATCCCCTTTCTCTTACCTTTCATCTCGATGTCGATGACAATGCGCATCAGAAGTGAGGTGTAGGTCTCTCCGGGCGGAATGGCTGGAATAATCGAGAGGTTCAGAATGCGCCGAAATTCGCGAAATTCCCGTTTGAGCAGCCTCTTAAAGTAGGCCTCGTTGATCCAGTCCGGAATGCGGACATCGTTGGAGGCGCAGAACTTGTTGCTGTTATCGGGCATTTTGTTGTGTCGTTGTGGGAGGGATTCCGCCGGAATGAGCTCACTACGGCTGTGCGTTGTTCCCGGTCCGAAGTGTGCGGCGCAACTGTTTCGCCTCGCCTTTCCTTATCGAGAATGTTTTCGCTTGTTTTGGGCCCCGCGATGTTATTTTTAAATTACTGCACGCAGTCGAGGTGGGTGAGGTGCGCACTTTTAAACGCCCCGAAAGCAATGCCAATCGCCCGTCTAACTGGTTCGTCAACTCGACAACTCGGACACTGAGCATCGTCTGCCAAAAGACTCTCCCTTTGGACAGGTGGGTGATAATTGTGGAGCTTTGCCCGCGAATGCAGTATCACCCGGAGTGGTCAAGCAATGTAGTGGGCGCCGGGTTTGCTTATCAGCGGTGTTGTGATGGGAATAATAACCTGATAACCAGACAGGTCGAAAAGCTCTTACGCCTGTCAAGTGAAATACTCTCAAATCTCAAATACTCTCAACGACTTTATACCGGACGGTATAAAACAGCACATATACATTGTAATTATTGTCAGCTTACAAAAAATTATTAAAAAATTATAGTCATTTTAAAATAAAGAATATTTTTAGGCAACGAAAATAATTCTTGAAGGAAATTGAAAGGTTTGCAAAGAGGATCACTATATTTAGCATTTTTCCTTTTTTTCCTGTGGCGATTTTATGCGATTAATTTTTTGATTCAAAAACTCATGAATTATCATTATTTGCAAAGCCTGGTATTTATAGTACATAAATAGGTCAGTGAAGATAAGCTAGCAGCTTTAGTATTTATTACAATGAAATTAGGGTAATGTAACAAAATATTAATTTAGATAACAATTTTTTTGGGAGGTCTACAAGCTTTCTATGAATCTCTAATTTTTAGATCTTCATCACCATTTTTTGTCTTGCCACAAAAATATTCCTTTGTGTTTTATGAACTGAAGGTTATTTTACTTTTTTGTTTCTTTGTACCTTTTATCAGTTTGTTGATGTAGATAAGTTGAGTACATGATAAGCAGACACTAAATTTTTGTATTATCTTAAAGTATAATGTGCATAAATATATGTAAGCGGTCCGAAGATGTATTCGAAGTTAGCGTGTAATAAAAATATCAGATCAAGTCTTTCCCCAATTTAAAGACGCACATTCTGAAAGACTAGCTGGAAAACTGTTTCAAGGTCTTCCGGTTTCAATTGTGGTGCAGCGTTGATACTCGCCATGCAAAACTTGAAAAAACCAGAATCAATATTCGCACACAATTTATTTAATCGAGTCGCATGCAAACAGCATCGCAAGATGAATGAACTTGCAGTCACTCAAAGTCTTCGAAATTGAAGAGTCCGCGGTTGCAGCAGAAGGGATACAACTCTCTAATGATTTCTACAAAGGTAGGGTTGGTGTAGGATCGAACTCGATACTTCCTGCCCACTTCTTCTTGGGATTGTAGGTTATGCAAATTACTTTCTTTGGAACTGGGTAGCAAATGACCGGGCAAGTGATTCATTACGGCAAAAACAGCTAAGAAGAAATAAAGGTCAGTTAAAGATAAAAGTTATATATTATACCTACCATAGAGTGTGTTGTTTTTCTTATAAATGGCAGATTGCAGCTCTCTCAGTTGTGGAAACGGTTTTTCGTACCTTAGCAGGGTCAAGCAGTCAATAAGATATTCCCAGTAGATTCTGATAAAATTATCAAACTCCTTATAGCGCAAGTCCTTCTCCGCTGAAATAATTATCATCATCAGCAGATCCTGGGCCGGGCTACCCCATTTGCCGAGCTGGAAGTCCAGTAGAAGGGCCTCACTTACGTTGCCCTTTTCATCGTATTTGTACAGAATATTGCTAGCCGAAAAATCGCCATGAGTGAGGACATTGAAGTCCTTTGAGTCCACTTCAAGGGATTCCAGGCAGATTTTTCGGTACTGCTCTGGAGTGGGCTGTAATACAAATTGTTAGATGTCTATAAATAGTCTATGAAATTCATACATAATTCCTGAGATAACACTCATCCATGCCCCAAGTTTGCATGGCTGCCTTGTATTCCGGAGACTTTGTTTCGAAGCTTTTAACGCTGTGCTCGATATTGTCTATTTTGGCGAATCCATGCTCGAAATCAATGGGATACGGTCCATTTCGATCTTTATAAATTACACTCGCTGCATGGAGTTCAGCCAATTTTCGAAGCGACAGACGCAAATGCTCCATATTGACTCCCTTGTTTCGATCTGCACACTCATAGTTCTGCGCTGAAAGATCCTCAAATATGAAATATAGATTTCCCTGCATCTCTCCGATTTCCAGGCATTTGGGCACCAGCTTTAAAGGTCTACCAGCCTCGCAATAGATTTTCTCGAACTCGGGCAAATAAGTGGAGTACATTTGCTGCTCCTTTTGGAAGTAACGCATCTTATTCACCGCCCTGCCGCCCTTTTCTATGTCCAAAGTGGTTTTGACCACATATGTTTTCCTTTTCGAAGTTCCACCTGTAAATACTTGGCTTGGACAATTGTTGCTACTTATGTCTATTTCAGTACCCACTGTTCATTTCTAATTCCAAGTACACACGAATCATTATTGATGTAAAATTACCACCAGGCGGCACGGCGGCCACTGTAGTTAACTGAAGAATCTTGGTATATTCGGGCTCATCCTTTGCCAGCAAAGACTTAAACTTTGATTCGTTCAACCATTTTGGTATAACAAGACTCTCGTTGGGATTGTCAATCTTCTCAGAGCGCGACATGATTTCAACTGTCTTCAAATTCAAATAATATTATGATGAGTTTGTCATGTCAGCTAAGCTAATTATCATGTAAGATAAGATAAATTTGCATGTTGAGTTTATCATTTAAGATAAGATAATTTTCACCAAACATCATAGCCATTTTTTAAACAATTTTTTAACAATTTAACAATTTTTTTTTATGGAATTTTGAGGGATACAAACTTACAAGTCTCCAACCTAATTATTTGTGTGAAATACCCTGGCCTTCAAACTCAACAATTATTTGGAGATGGCTAAGCCGAATGGGTCGCTTTAAATTGGTCTATGATTCTATTACACTTGCTTAAGTTGTATTTTATGATCATGATAAAATTTGCGAGCTTTTTCATTAGAGATGAGGCCATTGATCGATTGACTTCTATCGATTATTGCAATTTATGGATGGCGCGTAATTTTTTTTTTTAAGTTAAGGATTTAAAGATTTAAAAAAAGTTTTTTTTTTTAATTTATTAGCTTTAAAAATTTGCTTTATGCCAAAAAAATGGTATTATTCCGTAGTGAGGAGGAAAATTTCTAGAAGTTCTCTCTTATACTGTTGGTACCTAAACATAAACATAATTAAAACTAATAAAATGAGCCTCTCTTAAAACATACCTTGGGTTATTAAAAATGACCATTCTTATCACTAAAAACCATCAACTTGATTCTTGTCAGTGCCAAACTGATAAGCAACACACTTCATCAAGATAATAATACTTGTCTAAACTTTATTGCCAGTTAAGAGAATAACGAATATTACACGACATAATCTTCAAAGTTTAAAATACCTCTGTTATATAAAAATGGATATAGATCCTTCATAACATTTCCAAAGGCGGGATTAGAAACCAGACGCAGCCTAAGATTTTCGCCCTCTTTTGTTTCAGCAGTTATATTGTGCAGATTGCTGTCTTTATCGGTGGGAAAGAGAATTATGGGCAGGTGATTTGTAATGCTAAAGACAGCTGCAAGAAAAATATTAGTTTTTAGTGAAATCTAAATAATGCTTGCACTCAAAAACCATAACTCACCGTAAAACGAATTTTGCTTCTTGTTTATAGAGTTTTGCAGATCGCGTAGTTTGGGCAAAGGCTGTTTCAGTTTCAACACCTTGAGGCACTCGATCAGACGTTCCCAGTAGATCCTTACAAAGTGGTCGAACTCCTTGATACGCAAATCGTGTTCGGGCGAGAGTGTGAGGAAAAAGAGCAGATCCATGGCAGGACTGCCCCATTTGACTAACTGAAAGTCGATGAGGATGAGCTGGTCGAGACTTCCGTTCGGCAGATAGCTGGTCATCATGTTGCTGGACCAAAAGTCGCCATGGTTGAGTACATGGAATTCAGTGGGATCCAAGTCCAAGGTGCTTAAGCATTGGGCCCAATACTGATCGGCAGTGGGCTAAGCAAATAAATATTATTTTTTAATGCTAAAAATTTCTTTTCAAAATAGTATTAGCTTACAAATTCCTTCACGTATTTCTCTGCTTCTTTCATGCCCCACGAAAGCATTGCCTTCTTGTAGGCTTTCTCTTTTTGTTTGAAACCATCAACGTGGAATTTTTTCAAATCTCGCTTGACAAATCCCTCGTGGAATTCACTGGGATAGGGACCTTGCAGTTCCTCATAAACCGCACTGGCTGCATGGTACTCGGCCAACTTATGCAGAAATGCAGTCATATGCTCCATGTCCAGTCCTTTTGTGCGATCAATGTTCCCGAATCGCTTCACACACAGATCCTCGAAGATGAAGTGGATATTCCCTTCACGCTCCTCAGTGAGCAGACATTTGGGCGCCAATTGAATGTCCCATCCGGCCTTCTTGTAGAGGTCCTCGAACGCTGGGAGGTACGTGTCGTACATCTTGGCCTCCTTGGGAAACAACCCGAACTCGGTGATGTCGTTGCCTCCGCGCTCTTCGGGCAGCATCGTTTTGAAGATATAAGTCTTGGTCTTGACACTTCCATCTGAAATATGTTAGACATTATATTTGATTGGCTAAGGGGTTAACACCAGTAGCATAGCAAACCAACTGAAAAACGATCAGAAGTTATTTATTAAACTCTGTAATACTTTTTAAGCCAGTTAAATCCTTATTTAGGAATCAAACCTTTTCAGGAAGTGCTCAAATCGGTCTTTAAAATACAATAAAATTAAACTATTACCGGAAATTTTTTTGTAATTAATTTATTTATATATTACTAAGAAGTACAAATATTAAATAAGTGTTAGAAAACTATTTGTCTTTAAATATTAAAAAACTAGGTTAAAAAAGTACTGCCAGATTAATGTCCTTTATTTAATTTTGTTTTGCTGTGACCAAAAGACAAGTAAACTGGATGATACAAATCAAAAAATGTCAATTGGTTAAGTTAAAAAAAGTTAAGCACTATTTGATCGAAAGAATAATAAAAATGTAATTATAATTATTAAACCATTTTTGTGGCAAAAATTTGGAAAGATCGTATCATTATGGGAAAACCATTAGTAAATTTTAATTTAGCACACTAGCAAAGGACTTATTTTAATTTGTGCTCTTGCACTATAAATTTATAGTAGGTTATGGTCATACTTCGAAATTATGCAACAATTAAATTTATTAAATTTAAATTTACAAGTAATAGTGCTTGTTTTATCGATAAGACATTTGACATTTTTATCCGTTTATTTGATCCATTCATTGGCAAGTACTGCCGCTCCTCGCAATCATTGTTGAAATGTTTATAATATAGAGAAATTGATTTGATAATCACAAACTCACCTTTCATTTCCAATTTTATATAAGACCTCAGCATGGTCGAGGTGAAGTTCTCGCCCGGCTTAATGGCAGCAACTGTTGTAAATTTTAATACTTTGGCATGATCTGGTTCATCCTTTTCCAGCACACCCGTAAAGTATTTCTCGTTGATCCAATCGGGAATAATAAGATTCTCATTGGGGTTCACGATTTCGTCGTTGTCAGTCATTTTTCTGCTATCGTTTGAATTTGGCTAACACAACCTCTTCCGCAGGTTGATAGTTTGGAACTAAATTCTGCTAGTTTTTTTAGCAGAGCTTTATTTGTGTTTTTCTGGGCTGCCTTATCGACAATGAGTTTCATTTGGTGACGTAAGACCTACAAGTGTTATACGTTTGTCTTTTTGATTATCAAAACTATCAACTCAATCTCAACAACCGAAGCTTGACAATTATTTTCATTTTTATAATTTTATATTTTTTAGTGAACTTGCATAATTTATAACAGCTTGTTAGTTAGAGCACTTTACGTCGCACACCTAAATTTCTACTAATCAAAATGTTTAAAGGGGTTTCTCTATAAGGAGGTAAGCTATTTGACACTTATTGTTTTGCCTATATCTTAAAGCCATTTAGTATAGTTTGTCCGTTATCTGAATATGATGCAAAAAGTTTTTTTTTAATTTTTGAGGGTATTGACAAGGGGCATAACCTTTTTTTCATTACCTTTAAATTGAGTTGATAGCCCCTGCGCTTATTACTGATTACTCAGTGTTTGTTTGCGATACACTGTCAACTATATATAGACTATTTTTATACCAACCAGCGTTTATAATCAAAGGGTTTGCCCAAGTATTTCACCATAAATTATTTAATTATAGATTTGCTAATTCGTTTGTTTCTACAGCATAGATAGAAAATACTCCCAAATAATTTGTGACGGCAATTACTTTTCGCGTGACACGGTGCTGATGGTTTTTTTTATTTGTGTCTAGTCATCGTGATGGTTTGAACTTATTTAAGACGTCAGGAGTTAGAACGTAGATAAAAAGATAACACGTTTTTATACTCAAAATTGATTTAATTTTTTTTGTTTAATAACCCATCATTGTTAGTCTTAGTTTATTGCAGACAGTAATTATAATCTAGCTAGTCATCATGATGGAATGATCTTATTAAAGATATCAGAAGTTAAACGTTAGTTCATAAATCTAACATCGTAGATAGAACAACAATAAGTTTACTTAGAACCCATGTATGTATTATAAAATTCTCCTCCTATTCGTAGTCACTAAAATTAAAGATGCCCCGATTGTAGAAAAATGGATAGATTTCATTCATAAGGTCACAAAAACTGGGATTTGTGAAGATGCGCAGCCGAAATTTGTCGCCCTCCTCGTCGTCACGCATTAGGGAATACAAATTGGATTCCTTGTCGGATGGAAATTGAATCACAGGCAAATGGTTGAAAATGGCAATAAAAGCTAGAGGATATTAAAAAAAGTTAAATTGGCTTAGCACTTAATAGGTTTCTGATTTAAGAACTTACCGTAGATAGTATTTGTATCGTGGTACAAGGATGTCTGCAAATCACGCAACTTGGGCACAGGTTTCTGGTACTTGAGCAGCTTTAGGCATTCCACTAAACGTTCCCAATAGATCCTAACGAAATTATCGAACTCCTTGAGCTTGATATCTCTGGCCGCCGACAGGGTGATGAAAAATAGCAAATCCTGGGCAGGACTGCCCCATTTGCACAGCTGGAAGTCAACCAAGATGACCTCATCGATTTCGCCGTTGGCTAGATAATTGCACATCAGATTACTGGACCAAAAGTCACCATGCGTGAGTGTGTTGAAGGCCGAAGGATCCATTTCCAGATTCCTTTCACACATTTTTGAACACTGTTCAACGGTGGGATGAGGAAACAAAATATTAGAAAATGCAAACAAAAGGTAGAAAATAACTAACAAAACTTTTAATGTATTTTTCTGGATTCTCAAATCCCCAACCAGCCATGGATTTGTGATAGGATCTCGCCTTGACTAAGAAGTCCTTTTCATGTAGCTTTAGATAATCTCGACGAAAGAATCCCTCCTCGAATTCCGAGGGGTATGGTCCATTTTGTTCGGCATATACAGCTGCAGCGGCATGAAACTCTGCCAGTTTTCGAAGGGATCTCTTCATGTGCAAAAGGTCTAGGTCCTGGATGCGATCCACGTTCTTGAACTTCTTCACACCCAGATCTTCGAACACTAAATGGATTCCGTTCTCATGCTGATCCGTATGCAGGCACTTGGGAGCCAGCTGAACCTCTGCTCCGGCGGATCTGTAGAGCTCCTCGTAGCCGGGCAGGTAAGTCTGGTACATCATAAGCTCCTTGTCAAAGATGCCGCCCTCACGGATCTCCTTGCCACCACGTTTCTCCGCCAACATTGTCTTGAATATATAGGTTTTGTGTTTGCAGCTGCCCTCTGTGGATAAAGAAATTAAAAAATGAACTCACTAATTGTTTTTTGTTACTGTTGATAGTCTTCTATAAGAGAGATTTAACAAAAAAAATAAAATATTAAAAAAAAATAATATTTTAAAAGGAGCGTAACACTTTCTCCTCTTACTCAAAAACTATTTTATCGCTTTTTTTATTGATTTACTATATATCGATATAGGTTTTTTTTTATTTTAAACGATTTATTTTTTTTTATTTATTGAGTACTAAATATATTTATTTTTACCTTTTATTTGAAGATCCATATGAATTCGCAACATTACGGATGTGAAGTTTTCGCCCGGCGGAATGGCTGCCACTGGTTTAAAGTTTACAATTTTTTCGTATTCCGGCTCATCTTTCTGCAAAACCTGATGGAAATATTCGGCGTTGATCCACTTGGGAATTTCCAAATGCTCAATTGGATTAACTATAGATTCTTTTGACTCCGTCATTCTATACCCGAGGTGTTCTATTTCCAAAGTTTAACTTTCAACCGAGTTAGTAACGTTCGTTTAGCGCTTTTCAAGCTTGACCCTTCAAATATCAATAAGCTTTTAAATTGTTGACTCCCAGCTTGATTATTTTGTCAGCGTGACCCAACAGTAACTTGTAATTGAAATAAGAGTCAAGATCGGCAAAGCTTTAAACAATTGTAAACAAACTATATACATACCTATTTAAAAGGCTTTAAAAGCTTTAAAGCTAAAAACAAAAACGAATAAGTCAAGAGAGCATTTTGTTGTCAGGTTACTTAAGAGCCAAAATCAACCGATAATAATTTCACCAAGCGAAATGTTTTTTTACACAAAAGCTTTATACAAAGCTTTCATAAATCTAGTTTATTTGGGACGTACCATCAAAGTTAGAAAGTAGTCTAAGAAGTAGAACCATAAGAGCAACATCATGGCCGAGGGTAGTTTCCACGCCGAAGAGTTAAATACGCCAGAGTGGCTAAATGAGCAGTTTATAACTGAAGTTTTAAGTGATTACGAAAAGGAACCAAGCCTTAAGGTCACCAATTTGACTTTTACCCCCGCAAGTCCTAAAGGTGACCACTATGCTAGCATTATGTTTCGTGCTTGGGTGGAATACACCACCCAGAATGGAAACTTTTCCAAATCGCTGATCATCAAAACAATGCCGGTGGAAGAGGGTAACAAAAAGGATCTGTTTGAAAATTCGCCTATATTCGAAACTGAGATTGGAATGTATAGCAAGGTCCTGCCGGAGTGTGAGAGGATTCTGCGGGAAGTGGGTGACGAGTCCAAGCTGTACGTGGACTGCATCTACCACAGTCTGAGACCAAGACAGATTATAATCTTTGAAGACCTCGTGGAGATGGGATACCTAGTGGTGCGCAATCGTTGGCTCACGCAGGAGGAAATTTGTAGTGCCTACTCCAAGCTGGCCAAAATCCATGCAAATAGCATGAAGATGATAATGGAGGTAAATAGGAATTTAATTCTTATACTTTAATTTTAATAACCTTTTCATTACTTAGCGACCCGATTTCCTGAAGGACTTTAGGCACAGCATGTACGATATACCTGCTTTTGTGGACGGTCCCATTTTGAACGGCGGAATGGGTCCCTTTTTGGAACTGTTGGGCCGCATTCCTGAGCTGACAAAATACCAGCCGCACTTCGAAAAGATCAGACTTCACTTTAAAGATAGAATGAGGGAAATTATGCTAGGGTATAGAAACAATCCCCAGCCAGGATTATACGTTCTCTGCCATGGCGATTTCCACTCCCGAAATATGATGTTCAAACACAATAAGGAAACTGGAAGCCTTGAGGATTGCATGCTGCTTGATTTCCAAGGCTGCATTGTGGTTCCCATGGCCGTTGATCTTATGTATTCCATTTACATGTTGATGGGGCCACAACAGCGATCCGATGAGTTGGAGACTCTGCTGAATTACTACTTCTCAACCGTCGTAGAAACGCTCAAGAAGATTGGTTATCAGGGAGAAATGCCCACTCTTTCTGCATTTTGGTCGGAAATGAAACGTTATAGATATTACGGTAAGCTCAAATCTGGAAGGAGTTTAAGGATCTACTAACAAACATTGTCTTTTTAGAGTTCCTGTTGCTAAGCACCATATTCCCAATGGCCGTGGGTTTAAGAGTCTATTCCATGGATCTAGACGACCTGATGTACAACGAAGAAACTCGTAACAAAGTTTATCAACTAAAAGAAACTGTTGAGGGAACCAAAGCAATGCTGGCCAGATTTGAAAAATCTGGATATTTTGAAGACCTATAAAACACGGTTAAAAGGTTTTATGTAAGAAAAAAATGGCAGTACATTGATATGATCTTTTAATTGTTTGACTTACAAATGTTAGAGACTAAGAAAGTCTGCTGTGTGTTTAAAATCTGAATCCTAAGTCTTTTTTTTCTTAAAATTTACATCTATCCCTCTAAACTATAAAAATTACTTAGGAATAAAAAATTGGAATTATTGTTACCTCTTGATGGGTGTCTTGTGGACATACCTCATATGAGCAGCGGAATGGTTCCATTTGCGGAATTTTTAGGTCGCATAGATTGGACTTCATTTTATAAGCCGATTGCGAAATATAATGCAAGAGTATGAGAACAATCCCCAGCCAGGATATTACGGTCTCTGCCATGGGGACTTCCACACCCGAAACATGATGTTTAAGCACAATAAGGAAACTGGTTGCTTTGGGGATTACATGCTTGTTGATTTCCAGGGATGTTATGTTGCTCCTCTAGCCCTGGACCTTATTTATTCCTATATGATGATGGGGCAAAAACAGCGCACAGACAATTTTGAGATCTCGTTGAACTGTTACTTTTCCGTCCTTCTGGAACCTCTTAGGAAGATTGACTATCTGGGAAAATTGCCTACTCCCTTGGCTCTCTGGTCGGAAATGAAACGCCTCAGGGAGTACGGTAACCAGTTATTAGATTTAAAAATAATTATATTAATTTCAGAATTCCTATTCTTGAGCACGCTCTTACCTGTGTCGACGGGTCTTAATCTTAACAGCGAAGAAACTGGCGAAAAGCTAAAAGAATTTAATGAAGAATGCAAAATAATGTTGGACCGTTTCGAACGATCCGGTTATTTTGAAGATCTTTAATCCAATAATGGTATTACTAGGCAAATAAAAAAACAGATAATATATGCGGAATATGTGTTACTGTTGATAATGTTAAAGAATATATGACTTGTTGTCAAAGCTTCATTGAATGAATATGTTTGTTAAGAGTACATGTATACTCTTAATGTAATCGTGTTCCGGCTCATCTTTCTGCAAAACCTGATGAAAATATTCGGCGTTGATTCACTTGGGAATTTCCAAATGCTCGTTTGGATTAACTATAGATTCTTTTGACTCCACCATTCGGATCCTGAGGTGTTATCTTTCCAAAGTTTTACTTTCAACAGATTTGGTAACGTTTGTTGAGCGGTTTTCAAGCTTTTGACCCTACAGATATCAGTAAGCTTTTAAAGTGTTGACTCCCAACTTGATAGTTTGTCAGCGTGACCCAAAAGTAACTTGTATTTAAAATAAAAGTCAAGATCGGCAAAGCTTTAAATATTTGTAAGCTTTAAATATGTGTAAGCTACTATACCCATACCTATTTTAGATTTCTTTAAAATCTGTAAAGCTAAAAACAAAAACGAACAAACCAAGAAAGCATTTTGCTGTCAGGTGTCTTAAGCTAAAATCAACCGATAGTAATTTCACGAAGCGAAATAATTGTTGACCAAAAGCTTTATACAAAAATCATTATACAAAAAGCTTTCATAAATTTAGTTTATATAGGACGTACCTTCAAACTTAGAAAGTAGTCTAAGTAGAAGAACCATAAGTGCGACATCATGGCCGAGGATAGTTTCCATGACGAAAAGTTGAATACGCCAGAGTGGCTAAATGAGCAGTTTATAACTGAAGTTCTAAGTGATTACGAAAAGGAACCAAGCCTTAAGGTCACCAATTTGGTTTTTAGCCTCGAAAGTCCTAAAGGTGACCACTATGCCAGCATTATGTTTCATGCAAGGGTGGAATATACCACCCAGAATGGAAACTTTTCCAGATCGCTGATCATCAAAACAATGCCGGTGGAAGAGGGTAACAAAAAGGATATGTTTGAAAATTCGCCTATATTCGAAACTGAGATTGGAATGTATAGCAAGGTCCTGCCGGAGTGTGAGAGGATTCTGCGGGAAGTGGGTGACGAGTCCAAGCTGTACGTGGACTGCATCTACCACAGTCTGAGACCAAGACAGATTATAATCTTTGAAGACCTCGTGGAGATGGGATACCTAGTGGTGCGCAATCGTTGGCTCACGCAGGAGGAAATTTGTAGTGCCTACTCCAAGCTGGCCAAAATCCATGCAAATAGCATGAAGATGATAATGGAGGTAAATAGGAATTTAATTCTAATTAATTTAATTCATTAATTTTATAACCTTTTCATTACTTAGCGACCCGATTTCCTGAAGGACTTTAGGCACAGCATGTACGATATACCTGCTTTTGTGGACGGTCCCATTTTGAACGGCGGAATGGGTCCCTTTTTGGAACTGTTGGGCCGCATTCCTGAGCTGACAAAATACCAGCCGCACTTCGAAAAGATCAGACTTCACTTTAAAGATAGAATGAGGGAAATTATGCTAGGGTATAGAAACAATCCCCAGCCAGGATTATACGTTCTCTGCCATGGCGATTTCCACTCCCGAAATATGATGTTCAAACACAATAAGGAAACTGGAAGCCTTGAGGATTGCATGCTGCTTGATTTTCAAGGCTGCATTGTGGTTCCCATGGCCGTTGATCTGATGTATTCCATTTACATGTTGATGGGGCCACAACAGCGATCCGATGAGTTGGAGACTCTGCTGAATTACTACTTCTCAACCGTCGTAGAAACGCTCAAGAAGATTGGTTATCAGGGAGAAATGCCCACTCTTTCTGCATTTTGGTCGGAAATGAAACGCCATAGATATTACGGTAAGCTCAAATCTGGAAGGAGTTTAAGGATCTACTAACAAACATTGTCTTTTTAGAGTTCCTGTTGCTAAGCACCATATTCCCAATGGCCGTGGGTCTAAGAGTCTATTCCATGGATCTAGAGGACCTGATGTACAACGAAGAAACTCGTAACAAAGTTTATCAACTAAAAGAAACTGTTGAGGAAACCAAAGTAATGATGGCTAGATTTGAAAAATCCGGATATTTTGAAGATCTGTAACCCATTAATGGTATTACTAGGCAAATTAAAAAGTCAAATAGTATAAACGGAATATTTGGTACTGCTGGAAATGTTAAAGAATACATGACTTGTTGTTAAAGCTGTATTAAATTTAATGGTTTAATTAATGAATTACAGAATTATTTTAATGTTTTTTTGTTTATAAGCGTTGTTTTCTGTTATCTGGAAAATGAGTACGTTTGTTAAGAGTACATGTATACTCTTAATATAGGAGCATCTGCTATCTGCAAAATTAATATGTTTCTTAAGAGTTCATCTATACTCTTATTGTTATTTTAAAAATGAATGTGTTTTCCTTGAGTAACATGTATACTCTTTGTGTGGTAGCATCTGTTATCTGAAAAATTAACATGATTCCTAAGAGTATACTCTTGATGTAGGAGCATGATTTGCTGTATAATGATCGTTGTTATTATATTTTTCTCTCGTTACTCTTCTTATGTCCAAACTGAGAGAGCATACATTAAAGTATTTCAAAATACAATAAAAAGCTTTTCTTTGCTTAGGGGAAAAATTGCATTCTAAATCGAAATTCTCTCCAAAAGCCAATGTAAGTGACAGTGAAATTGAGTTTTGTTTAGTACGCTCTTTTCTGGAAGTCGAAATAGAAGTTGTTAAACATAATGTCAGGGAATACCGAATAAAATCAGTTCAACGACGACGAATTGGTTCCACCAGATTGGCTGAACTCAGAGTTCATAGAAGGTGTCCTAAAATCTGATGAGATGGAAACCGTGCTGAAGGTAATCGATTTGACTCCGCCATTCAGTACCTGAGGTGTTCTCTTTCCAAAGTTTAACTTTCCACTGACTTGGTAACGTTCGTTGAGCAGCTTTCAAGCTTTTGACCCTTCATATATCAGTAAGCTTTGAAAGTGTTGACTCCAAACTTGATAGTTTGTCAACGTTACTCAACAGTAATTTGTAATTAAAATAAAAGTCAAGATTGGCAAAGTTTTAAATATTTGTAAGCAAACTGTTTACATACTTATTTTAGATTTCTTTAAAAGCTGTAAAGCTAAAAACAAAAACGAACAAGTCAAGAGAGCATTTTGCTGTCAGGTGTCTTAAGAGCTAAAATCAACCGTTAATAATTTCACAAAGCGAAATAATTTGTAACCCAACGGCTTTATAAAAAAGCTTTATACCAAAAGATTTCATAAATTTAGTTTATATGGGACGTACCATCAAACTTAGAAAGTAGTAGAAGTAGAACCATAAGTGCGATATCATGGCCGAGGATAGTTTTCATGCCGAAGAGTTAAATACGCCAAAGTGGCTAGATGAGCAGTTTATAACTGAAGTTCTAAGTGATTACGAAAAGGAACCAAGCCTTAAGGTCACCAATTTGACTTTTACCCCCGCAAGTCCTAAAGGTGACCACTATGCTAGCATTATGTTTCGTGCTTGGGTGGAATACACCACCCAGAATGGAAACTTTTCCAAATCGCTGATCATCAAAACAATGCCGGTGGAAGAGGGTAACAAAAAGGATCTGTTTGAAAATTCGCCTATTTTCAAAACTGAGATTGGAATGTATAGCAAGGTCCTGCCGGAGTGTGAGAGGATTCTGCGGGAAGTGGGTGACGAGTCCAAGCTGTACGTGGAATGCATCTACCACAGCCTGAGACCAAGACAGATTATAATCTTTGAAGACCTCGTGGAGATGGGATACCTAGTGGTGCGCAATCGTTGGCTCACGCAGCAGGAAATTTGTAGTGCCTACTCCAAGCTGGCCAAAATTCATGCAAATAGCATGAAGATGATAATGGAGGTAAATAGGAATTTAATTCTTATACTTTAATTTTAATAACCTTTTCATTACTTAGCGACCCGATTTCCTGAAGGACTTTAGGCACAGCATGTACGATATACCTGCTTTTGTGGACGGTCCCATTTTGAACGGCGGAATGGGTCCCTTTTTTGGAACTGTTGGGCCGCATTCCTGAGCTGACAAAATACCAGCCGCACTTCAAAAAGATCAGACTTCACTTTAAAGATAGAATGAGGGAAATTATGCTAGGGTATAGAAACAATCCCCAGCCAGGATTATACGTTCTCTGCCATGGCGATTTCCACTCCCGAAATATGATGTTCAAACACAATAAGGAAACTGGAAGCCTTGAGGATTGCATGCTGCTTGATTTCCAAGGCTGCATTGTGGTTCCCATGGCCGTTGATCTGATGTATTCCATTTACATGTTGATGGGGCCACAACAGCGATCCGATGAGTTGGAGACCCTGCTTAATTACTACTTTTCAACCGTCGTGGAAACGCTTAAGAAAATTGGCTATCAGGGAGAAATGCCCACTCTTTCTGGATTTTGGTCGGAAATAAAACGCCATAGATATTACGGTAAGCTCAAATCTGGAAGGAGTTTAAGGATCTACTAATAAACATCGTCTTTTTAGAGTTCCTGTTGCTAAGCACCATATTCCCAATGGCCGTGGGTCTAAGAGTCTATTCCATGGATCTAGACGACCTGATGTACAACGAAGAAACTCGTAACAAAGTTTATCAACTAAAAGAAACTGTTGAGGGAACCAAAGTTATGCTGGCCAGATTTGAAAAATCCGGATATTTTGAAGGTCTATAAAACACGGTTAAAAGGTTTTATGTAAGAAAAAAATGACAGTAAATTGCTATGATCTTTTAATTGTTTGACTTACTTATTAAATGTTAGAGACTAATAAAGCCTGCTGTGTGTTTAAAATCTGAATCCTAAATCTTTTTTTTTCCAAAATTGTACATCTATCCTTCTGAACTATAAAAATGTTATAGGAATAGAAAATGGTATTAGTGTTACCTCTTGAGGTCTGTCATGTGGACATACCTTATATATCGATGGGTCTTAGTCTTAGCGGCGAAGAAACTGGCGAAAAACTAAAAGAATTTATTGAAGAATGCTAAATTATGTTGGCCATTTCGAAAGATCCGGATATTTTATCAAACCTACATTAAATTTAATGGTTTAAAAAAATTAAAAATTTATTTGATTATTTTGTTTTTTAAGTGTTTTTTTCTGTTATCTGAAAAACGAATATGTTTGTTAAGAGTGTGTATGTATGTATGTATACTCTTAATGTAGAAGCATCTGTTATCTGCAAAATTAATATGTTTCTTAGGAGTACATAGTATTATTTTAAAAATTAATGAGTTTCCCTTGAGTAACATGAACACTCTTAGTGTAGTAGCTTCTGTTAATTTGTTTCTTAAGTTTAGATGTATATTTTTGGTGTTGGAGCATATTTTGCTGTATATTGATCGTTGTTAGAATATTTTCTCTCTTTACTCTCTTATGTCCAAACTGAGAGAGCATACATTAAAGCATTTCAAAATACAATAAAAAGCTTTTCTTTGTCTCAGGGGAAAAGCTTTTGAAAGCCCACACATTATTGCATTCTAAATCGAAATTCTCTCCAAAAGCCAATTCAATTGACAGTGAAATTGAGTTTGGTTTAGTACGCTCTTTTCTGGAAGTCGAAATAGAAGTTGTTAAACATAATGTCAGGGAATACCGACCAAAGTCTGTTCAACGACGACGAATTGGTTCCACCAGATTGGCTGAACTCAGAGTTCATAGAAGGTGTCCTAAAATCTGATGAGATGGAAACCGTGCTGAAGGTAATCGATTTGACCTTTTCCCCGGCAAGTGCCAAGGGAGATCACTATGCCAGCATTATGTTTCGGGCAAAGGTAAAGTACTACAATCGGAAGGGGGACTTCGAAAGGTCGCTGATCATAAAAACAATGCCCGAAGCGGAGGGTCACAAGAAGGAGTTGATCGGAGGATCGCCTATTTTCGAAACGGAAACGGGCCTGTACACAAAGGTGCTGCCTGAATTTGAAAGGATTCTGCGCCAAGCGGGTGATAGCACCAAGCTTTATGTGAACTGCATATATCACAGTCTGGCACCGCATCAGGTGCTGATCTTCGAGGATCTCGTGGAGATGGATTATTTTGTGCTGAGGGATCGGGACGCCGCCCTGGACGAGATACACCCCGTCTACTTCAAACTGGCCAAGTGGCATGCAGCCAGCTTAAAAGTACAGGAAGAGGTAAGTCTAAGATAAGAAGGTATAGAATATAAATGGAAATAAAAATATATCAAAAAACAAACTAGAGATGATTGTACATTTACACATAATACATACTATTATTATGTATTATAATACTATAATAATTATAGTACATAAAATTAATTGTATTTTTCCCAAAATTATGATACATATGCTCCACCCAATTTTCGTCCAAAAAGTCAATGTTTTCGACATAACAATGCAAATAATGACTAAAAATGGGTAAACTCATAATAAACTTACCAATTGGTTGTCATTCAAACATGATTTAATGATGCAAAAATTAGAGTCCCAATGCCGGTTTTTTACCCTCCATTTTCGGAAAAAAATTTGGTTTTAGTATAACAATTCAAATAATTAACCCAAGACAGAATATCATACATTATATTTTTAAGACACAAAACCACACACTTCATGAAGAACCAAAATTTTGTTTTCATTGCTCTTGACATTTTTAACAAATGTATACGACTTCAACTGTTTTTTATCTATACTTTTAAGCAACCAGATTTTTTAGAGCCCTACACATACGGACTTCTTGAAATGCCACATATCCTGACGGAACCCTTTATGAAAACTGGTATGCACTTTTTCGTCGAACTTTTGAAAATGGAGCCGGAACTCAAAAAGTACAAGTCATATTTTGAAAGCATTAAGGGGGATTTTCTGGAGCGACTTGTGAGAGAGTGGAAGGAATTTCGCAACAACCCAAAAGTAGACCAATATAGGGTACTTTGTCACGGAGACTTGCACCTTCGAAATATTATGTTCAAGTACAAAACTCCAGGATTTTTTGAAGACTGTATGCTGCTCGACTTTCAAATCAGTCATCTTTTTCCTCTGACAATCGATCTGGTGTATTCGATATATATGCTTATGGAGGCGGAACATCGTTGGAAGCACTGCGATGACCTTATCAACTATTATTTTATTGTTTTGGAGGATGTTTTAAAAAAAATCGGCTATAAGGGTGAAATGCCTAAGCAATCAGGAATTTGGGAGCGCCTGCATCAGCACAAATACTTTGGTGAGTTCTTTGTTATGAATATTAATTTTTTAATGACAATTTTAATATTACATTTGATCCCGTCAGAATTTTTTCTCATAAGCACTTTCCTGCCTTTGATGTGGGCCCTGAGGGATAAGTCTGTTGACTTTGGAGATCTACTTCAGAATGAGGAAAAGCGCAGGAGTTGCTCATTTGCTGAGGGTTATATTAAAGATGTGAAAATAATGCTGGCAAGATTGGATAAATTAGGCTTACTCCAAGATTAAAGCATTTTAAACATATATTTTGATTTTAAAAGTAAAATCTTTGAACAGAAACAGTACCATATGTGCAATATTTAGATAAATAAAATCAATTTAAAACAATGTTTAAGTGATATAAAAAATCAAAACCCCAAGTTGTTTTCGTACTTTGATTGAGTTGCGATAAATCTGTTGACCACGTTACATTTTTGTTGAAAAGTAAAATATATTCCCAGTATTCACAATGTCCAAATGATATGAAACGCCTCTATATATGATCTTTTAACCTTCATATTTTGGACATGACATGATAAATCTGTTGACCACGTTTTACCAAGCCGCATGTAAAGTCATGCTAGCAAATGTTTTCAAAATCAAACAATATAAATGGACACTTGAACCACATTTGAATCGCTAATTTCCATCACTCTATGTTCGCTCATCTGGAAGCGTTGTGAATGAGAATTATTTGCGTGTTCCTAATTATACAGAATGACTGCCGCAAGCAAATAAAACCCCATTATGACCCCACATATTTTGTTCAATGCCATCTCTATGGAGTGCACTTTTTTTATGGAATGCTTCCGGCTGATTAAGTGAGCCGATTATAAATTCTATAACGTGGGGAAAAAAGTGTGGTCTTGCAGTCCAACAGCTTTTGATTATTTTTTGCTAAACGTTTGGTAATCACTGAAGTGATAAGACCACATTTCTATTATCACATTGTTTTGTCACTGGTTTCTTATTTTGATACCCACAAATTTGAAGAAACTTTAATAAAACTACTATGCGCAATAATCGTTTTCTCTTTTGACTCAATTAAAAATTTAGTTTTTGGACAGTCATGATGATTGTTGATAACGACATTGGCAAGCAATTTGTTAGTGTACAAGGTTCAAAATAGTGAAACTGCCAAAAATAAGTTTAAATTAAATAGAAAATATTATTTATTTCATGCTTATATGATCTATGATATCACAACAAATTGGCTACATTGTTATTTGAAAATTGGGGACTTGGTCTAAGCGGACTTCAAAAGTCCCTTGTTATCGAAAAATGGTAATAACACCTTCATGGCCTTGGCGTAGTAGGGATTGCTAAAGGTCCTGTAACGAAGGGCATCGGCCTCAGGTCCTGGGGCCATCATCATTTTAATGTTGGCATCCTTGTCGGTGGGCATAAGAGTTGCCACCATTACACCAGTGGCTGTGAGGGGTCCTTTAGCAAAGTGAATAAGTTTAGATATATATATATATATATGTATTATTAAGAAGTTAACCTAAGCTTACCCCAAAAACCGTACTTCAGCATCATGATGTGCAGATCCCTGAGAGAAGGAATGGCTTTCGAGTAATTCAAGAGCTTAAGGCATTCAGCCAATCGCTCGTGATAGATCTGAATAAAGTGATCAAACTCTTTGGTTTTAATGTCCAGCGAGGCAGAGGTGGTGATCAGGTACCAAAGGTCTTGGGCCGGAGTGCCCCACTTGCCGATCTGCAGGTCCACGAAAATGGTTCTGTCTATCTCCCCGTTGTCCTTGTAATTAAACATGATGTTATTGGACCAGCAGTCACCATGATTCAGCACATTGAACTCCGTCTCGTCAACCTGATTGACCTGCATGGCCTCTTCGAACACTTCCATGGGACTCCACATGAGGGTGATGTACCTTTCGACATCCTCTAAGTCCCAGGTTCGCATTGCCTTTAAGAACTGCACCTGTCGCATTTCTCCCAGAGACTTGATCAAATCGCGACTCTGCTCGTTGAACATGGACATGGAGTACATTGGATCGTAGGGTCCATTTATTTCCCTGGAAACGGCAGAGGCAGCATGAAATTCGGCCAGTTTCCGGAGCACACGGGTCATGTGCGCCAAATCAAAGCCCTTGAGCCGATCGCAATTCTTGAAATTTTGCCGGCTCAGATCTTCGAAGACCAGGGTGATCAACTCGGCGGTGGCCTCCACATGGAGACACTTGGGCGCCAACTCAATCTCCATGCCCACCTCCTTGTAAAGCTTCACGAACTGCGGAATGTGCACCTCGTACATTTGCTGCTCCTTGGGGAACAGACCCATGCCATTGACCACATCCGCCCCACTGTCCGCCTCCAGCATGGTTTTCAGAATATACGACATTTTCTGCTGGCTGCCATCTAAAGAAAATTTAAATGAATAAAGGTTTTGCGTTATATACATTTCATTCCCTAAAATGCTTTTATATTAAATTTCGTGCAAAAGATTTTTGTTTTTAAATAACAATTTTCTAAGAAATTCAAATGAATATGGGTTTTCGGTTAATTTCAAAACGTTATTTTATATAAAAGTATATAAAATATAAAATTCCTTTTCGTGCGGAGAGTTTTTAAAAATCAAACAAAAGTGTGAAACGAAAAATCATTGTTGGGAAATGATACTTATTTTTAATAAATATTGAATACAAGCAGTAAATATTTAGCAACATAATTTAATTAATTCCTTAAAACAATTGTATATAAAAACTATTTTTATTTTATTATTATATAATTAATTTATTTAAAATGTTAAACTAAAAACAGCTGATAACATTTAGCATACATGCATTAGTTGTATTTCATTTTGGTTAAGATAAAAATAACTCTGTTTTAAAATCCTTTTTCTATTTACTTACCCTTCAGAAGAATATCCACAATAACCCTGATCATAATGGAAGTATAGTTTTCCCCGGGAGCTGTGGCCGCAATGGGTGTAAAGTTCACTATCTTGTCGAAGTTTTCCACATCCTTTGCAAGAATCGGAAAAAAATAGTCCTCGTTCACCCACTTTGGAATGTGCAGGAGTTCGTTGGGATTGATTGGCTTTTCCGAGTTGCTGTTGGGTGACATTCTGGTGATGATGCTGTAATCGGTAGATCAATGAATTAATACTCGGCGAAAATGATCAGCGGTTCAAGATCAAATCAGTTAAACCATTTCATTGTATTTCCCATTAATGTTTATAAGCATATTGCGTAAAAATCTTTATGGTAAACAGGTGAATAAGAATTCAAAGTCCGACATTTATTTTTATTTAATTTAATCCAAAAATTCTGCATGATCTATAATTATTTTCCAGATGTTATGCCTTTAATTATAGTTAAACTCTCTTGAAATAAATGGTAATTTATTTCGGTTCAGATGTTTTATAATTCGTATCCATTGTTGACAATGAATTAGTAATAATTGTTTAAAGGGTGTATAAAATCACTTGTTAAAACAGCCTCAGAGCGATAAAATATTTTCAATGCATTTCTATAGGTTTGTCTAAGATGACTGAACTTTCTTCGACCAAAGTTTATTTCCGCGTAATTGTTTGCGTACGAACCGCTCATAAAACTCACTAAAATTACTATTTATTACTGACCTACTTTTGTGGATTTCTAATTTCTAAATTTCTAATCGGAGAAAGAACTGCGGCTGTGTCCGACGATTTCTAACGACAACCATATACTGAGCTCTCCGTGCGATTCCCATACTTTTATACTAAGAGAACTCGCGACAAGTGTAGAGGTTCTAGTGATTATTGTCTATGTGTTTTGGGCCGACCTGATAGCACAAACTTTTTATTGCTATTGATAGAACGATGCAAAACAAGGGGAACAATGGAGCCATGTAATCGGTTCCCATATCTATGGATAACCAAAACCGTAAAAGACATCAGTGTTGACCCCAGACGCACTTATTCGTAATATTATCAGTAAGATACCTATTTCCTTCTAATCACTAGATTAGGTCCAAGTATTCATTGGGATTGATTGGTTGGGGCGGCATGACTTCACTGTAATTAATAAATCGATGGACAAGCATATATATATATATTACAAGTATTCTCTTTGATGATAATCATTCACCGACCGTTTGGTTCGAAATTCCGGTTGCAGTGATGAAAAATAATATGGTCTAAGGCACGAAATGTTTTCGAAATTAAGTCCACTTTCGTTTATGTTAAATACCTTTTGAAGTAGTTTCAATATAAAGTTAATGATTATTAGCCAAAAATTAGCAATTTGAGAATGCAATTAATTTTGTTCATGCCCTTATCAATATTTTACTGGTAAACTAATTTAAGACAGTATAATAATAACATATATACATATATATAATAATAACATATAATCAATATTGTTAATATTCTATTCACTTCTATTTAAATATGTGTAGTTCAGATGTTGACATAGAAATACACAATTGTTGTCCACCAAATTAATTTAAATTCCGCACAGTGCCATTCATTGTTGCTACAGAGCATACCCATATATAGTACATATTCGTGCCCATACCATGGTAATACCGTGAAATGTTTTTCAACCAGCCGCGTCATCCCACATCGGAATATTTGAGGCTCGTCCGAGTTCGGGGAGTGTGTCATGAGCATTGGCTTGTGCTCATGTTGGCCTAATAACGATTATTATCAGTATATATTGTGGCTAAATTTAAGTTAGTTTGTCGTGCGCGATTAGGTCCTTAGAAATGGCAAACGTAAGCGGATGCGAAACATTTGAAATAATTTGCAAAAAGAGCGCTACGACATGACTGGCTTTTCAATTAGAAATCCATTCAAACAGTATTGATAAGAATGGGTAAATAAAGATTATTAAGCTTATGTCTTAAACGCGTTGAAGGCCTTGTCCCTGAACTAGTGCACACTGGGCTGAATGAACGCCTTTTTGGCATAAGGTGTAAATTTTTTTAGTTTCGTTATAAAAACAAAATAAACAAGAAAGAAAGCAAACTTCGGCAAGCCGAAGTTCATATACCCTTGCAGCTATCGCAAGAATTAAATATTTTTGAAAACATTAAAATTATGATTTACTTGCGTATATGTTTAAAAACATTGAAGCTATGACGATTTGCAGCTTAATTATTTGATTGTTCTTTTATATATTTTTATTATTTGTATGGGAGCTATATGATATAGTCGTCCGATTTTGATGAAATTTAAACCGTAAATCGAAAATATTTAACCATTACTAAATGTCGAAGAACTAAACAAAAAATTAAAAAACAGAAAAGTTATAATTTTTTTTCATTTATTTTTCCGATTGTTCCTATTGGAGCTATATGCTATAGTCGTCCGATTTTGATGAAATTTTTACCATAATTCTGAAATATTTAACCATTGCTTTATGTCGAAGAACAAAACAAAAAATTAAAAAACAGCAAAGTTATAATTTTTTTCAATTATTTTTCCGATTGTTCCTATGGGGGCTATATGCTATAGTCGTCCGATTTTGATGAAATTTAAACCATAATTCTGAAATATATAACCATTGCTATATGTGGAAGAACTAAACAAAAAATTAAAAAACAGAAAAGTTATAATTTTTTTTCATTTATTTCTCCGATTGTTCCTATGGGAGCTATATGCTATAGTCGTCCGATCCGGCTCGTTCCGACTTATATACTACCTGCAATAGAAAGACAACTTTTGGGAAAGTTTCATGCAGATAGCTTTAAAACTGAGAGACTAGTTTGCATATAAACGGACGGACAGACGGACAGACGGACAGACGGACGGACAGACGGACATGGCTAGATCGACTCGCCTAGTGATGCTGATCAAGAATATATATACTTTATAGGGTCGGAGATGTCTCCTTCACTGCGTTGCAAACTTCTGACTGAAATTATAATACCCTCTGCAAGGGTATAATAAAATGATTTCTTGTAACCCTATCTCCTTGGCACACCTCTTTTTTTTTAATTCCTGTTTAAAAGTTGGGCGCAATTTCTGTTCTATTATTATACAAATTATTCTTCAAAGGGTGTTTACTTTTGATTTAATTTACCTATTATAATACGTACCTAAATTTAGATATTAACTAAATTTTATGCACAAAAAATCGCCCAATTAGACAAAAAGGTCGTTTAAAACCTATAATTTTATTTTAAATTGCTTATTTTAATTTAGCCTTAATTGAGCAGGGACCGCTCTTCCATCCAAGGCAGGATATCTTTCATCGCCTGAATGTATTTCCGATTGGTAAACATGGCGCACTTCATTTTGGATGCGTATCGGTCGTTGACCTCGTCCTCGAACTGATTCATCATAGCGATGGGCAGAGCCCTGGTCACCACCACATAAGCTGGAAAACCCAATCATTAATTAGACCTAGTTTAGTCGATAGTTTTCATTTACTCACCAGCCAGGCCGCTTTTGTTAAGTGCATCGCGAATATCCTCGAGCTTCGGAAGGGTACTTTGGCAATTGAGAACTTTTAGATTATCCAGTAAATGGTAGAAGTAATACTGCACCATATTGTCGAACTGGGCTAGCTTGATTTCCTTCTCAGCAGATGACAGAATGCAATAGTACAGATCATTGGCCTGAAAATGGAACATTTTAATTAAATATTAAGTTATATAGTGAATGCATTAAAATATTGTCTATACTAAAAAATATGGCAATCAAAACAATATTACTAAATAAAGTGCAGATTAAATTGCATGATTTACTAAAAAACATATTTGAAATAATGTTGAAAATATTAGACTTTAAATAATTTATTTTATTTAAAATGAGTTCTTTTTGTTTTACTTAAGTTTTTGAATGGTTTGAATTTTAATTAAATAACTGGGTGCTATAATCTATTTCTAAATAGGTAAGCAATATTAAATTTGAGTAACTACCGGAGAGCCGTATTTGACCAGTTGGTAATCCAGTAGGGCGGTGTCCTCCACATGACCCACGTCGTCAATCCTGAACATGACGTTATTCACCCAGCAGTCGCAGTGATTCAGCACATTGAACTGCTCGGATTTGGGGGAATGGAGTTCAAGTAACTGATCCACCAGGTCCTGCTCCTTCTCCACGAATCGTTTGTGAAATTGATCACCCATTCGCCACCGTCGCAGTTGCAAAAGAAACGGTTCGGGGTCGTTGAGTTCCCGTAGGACCAGACGGTTGGCCTTTGTGTAGACTCCGTTGGCCAGGATTTTGTTGAATGCTCCATTCTTTTCCACATAAGCAACAGAGGCGGCATGAAATTCTGCCAATTTCTTAAGCACTTCCTTAAGGCACTTCAAATTGAAGCCTTCCTGTCGCCCCACATTCCTGTATCCCTGGGCCTTGAGATCCTCCAGCAGGATGTACTGGACTCCGATGCTGTGGTCTAACTTGAAGGCCCGCGGGCCAAAGGATATGTGCTTGCCCACTTCCCTGTAGAGTTGCTCAAACTGGGGCAGGATTATGTGGTACATCTGGTGTTCCCTTGCAAACATTTTCAACTGGCTCATCACTCTGGCCTGGAATTCGCTGCCATGTTGCGCCTTCAGCAGAAAGGTCAACCTCTTCACCGTCAAGTCCTGCAGCTGAACCTTCACGCGAATGGGCAGGAGCACAGTGCAGTTGCGGAACTGGATGAGGTGGATGCTGGGCATGACTGCCAGCACCTGGTCCCCACTCTCTAGAACGGAATGGACGGCCTGGTCCAGGGACAGAGTGGTTACCCAATCGGGTATTTTCGGTACTTTCATCGCCTTAAAATACACTTTTAAGTCAACGATACAAAGTTAACCCCTGAATTTTGAATGCGATAAATAATTGTTGACTGAAATTTCTAAAGATAAGTATTGAAAATTGGAATTTGTGTTATGCTAAGATATTGGAATTTTTTTTATTAAATTCCCGTTCGTATTTTAAATATCATAGTTCCAATGCAACTTTTAAAAAATCTTGTTTAAAAATGTAAAATAAAAATTTGTTGGACCTTCTTACCTAAACAATTGTACATTTTGTAAGTCAGAAAGTTTCATATTATCGCAAATACCTTGTTCATTATCAAAACTAGTTATTTTCCCAACACTTTTTCCATAACACAAAACAATTTAAAATTAAAACGTCTGACATGTTTATTTTGTTTATAATTAGATATTTATTAGATTTACCCCTGAATTTTTATGTTGCGTGTTGACTGAAATTTCTAAAGATAAGTATTGTAACCTAAAATTTCGTGATGCTTGTAAATGAATTCACAAAATCTTATAGTTTTTCCATGCAACACAGTTCAATTTAATATTTAATCACCAGTCAAAGGTTATTTCGAATATAATTACATATTTATTTGACAGGTAAAGTAATTTTCAGGTGACGCAATTAAGTAGTCATTATTATAGTACGAATCCATCATTAGCAAACATATTTTGGGAGGTAATCACTTCCAGTCGAGCAGGCCGCGGTTGTCCAACCATGGAAGTACCTCCGTCATCACCTGCACATATTTCGGGTTGGTGAACATGGCGGCCTTCATTTTCGACTCGTCGCTCATATAGTTCTCCAGATTGGCGTTGTTGGTCTTGTCCAGCATGACGACGGGCAGCACCTTGGAGACCACCATATAGGCTGTTGACAGATGGACGTAAGCATGGTATGCAAATCCAAATTCCAACTACTCACCAGCCAATCCATTGCGGAAGAGGGCTGCATGCAGGTTTTTCAACTTGGGCAATGGTCGGTGGTACTGCAGCAGCTTCAGATTCTCGACAAGATTATCAAAGTAGTAGCGCACCAAGTAGTCGAACTTGGCCGTTTTCAGCTCGGGGGCAGCCGAAGACAAGATTAGGTAGTACAGATCATTGGCCTAAGGAGAAGAGGTTTTAGGTATTACTGGGAAATTTATAGAGTTCAATTATGTTTAAGGGCCTACCGGACTTCCATACTTTCCCACTTGAAAGTCCACGAACAGGGTATCCTTTATAGTTCCAAATGCATCGTGTTGGAACATTATGTTATTTGCCCAGCAATCACCGTGGTTGAGCACGTTGAATTCCCTGGCATTGTACTGCTGATCCTCCAGCAGGCGATCCACCAAATAGTCATCGCTATCAGCCTGTAAAATAATATATAAAGGGATTATTGTTAAATAAATTAAAAAAAAAAGTTTGTTGTAAGTTATGCCATTTGGATTATATTGGCATAATTATAATTGACGTGTTTCCACATTTGTTTAATAATGTCTAGGTATAAGAAATCGCAAAAGAACACACAAAGAGTAAAAATCATATGCCTGTTTCTCAAACTCACCAACTTTTCGTACAATTTCTGGGCATTCTTCCACTTCTTGAGCTGGGCTAAAAAGTCACCAGAGGCATTGAATTCCTGCAGCAGCTGGCGGTTGGCCTCGCTGAAAACGCCCACCGTGAACTCCTCTCCAAAGAGTCCGTGGTGCTCCACGTAGCAGGCGGATGCCGCATGAAAGGCAGCGAGTTTCTCGAGGACCTTCAGCATATGATCGAGGTCCAGACCGGCCAGGCGATTGGCATTCTTGAAGTTCTTGCGGTGCAGATCCTCCAGCAGAATGTAGTCCACTCCGAGATCGCGATCCACCTTGAAGGCGCGAGGAGCAAACTGGATGGGCTTGCCCGCGTCCGCGTAGAACTTCTCGAACTTGGGCAGAATGCTGTGGTACATCAGCTCCTCCTTCTGGAAGAGCTTCAGCCTGGCCAGGATGGCGGCCATCATCTCGTTGTTGTGCTGCGCCTTTAGAACGAAGGAAATGCTCTTGGTGCTGTGATCTGGAAAGAATTAGTTTTAGCTATAGTTCTAATCCTAACTTATTAAATACATTTAATATTCCATATTTTAATAGCATATAATATCATCATAAAATGCACGAATTAAAAAAAATTGCATAACATTTAAGTTAAATGTTAAAATTAAATTAAATACAGTCAAATGCAATGTTAAAAAAAATATAAGATTTTGGTATAAAAAATAATCGACAACCACAATTAATAAAACTCAAAGTGAAAATTATTTAAATTAATAATAAATTCTTTAAAACTTACCATGCAGCTCCACTTCCACCAACAATCGAAGAAACAGAGAAGAATAGTTTTCGCCCTCGTTGATGCCTTTTTGGGGGCTAACAGAGATGATCCTTTCGAAATCCCCGATTTGAGCTTGCACCGCCTTCTCCAAAGTTACATTTGGCAGCCATTTAGGCAGGTTGTCGACTGGCAACTCGCCGTTTCCATTGGTGGCCTCAGACATAATAAATCTAATATTAAAGAATGCAATTACTTATGTGAATTAAAAATGTTTGATCAATACCAACTGAGCTGATAACAATGAATTGTATGTTAACATGGCTAACAGGTCGTATGCATAACGTTTATAAGACATTTGTCAAACATAGGTGGCGCCAGCTCGTTTTCTGTTTAATACGCGGAATATTTGAATAACAAAATGCCATCTGCTCTTGGCCAAGCCCAATCCATAAACACTCTAAATATATTTCTATATTTATCATCATTTAAGGCCAGCAACTTTATCTTGAATAGGGGATAAAATTTGTCGGTGAAATATTACCATAACGTTAAGTACACTTATTGCTGCAATAAAAAAATGTTTTAATCTTTAAAATTTTCTTTGATCTTGATGATCTATAAACAGTCATGGTTATCAAAGAAAATTATTATATTTTTCTTGTGCAAAAAACAATCTTTTTGTTGAGAGCATGACTCAAGCTATTATACAGAATTACTAGTTCTTTTTTCAAGTAAGTTTTTGTATACTTGAAAAAATTGCTGCTTCGCTGATAATCTCAAAACTTATTTGTTTAGTAGTTAATATGGGCTACCAATCTTTATCATTTTTAGTTCTATAGAAAAACATATCCTCTATAAAAATAATGCATGCAAATCATTATCAACATAGTTACAAATACCTCATTTAGCAAATTGAGCACATGCCAACGAAGGTAATTACCGAACTTTTTTGGGGCTTTCATTGATTAGGCAATTATCAGAATTATCGCTATTTAATGAACAAAAATAATAAATCAGGTCACATGTCCGGCAATGAAACACCTGCTGTGAGTTTTGCTGCATTACGACATGGAGTTTGTGGGATCCTACCTGTTTAGTTATAAAAAACTTCTCTTTGGGTATCTGTTTTTCACTAAACTAAGTTTTATTTTGAACTGCCCCTTAACACCTTAATGTTATTTGTTATACTAGCTGTTACTTCCAATCTCAGATACATTTTTATAGCACTCTGTGGGTCGAACTGGGAGATTGGTTGCCTCGAATCGGGACTATGTGTATGTGTCACCAATCTTGGGAAAATACACATCGGTAGCAAACCTTTTTCCTAAATTGGTAATCGAAGCGCTGGATTCGTGCTGATAGATAGATCGGCTGCAGTCCGTTCAACTGTCGAGTGGGAAATGCGAGGTGCGATACTGGGGACCAGCGCAATTGCCCCGATTTGGCTATGTCCAAAGAAATTCCTTATCGCATGCATTCGATTGAAGTTTATTTTGTAATTCAGTTCGCCAAAACCGGCAAAAAAAGAGTGGCAATTGGCAATCGGCGGTGGCGAGAGCGGGAGCGAGATAGTGTGTAGTGAATGATATATGATATGTAGGCAGAAACGCCGTCAATTGTTTGATTGATAACGAAAAACTGTTTCTTGTTTCCACTTCTGATTCGACTTCTTTATCATGCACATATACTCCTCTTTTCGCTCGCCATTCGTTCTAATTATTTCGTGATTCCTCATTAATTGCTGTTTGCGGGCGTGACATGTGATGGGTGGTTAGATAGACGCCCTTCCACTCCCTCCATAAATAATCACTAGTAATCCTATTAAATATAGGTACACAAATTGGCCTTATAATTGTAAATGATTGAGTTTTAATAGGACTACTAAATTTTTTTTTGTTTTGCTTCTTTGACATTTCTAATAACAGAAAGCGTACAAAGTATCAACCTCGAAAACTCTACTTGTTCCATTCAAATTGGATAGATAAGTCTCTTCTTCACGACAAATTTAATCGGAGGTGTGAGTAATTTACATTGCGAACAAATTTTTAGCGGTCATTTTGATATTTTTGTTTAATAAAATAAATTGTTGCACCTTTTTTATGCATAAACGATCTGATGCCATTGTGTCAAAAAACAATATTTAAAGTTAATACTTTTGAGTGCACACTCACCCAAAAACCCAAATGACCTCAAAAATAACAAAATTACCTATGTTTTAGGAATAAAGATCTAAAAAGTTTTGAAATTAACAAAAGTTAACCCAAAGTTAAAGAAAAATTAATTTAATATGACGCTAAAGCCATACAATTAAAGTCAATTTTGACACCTTTAGGTCATTACTGCTAAGAATTGGTTAATTTTAAATTATATTTTGGTCATTTGTGTTTTTGCTGATTGTAGTCAGCAATGCATGTTATCGATTTTTTATAATTCCAGATATATTTTTATTCATAACACCGTCGACCCAAAAGATTATTCAAGAAGACGCAAAATTTGATGTTTTTCAATGTCTTTTTTGTTATTTAATTATGATTATTTTTAATTGTACTTTTTTAAAAGTTGCTTTGAGTTGTTTTGTTATGTTAGCGTCTAGTGTTTGTGGAACTTTAAATTTATCAAAGTTAAAACTGAAGGGCTCCTCTATTGTTAAGCCAGGTGAGAATGGCGCTGATATGTTTCTTGTAGCGGGCATTGGAGTACATGGCCATCTTGAGGCTATCGCCATTATCCGTTTCGGTGACGAAATCGGTCAAATTGGCATCCTCGGTGCGATCGAGCAGCACAGGCGGGCAGAGCATCAGAACAGTGTGATACCCTACAATCAGGGAAAACAAAACCCTTATTATTTTTTTACTTGCGGAAAGCGCTTTTCTAACTCACCAACTCGTCCATATTTCAACAGCTGAGTGTGCAGAAACCTCAGTGAGGGGGTCTTCTCTTGAGGGTACTTCAGCAATCGCAAGTGCTCGACCAAACGTTCATGATAGTACTTGATAAAGTAATCGAATTGACTCAGTTGTATTTCGAATTTCGTCGATCCGAGAAGGAAATAAATCAGATCGTGGGCCACACAGGCCACCTTGGGCAGTTGAAGGTCCACAAAATAGGTTTCGGCTGGTTCGGGTGATTCTCCCTCGTACCTGAACATAATGTTGTTGGTCCAGCAATCTCCGTGATTCAAAGCATTAAAATCCTCCGGATCGGGGTGGTTCATGGCATACATGAGATCCACGATCTTTGGCTGGATTTTGTGCTGCAAATATCATTGATAAATATATAGTACACTAAATATATATAGTATTAATATACTTACCACTGCTTCGCTATATTCTTCATAACCCTCGTAAAGTGGAAGGCACTTGAGTAGGTATTTTCCCAAGGTTTCCGCCACCTGTTCGATGTTTTCCTTCATGGTATCGGCATAAGTGGGTTGCAAGTAGTTTTGGGTGTAAGGACCCTTGAGATGGATCCTGTTGGCCGAGGCCGCATGCCACTGGGCCATCTTCTTCAGAACACTTTTGGTGTGGGCCATATCCAGACCCTCCAGGCGATCGACGTTCTTAAAGCCGAAAGGACGTAGGTCCTGCAGCAGAACGTAATTATCGGGTACGTCGATTTTATAAGCCTTGGCCCCGAATCTGACATTCAAGCCCAGATCCTTGTACATATTTTCCAATTCGGGTTTTACTTGCAAAAATACATCTCTTTCCACATCGAACATGTTGTTTTTCTTTAGGATCTCACGGTACAACTCGAAATCGTGCGGCGACTTTAGCATATAGCTCACATCTTCGATGGTGTGATCTAATGACGAAATGCTGGTGAATATTGAAATTGTTTGCCCATCGCAATGACTCACCCTTCAGTTCAACTTCAAAGTGGAGGCGCAGCATAAGGGTGGAGTAGTTTTCTCCTGGCTTGAGACCAGCCACCGGCTTGAAACTCTTGATTCCCACATACCCATCGCCGAATCGCTCGTTCAACAATTTTTCAAATAGGTCTGCCTTCAGCCAGGCTGGCACTGGCACCGAACTTGTCTCCTCCGACATTGTAAACAAACTGCGTGCTGGTTTGCCGGCCGGTGGTAACGAAATATAAGAGCGCAAACTTAAATATTTCTCTGCTGAGAGCCTTTTTGCCAAAACAAAGGCCGATCAGAAAGCTTTGAAAGCTTGTTGCGAGAATAAACAAAGAGTGCAGGCAAAAGAGAGTTTGCAAACAATTTGTTGTTAAGTTTTCAAACCAAACATATGTAAATTCATATGCCTGCCTATATATACAGACCCAAAAAGACAATGCGTGGAAATATAATATATATAACACCACAAATGGGCAGCATGATTTTACGACAGAATCAAATAAGTTTAGTTACCAATAATAAACACATAACAAATTCTACATACATACATACAGCGAGACCCAAAGGTATTTAAAATAATTTCAAGTGAATGAAATTAATTGTTGGTCTGTTTGTATTACGGAAACAAATTTGGTCCACATGCAATAAAAACACATAACTTAATGTACCTACAAGACGAAACCACAAAAGTAACTAACTCAGTTTTATTTTCATTTTCGTTTATGTATTTGTATTTAAATTCTTTAAAATTGTAATTAAATTATTCAATATATTTCCTGGTTTGAAAATATATCACAATAATAGCAAATTGTTTTAACAATTTCTTTCGGGTAGAAGAAAAACAATAAAATCTTTATCATTTTGTTTTTATTATTACAGACATTATCTAACTGAAAGGCTTGCGAAAGTCAACAGTATGCAACACTCTTATCTACTAAACAAACATTTAGCTTCTTATCATTACAAAAAAAAAATTAAAAAGTTTACGTTTCCTAGCTACAGTCCAATACAGATATAAGAGGTTATATTAGAATCGATTGGCTTGGAGTAGTACACTTAAGTTGCTGTCCCCAACTTCTATTCCAGAGCACCTCCATGTTGGAGCCAAGGCAAAAGGACGTTCATGTGATTGTGGAACCTGGGATTTTCATAAAGCGATTTCTTAAAGTTGGAGTCGTCATCGCCAAGGACCTTGTCGAAGTCAGCGCCGTCTACGGGATCCAGCAGAACATATGCCATTATGGTTGAGGAGCAGACAAATGCTGTAATATTGACTTATTTGTATTAACGATACATAAAAGTAAACAGACCGCTTACCCCATCCACTATACTTATTAAGATCACGGCGAATGCTTCTTAAAGTTGGCAGTGTCTTGGAGTAATTCAGCAGTTTGAGATGCTTAACCAATTCAGAGTGGTAGAACCAAATGAAGTAATCGAATTTCGATATTTTGACATCTAAACTTGTAGAGGACAGCAGAAAGTAATACAAATCCTGTGCCACTGATCCCCACTTGGGGACTTGCAGATCCACGAAATAGGTGTCCAGTATATCGCTTTTGTCATTGTACTTGAACATAATGTTATTTGCCCAGCCATCGCCGTGGTTCAGAGCATTAAACTCATCTGGCTTCGGATCGTTTAGTTCCCCTACAATATCCAAGATTTTATCGGATGCAATGTGCTGTAACGAACGGTAGAAGATAAGATACTGAGATACAGATACGGTAAGATAAGTCTACCCACCAAATCCTTTATGTAAGCCTTATAGCCTTGGCACAAATGAACATGGTTCAGGAAAACTTTCACGCTGCGATTACAGAAGGCATCCACTATTTCCTCGTTCTTCAGGAAACCCGTCGTAAACTTCTCCTCATAAGGCCCTTTTGAGGCCACTCGGACAGCAGATGCCGCATGCCATTGGGCAAACTTCTTCAGGACACTTTCGGTATGAGCCTGGTCCATGCCTTCAAGGCGGTTGATGTTCTTGAAACCCCGTGGTCTGAGGTCCTCCAACAGAACATAGTAATCGCTGGCTTCTATCTCGTAGGCCTCTGCTCCGAACTTAACTTCTAAACCTACATCCCGGTAGAGCTGCTCCAGTTCGGGCACCACTTCCAGATACATTCCCCGCTCCACATCGAAAATATCCGTCTTTTCTATCATTTTGCGATACAGCTCAGATTGATGAGGAGTTTTAAGCATGAAGGCCTTGGTTATTTGCAATTTATCTGGAGAATATAATCGAAGAATTTGCATAAGCTAAGGAGTTTTAAAAAAAAAAACAAAAAATAATAATAAATAGTTAAGGCGCCAGTTAAGCTTAGAAAAACCTTTTGTCTCCACATCCAGCTCCACTCGAAGCATTATGGTGGCATAGTTCTCGCCAGCAGCCACTCCTGCTTCAGCTCTCATTGCTTTGGTCTCCTTAAAATCCTTGACCTCTTTTATAAGCAGATCTTTAAAGACTTCTGGCTTAATCCAGTCTGGAATTGCCACCTCCCTTTGGCTCATACTTTCACCCTCCGTCTGGGGCGGCATTATGGACTAATCTCGTTGACTTCAGCAGACTAACTGGAGGCTTCGCGTACTAGGCTCATCTCTTAAATACTGTCGTGTGTAATAAATTACTAATTATCTTATCTCTTACCTAATTGTCAGCAATCTGTTTTAAATTCGTTTGTGCAAAAGTGACAAGGCAGACTGCCAGTGGGTGTGTCTATCATTCGTTTGTTAAAACAATTCGCAGATAACATTCTCATCATGACAGAGCACTTCCTTAGGTATTGGTAGAATACTTTAGTAATAACACGCTTAAAAGTTATGTGATGAATAGCTAATCTTTCAGAGGAAATTAACGTCTTTGCTCAGGCAAATACAGTTTACAACCCGTACAATTTTTTATTGTATAAGTTATATTTCCCTCTTTATTATTATTACGGGATCCATTATCTCATTCTTGTCATTGTACTTACTCTTTATTAAATAACTTCTGATTGGCAGGAGCCAACTGATCATTTATTCAATAATTAGTGCTTAAATATATTTTCTTTGACGGCTACTTAAGCATCAGAAAATGGGCTTATGTCCTAATTTTTTTATAAACATTCAATTAAAGTTAATTTATTGAATAAAATGGATGTTTTTTCAATAACGAATTAATGAATTTTCTTAAAAAGTACCATTTGAGATTCTATTCCAAGGCCCCTTGATGCTGAAGCCAAGGCATAAGAACCTCCATGTGCCTTCGGTACCTGGGGTTGGTATAAAGGGAATTCCTAAAGCTGGAGTTTTCTTTTGCGATGATTTTATCGAAATCAGCACCGTCTGTGGGATCCAGCAGAACGTATCCCATTACGCAGGCGGAGCAGATGAAGGCTGAAAAATAAAGTTATTTGTAAGGTTGGAAACCAATAATTTTAATTCATTTTAATTTAACTTACCCCATCCACTGTATTTGTTAAGGGCATAGCGAATACTCCTTAAAGTGGGCAATGACTTTGAGTAATTTAGCAGATTCAAATGCTTAACCAACTCGGAGTGATAGAACCAAATAAAATAATCAAATTTTGAAGTTTTGATGTCCAATCTAGTGGATGAAAGTAGGAAGTAGTACAAATCCTGCGCCACTGTTCCCCACTTTGGCAGTTGAAGGTCAACGAAATAGGTATTCAAAATCTCATTCTTGTCGTTGTACTGGAACATAATGTTGTTGGACCAACCATCGCCATGGTTTAGGGCATTGAACTCATCGGACTTGGGTTCCTTCAGGTCGTTCACCACATCATATAACTTTTCTGAGACACTGTGCTGTAGGTAGATATTCGGAGATAAGATACAAAGCAAGAGATACTAAGCGATAAGTCTACACACCAAATCCTTTAGGTATGCCTCGTGGCCTTCGTACTGATCGATATGTTTTAGCAAAGTTTTAGCACTGCCAACGCAAAAGGCATCTACGATTTCTTGGGAGTCGAAAAAACCCTTTGTGTACTTCTCGTTGTAGGGTCCTTTGAGGTCCACACGAACTGCAGAGGCCGCATGCCATTGGGCGAACTTAGTCAGGACACTTTCAGTGTGAGCCAGATCCAATCCTTGAAGGCGATCTGCGTTTTTGAAGCCACGTGGCCTAAGGTCCTCCAAAAGGACATAGTGTTCACTGGTCGCTACCTCGTAGGCCTCAGCCCCGAATTTTACCTCCGCACCCACATCGCGATACAACTGCTCCAGTTCAGGGACTACTTCCAGATACATTCCACGCTCCACATCAAAGATGTTCGTTCTGTCCAGAAGTTTTCGATAAGCCTCAGAGTGATGGGGAGTTTTTAGCATGAACGCCTTGGTAACCTGGGATTTGTCTTTAAAAATATTTGTTTGGTATTAGTTATGTTTTACGTATAATGGAACAATAGACCAACCGTTTGTCTCCACATCAAGTTCCAGTCTTAGCATTATGGTGGCATAATTTTCGCCAGCAGCAACTCCTGCCTTGGCCCTCAGTGCTTTTGTTTCCTTATAGTCCTTGACCTTATTTTTTAGAAGATCCTGAAATGCTTCCGGTGTTACCCATTCCGGAATTTTAACATCCCTCTGGAAACTTTGTTCGTCCTTTGTCTGCGGCGGCATTTTTGGAATATCTTCTGGACGTTACGGCACTTACTGAGAACTTTTTTAATTAGGCCCCTCATTTATAGTTAGTACTTTGGCTCTAGATCTGCCATGGAAGAGATAAACTTTATCTTAATCACCACAGACAGTCTTAATTGCACTATGACAATGCAGGTTTTTCCACTTAACTTCCTTACTTTATATACATATGTAGGTATATATGAAAAATTAGTTTGGCTAATACCATACCATAATTTATATTTTAGTCTTGGAGTTATAGATTTAAGGAACAAACTTTATTCAAAAAAGAATTAAAGCAAAGTTTATTGTTGCAGTTTCAATAACTCTGTAACAAATTGCAATTAATAGTTTACAATATTTAAAAAAAAATAAATGTAAGATCATGATCAAGTTAAGTAAAATCATGGGCTTGCTCACCTTGGATTAAATTAAATCATTAAATATGTGTAGTGTGCGACAATAACTTAAACAAAACAAATATAAAATTACAGTAATTTGTTGTTTAATTGTACTATTTTTTTTTGTAAAAGTGTCATGAAGGCATAAACTTTTTGTTTGTAAGTAAACAGAACAATTTGTTTTTGTATAGAGAAAATATAAGCTTTTTTCAAGCTTTTGTTTTCAGTTTTGTTTTGCTACCACTTTCGCATTTTACCTTATATGGCATAGGTTTTATACCACTCTCTTTCCTTACTTATCATAGATTTACTTTGGACAAGCTGTGTAGGTAGCTTCATGGTAGTAAAAAAAAAGAAAAGCATTGAGAATCAAATAATTTTGTTTGGTTTGTTATTTTGTTTTGGTTTGCTATACACATACATACACACATATACATACATAGCTTACTTCTTCAATCTTCATTTACCTCTGATCTACTTAGGTTTGTATCTGCCTGCAAATAAGGCAGTAGATTCCCAACAAAGATTTCGATTCAACTCAATAAGTTTAACCTGATTAAACGATTTCTTAAAAAATAATACTAGATTACCAATATTAAAAATATTAAGACACTATGCACTCCCTAATGTAATGCAATTTTAATCCGCTGCATGTGGGAATATATTTCCTTTCACTATCACTTGCAAAGGTATAAAAGATCATTTTTTCCGTGTGATTTATGGTGAGTATTTGACACAAAATCCAATCGTTAGATTCCCAATTTTTTAAGATTTACTGGGAACTTAATGGATATTGGAATGGTGTGTTTTGAAGATTTCTGTAACATTTTTATAAGTCCTGTTTATGCAGTCATATTGCTCTTCAGGTCGCAATGTACATAAATAATAACATTTAATTTGCTAACGAAAACTCAAGAAAAAAATTTGACTGTGGATAAAGACTATATTAAATAAGCTATTATTCCAGGCTACGTTTGCTACATAATCATCATAATCATAACAGTTTTTTGTCTAGAAATATACTTTTCATTGTGAGTTTGGTAAATGATTGAACCGTGTATCGTTCGAAGTTTTTCTTTTATTAATACTCGTTGCCATTATCGCACGAAGATACAGATAATACTATCATGGGGTTCCATTTATTTGTGACTCAATTAGGATTGTTTATTGTGCAAAACTGGAAATTGTTTAAATTGAAATTTTTCGATGTCCAAAGCGCCACGATTAAGCAGCCACGGCATGATCGTTTCGATGTGTTTCCGGTACCGCGCATTGTTGTAAAGCTGGAAATTCGTTCCCGCTTCAGTATCACTAACAAAATTCTCAAAACTTGCTGTGTCCGTGGGATCCAAGAGAACGGCGGTCATCACCCCAATTGCCACGGAATAACCTGAATTAGCAAATTTTTAATAGCAAGTTAATGATTTAAACTCCTTAGAAATGCTTACCGAAAAATCCATATTTAAAAAGCGCCAAATGAATATCTCGCAGGCTTGGGATGGGCTTTGTGTATTTCAAAATCTCCAGGTGCTCAACCAGGTGCTCATGGTAAATCTTAACATAGTAATCGAATTTTGAGAGCTTATCCTCCAGTTTTGTGGAAGAGATCAGGAAGTATAACAGGTCCTGGACGACGGTCCCATATTTGGGGATCTGGTAGTCGACCAAATAGACCTCCTTGATCTTTCCAAAAGCATCGTAGTGGAACATTATATTATTCGACCACGAATCGCCGTGGTTAAGCACATTGAATTCTGTTGGATCGACCTTGGCGAAATCGAAAATTTTTATCGACAAATACAGGATTTAGGGCTTTCTATTCAAAGGTGGAGCAATTAAAAGCATTACTATGTTAATTCGATACTTAAAGCATTCATTACTTACGACTTTGTCTATAAAGATATCTTTTCCTTCGTATGTGGCACAGCTTTTGACAAAATTGGCACCCATTCCGTTCATCATTTCAGTCATCATCGGACGGCCGTCTTCCCTAAAATAGTCATGCAACACGGCATCAGGATATGGACCTTTGGTGGCCACTCGAACCGCCGATGCAGCATGCCATTGGGCTAGCTTTTGAAGAACTCTTTCTGTATGCGCCTGGTCCAGTCCTTCCAGGCGGTTGGCATTCTTAAATCCCTTGATTCCCAGATCCTCCAGGGCCACATATTCGGTCTTGGCATTCTTAAGATCAAAGCTTTTAGCTCCGAAAGTGATATCCACACCAACTTCTTTATAAATAGCCTCCATTTCAGGAACCACCTGGTTGTACATTGTGCGTTCGACGTCGAAGAGGTTGTTCCTCTTCATCATCTCCTGGTATATTTCGAGTTGGTGGGGTAGCTTGACCATATAAGACACAGATTTCGATTTGCCATCTAAGAAAGAGAAGTCATAAACTTTCTCGTATTACACCCACATCGACTTACCCTGTAGTTCCACTTCGATGTTAACTCGGAGCATTATGGTGGCATAGTTTTCCCCTGCCGCAGATCCACTATCCGCTTTAAAACTCTTGACTTTTAAATACCCCTCCACATTTGCCTTGAGAACATCTTCAAATAATTCTGCAGTGACCTAAACTGGAATTTTACTAGCCGCCATTGTAGCTGATCGGTTTTTGTTATTCTATAGAAAAAATTAAAACAAGTATACGCCTTGTTGCTCTAGGGTTGACTGACGCCAAGTAGGGAGGATCGATGGTCTTATGTAGGAGAAGCTTTCATAATTTGGTTTAAGAGTCCCACAGCTTTTTCTCAGTCTTCTCTCCATATTTTTTATGTTCACAGTAATTCTCTCTCGATCAGATGTTTTGCTTGTTGTTGACTGACTCAAAAATTGCAGCCAAATATTTTTGTATCATCTCAGTAGCTTTCTATTCGATTTTCAAAATGAAGTGATTTCTCTTGATCTTCTCTCTCAAACTAATTTCTCTCCCCTCAAAAAGCTTCAACTGTAAGCCAACGTGCCCATAAATGGAGTGGTAAAAGTAAATATAAGGAAGAGTGGTTAAATGTTGAAAAACAGAAATTAACAACTATTTTCCTTAACGTCTTAAAATTAGTTATCTGACATATCGTGATTTTAAGAAATAAAAGGAAGAAATTAAAATAATATCCAGAAAAATTTGCAGCACCTACCTTCTAAATAAAAGTTTATTAATTTTTCTAAAAATATTCTTTAAGTTAAGTTGGTACAACCTAATAAAATACTGAGAAAACTATAATTTTTTCCAAAACAAATATTGACATAAAAGTGAAAACGCCATCAGCATCCTTCGTAAATATTTTTATGTGAAAAAATATTGAGATACAAACATTGAGAGAACTGCAGAGTATATGCTTTTAAACCAAACTTACTTTCAGTTTTGTTTTGCTACACTGTTTGCTTATAACCATATTTGGTTATATATTCTAAACTTTCTTTCGTACAATCATATCTATGCTCACGAACTCCCCAAACAATATAGTGTTTGAAAATACATACATAGGTATTTAAGTTCATAGACCTTTTTTGTTGTTCACTACCTTATAATCTATTACTTTATGTCTGGACTTGAATTTTCAACTGTTGTTTACTTCCATATTTGGCAAACCCTTTACCGCCATGAATTCAACTTTTCATGAATGGTTTAGCAGAATAATAGAACTCGCTATTAATACTTGTGTCCACTATCGCACGTAGGTGCAGATAACACTATCATGTGGTCGGTCGCATTTATTTCTGACTCAACGTTGAGTGTTTATTGTGTAAAATTTGAAAGTATGCAGTTTTAGATGTCCAGAGAGCCACGATTTAGTAGCCAGGGCATAATCACTTGAATGTGTTTGCGGAACCGGGGACTGTTGTAAAGCTGCATCTGGAAATCCACTCCCGCTTCAGTCTCACCCATAAAGTTCTCAAAACTGGCTGTATCTGTGGGATCTAAGAGAACGGCGGCCATCACACCAGTGGCCACGGAATATCCTTGGGAAAATTATATCAATATACACCATTTAATGCGCAAAATATTGATTTAAAGAACTTACCGAAAAAGCCATATTTAAACAGCGCCAAGTGAATGTCTCGCAGACTGGGAATCGGCTTTGAATACTTTAGAATCTCTAGGTGTTCTACTAGGTTCTCATGATAAACCTTAATATAGTAATCAAATTTGGAAAGTTTATCCTCTAGCTTTGTGGACGAAATCAAGAAGTAGAGCAGGTCCTGGGCAACGGTACCATATTTGGGGATCTGATAGTCGACCAAATAGACCTCCTTGATCTTTCCAAAAGCATCGTATTGGAACATTATATTATTCGACCACGAATCGCCGTGGTTAAGTACATTGAATTCCGTGGGATCGACCTTGGCGAATTCGAAGAGTTTATCGACAAACACCGGCTGTAGAGCTTTCTAACAAAACATGGGGAAATTAAAAGCATATTGGACATATCAAGTGTTTACTACTTACGACTTTGTCTAGAAACACTTCGTAACCTTCGTAGGTGACACAGCTTTTGACAAAATTGGCTCCCATTCCTTTCATCATTTCGGTCATCATTGGGCGAGAATCCTCCTTAAAGAAGCCGTGTAAGAGGATATCAGGATACGGACCCTTGGTGGCCACTCGCACCGCGGATGCAGCATGCCATTGGGCTAGCTTTCGAAGAACTCTTTCAGTGTGCGTTTGGTCGAGTCCTTCCAGGCGGTTGGCATTCTTGAATCCCTTGATTCCCAGATCCTCCAGGGCCACATAATCGGTCTTGGCATTCTTCAGATCATAGCTCTTAGCTCCGAAAGTGATATCCACACCAACTTCTTTATAAATAGCCTCCATTTCAGGAACCACCTGGTTGTACATTAGGCGCTCGATGTCAAATATGTTGGTCCGCTTCATCATCTCCTGGTAAAACTCCAGTTGGTGGGGTAGCTTGACCATGTAAGACACAGGTTTTGTTTTGCCATCTAAGTATAAAAAGTTAGAAATTTTTCTCGCAATTCACTCTCATTGACCTACCCTGTAGTTCTACTTCGATGTTAACTCGGAGCATTATAGTGGCATAGTTTTCCCCTGCCGCAGATCCAATATCCGCCTTGAAATTGTTAACTTTTGAATACCCTTCCACATTTGCCTTGAGAACATCTTCGAATAGTTCTGCAGTGACCCAATCGGGAATTTTACTACCAGCCATTGTCGATAACCTTACTTTTGTTTTTTAATGAAACTTATAACAAGTATACGCCTAGTTGTACTAGAGTGGGTTGACTGAGGACAGGCATGAAAGATCCCTAGTTTTATATCTGTCGCGGAGCTTTCATAAGTTCGTAGAACAAGTGGCTTTTTTCAGTCTTTACTAACAAGCTTTTCTAATTGCACTTCACCTTATTTTCTCCCAGCCCAAACAAGTTTTTGCCATGTCAATTTACCTGTAGACCGTACTGATCATATATATACTTTGTTAATATATATTACGATGTGTGGCTGTAAACTTTGAACCAAATGGAAGTTGTGTAATTGTAATAAATTGATTAATATTTGAAAAAATAATTTTGGTTCGAAGCGTTATCTTTATGAGCACTTTATTCTTTAAAAAAGGTAACTCTATAAGAAAAATCTTTGTTTATATTTGATTTATTTTAATTATGGTTTAGAGCTCTATGAGCCAGAATGCAGCTTTAAGCTTCTAACGTAGGAATGTCGGCGTCTCATCAAGATATAATATGATACATTTTCTAATTGATATCCAGTGCGCCGCGATTAAGAAGCCAGGGCAAGATGGCCTCGGTGTGTTTTCGGTACCGAGCATTGCTATACATTTTCGTTTGGAATTCCTTTCCCTCGGCGGAGTCGCCTGTAAAGTTCTCAAAACAGGCGTCTTTTGATGGATCTACGAGAACGACTGCCATCACACCAGTGGCCACGCAATATACTGGAAAAGGAATCAATAATTCACGGTTTATAAATGAAATTTAAACTGCTAAGCCAAATTTTACTCACTGAATGGTCCATACTCAAACAACGTCTTGTGAATGTCTCGCAAGCTTGGCATTGGCTTGGAGTATTTGAGAATCTTAAGATGCTCCACTAGATTATCATGGTAAACCCTAACGTAGTAATCAAATTTGCTCAACTTGTCTTCCAGCTTCGTGGAGGATATCAGGAAGTAGATCAAGTCATGAGCCACATTACCGTACTTCGGCATCTGATAATCTACCATATACACCTCCTTGACCTTTCCGAAATCATCGTACTGGAACATAAAGTTATTCGACCAGGAGTCGCCATGGTTCAGTACATTGAATTCCGTCGAATCCACTTTGCCCATCTTAAACATCTCGTCTAATATCACTGGCTTCAGGGCTTTCTAATTAAATATACAAAATAAATAATAAGAACGGATTTTAAAATAATAGTAACGACTTACGAGTTTGTCTATGTATGCCTCGTTACCTTCATAAGTGGCACAGCATTTCAGGAATATTTCACCCATCCCGTTCATCGTTTCGTTTATCTTCGCCCTGTTTTCCTCCTTGAAGAAGGTCTTTAGAACGCCTTCCGGATACTGCCCCTTTGTCGCCACTCGCACTGCGGTTGCAGCATGCCACTGGGCCATTTTTCGGAGGACTCTTTCAGTGTGCGCTTGATCGAGTCCCTCTAATCGATTGACATTCTTAAACCCCTTCGAGCACAGATCCTCGAGAGCTATGTACTCGCTCTTGCCATTCCTAAGTTCATAGTTCTTGGCTCCAAATGTGACCTCCACACCGGCCGCCTTGTATAGAGCCTCCATTTCGGGAACAACCACTCTGTACATTGTGCGCTCGATTTCGAAGATGTTTATGTGCTCCATCAATTCCTTGTGAACATCATTTTGATGTGGTAACTTAACCATGTAAGACACCTGTTTGTTTGTTCCATCTACAAGGGAGAAGATTGAAATCAGCAAGTGTCAATAAATGCCAACCAACTCACCTAGCAGCTCCACTTCGATATTTACTCGGACCATAATTGAGGCGTAGTTTTCTCCCGCTGAGGATCCGCTTTCCGCTTTAAAACTTCTGACTTTTGAATATCCCACCATATTCGACTTAAGAACATCTTCGAATAGCTCCTCTCTGACCCAATCGGGAATTTTACTAGCAACCATTGTAGATATTCGTTACTTTTGGGTTTCAATAAACAAGAACAAGTATACGCCTAGTTGTACTAGAGTGGGTTTACTGAAGCCAGTCATGAAATATCCCTAGTTTTATATCTGTCGGGGAGCTTTCATAAATACGTAGAATAAAAGGCTGTTCGTACAAGCTTTACTAATTGCACTTTAGTAATTTTTCTCCCAAAGTTTTTGCCATGTTAATTTCACTTTAGAGCGTAATGACCACATATTACATTACTTGGTGTGACATTCAATTTCCTTCTTTAGAAATAAAATTTGAAAAAAATCTATTGCAGAATCAACAAACAAATTCCTGTTTTTAACTTTTGTGAGGAAAAATCCATAAAGACTTGACGCAATAAACACATTTCTAAAATTGTCCCATATGGACAGCTTTTCAAGGTATTTAAAATATTCGCCTACACAGGCATTTTTTATCGCAGCGTGGCAAAACTAACAAAAACCGCCAAATTAAAATTTTTTTTATATATTTGTTATTTTTTTAATGGGAGCTATTTAAAATCTAAAACCATAATTGAAGAACATTAAAAAAAAATATAATTACTTCCAAGTTATAATTTTTTCTTCAGGGTAAGGTATATTTTTATTGGTCTATTTTGTTCAATACTTGGGTTATGGACCTCCCATGAGTCAGAAAAGCGACTTTTTGCATTTCGTGCAGAAATGTCGGCTCGTCTTAAAGATTTATCATGATTCATGATAAACATTCTAGTTGATATCCAGGGCGCCCCGATTGAGCAGCCAGGGCAGAATGGCCTGGATGTGTTTTCGGTAGCGGGCGTTGTTGTACATTTGCATCTGGAAGTCCACACCCTCAGCGGAGTCGCCAAGAAAGTTCTCGAAACTGGCGCTATCCGTGGGATCTACGAGAACGGCTGCCATCACACCAGTGGCCACGGAATATGCTGGTAAGGAAATCAGAAAGTCTTAGATAAAAATGTAGTCCAGACTGTTTTCTAAATTGTACTCACCAAAAAGTCCATACCTAAGCAACATCTTGTGAATGCCACGCAAACTTGGCAATGGCTTGGAGTATTTGAGAATCTTCAGATGCTCTACAAGATTATCATGGTACACCTTAACATAGTAGTCGAATTTGCTCAACTTGTCTTCTAGCTTCGTGGAGGATATTAGGAAGTAAAGCAGATCCTGCGCCGCGGAACCGTACTTCGAGACCTGATAATCGACCATATACACCTCGTTAACCTTTCCGAAATCATCGTACTGGAACATAATGTTATTTGACCACGAATCACCGTGATTCAGCACATTAAATTCCGTGGGATCAACTTCGCCCATCTTGAACATCTCGTCAATTACCACGGGCTTTAGGGCTTTCTATTTGGGTATAAGAAAGTTGTAAGAATGGATTTTAAAATAAAAGTTACTACCTACGATTTTGTCTATGTATGCCTCGTTGCCTTCATAAGTGGCACAGCATTTCAGGAATATCTCACCCATCCCGTTCATCATTTCGTTCATCATCGGCTTGTTTTCCTCCTTGAAGAAGCCCTTGAGAACGATTTCCGGATACTGCCCCTTTGTGGTCACTCTCACTGCGGTTGCAGCATGCCACTGGGCCAACTTCCGGAGGACTCTTTCCGTATGCGCTTGATCGAGTCCCTCTAATCGATTGGCATTCTTAAACCCTTTAGTGCAAAGATCCTCGAGAGCTATGTACTCGCTCTTGGCATTCCGAAGTTCGTAGCTCTTGGCGCCAAATGTGATCTCCACACCGGCCGCCTTGTAAAGTGCCTCCATTTCGGGAATGACCTCATTGTACATAGTTCGCTCGATTTCGAAAATGTTGGTGTGCTTCATCATTTCCTTATACACTTCAGTCTGATGTGGCAACTTGACCATAAAAGACGCTTGTTTGGTGGTGCCATCTGAAGGGGAGAAGTTTGATAACAATAATCAATGTCAAAAAAAGCCAGCAAACTCACCTTGCAGCTCCACTTCGATATTAACTCGCAGCATGATAGTGGCGTAGTTATCCCCCGCTGCGGATCCGCTTTCCGCTTTAAAACTTCTGACTTTTGAGTATCCCTCGACACTCGACTTGAGAACATCTTCGAAAAGTTCTGCACAGACCCAATCGGGAATTTTCCTAGCAGCCATTGTAGATTATCGGGATTACTAGTTGGAAAACAAACGCGGAATTACTACTGAAACGCAAAAGAGAATACGTATACGCCTTGTTTGGCGGTGTTGCGTTGACTGACGAAAATGAGAGAATTAGACATTTCTATTTTACTGGAAAGCTTTTGTAGTTTCATAGAGCGCGGCAGCTATCTCTTGATCTTCTCTCAAAAGCTCTGCTTATAGCATTCCAAATAATTGGTTACCATTTGTTTTTATTTATTTCACAATGAGGAATTTTTGGCGGAAACCCCCTATAAAAGTCATCCATAAAAGACATTCTATTATAAATGCGTTTTTTTTCGAACAAATTATTTGTAACAATCGTTACAAATCGTTATGAAGTACTATTATAGAATTTGAGCTAATGCTTAATTTTTTAATAGTTTTTAATTTTGTGTCTATCATCCTCATATAACAAATTTTTTTTCGAATAAATTACTTCTAATAAACAGTTTTTTTTTATAGTTTTTTACTGTTTAATATCTTTCACATATTTACTTTTGATAACATTTATTTACATATGTTAATACTTTTGAGCTCTGATGGGACCGGTTTTAAGTTTCATCAAATTTATCTAATGTAACCCCGGTTAATGAGCCAAGGCAGTATGACTTTGATCTGATCCACGTAAGCCGGCAGGAGAAACATCTTACGCTTGAACGCCATCGCCTCCTCCGAGTTTCCCATTACATTGCCTATATTCGAATCGACATCGGGTGGGAGCAGCACTATGGGCAGCATACGCTGAGCGCAAATAAAAGCTGGAATAACGAGGGGTTTGAATTGGGAGCCACACTAAAAAAAAAGCTTGGGGTCGAGGTCTTACCCCAGAGACTATATCTGTGCAGATGGGTGTGCAGCTGAGCCAGTGTGGGCGCATTCCTATTGTAGTTGAGCAGACCGAGATGCTCGACGAGCTGCTGGTGATAATACTCTATAAAATGATCGAACTTATTCAGCTTGATCGAGAATTTGGGGGAGGTCATCAGCAGACAAAAAAGGTCCTGGGCGGGTGTGCCTAAATATGAATATTTATATTAAATAGTTGCCTTTGTTGGTCGCTATTTATAATTTTACCAAATTTGGGCAGCTGAAAATCGACAAAACAAACATCTTCCACCGCTGTACCATCTTTGTACTTGAACATAAAGTTGTTGCACCAGAAATCACCATGGTTTAGCACACTTAACTCCATAGGATCATTTTTGCCAAACTCTATATTCAAATCCGTCAAACGCGATGTGTAGTCGCTCTGAAAAAAAAAAAATTATTTATTATAAGAAATATTTAAATATGTATATACACAGAAAAAACAAATGCAAAAATCAATTTGATATTTTCAAGTCAACATACACGTATTGAATAATTTAAAATTTATATTTATAAGAGTATTTTTTTGCTCTCCCAGTTTTTGAACATATTAAGTATTAAGAACCAATTGCCACGGAATACCACCAAAATAAATATCATTTCTCACTACATTTTTTTTAGTATATAATATATTGAAAACTTACTATGAGAACAAGTTGTCCTGGATCCAGATTATATTTCTGCATGCATTCCAAGAAGGGCATACAAAAATTAATGTTGAAGTCATCCAGCAATTTCTGGTGCTCGGTGGTGAAGTAACTCTCCCGAATATCTTTATCATGTTCACCCAGTTCAACCACTCTTTTTGCAGAGGCTGCATGCCACTGGGCCAACTTCTTCAGCACAGCCTCCACTTCGAACTGCTCCAAGCCCTGAATTCTGTCGGCATTTTTGTATCCCCTTTTTCGCAGATCCTCTAGCAGTATATAGTCACTCTTAATCGGATTGCCTGGAAACTTGAAATGCAGTGGCTTGAATCTCGGTGATAGGGAAGTGTTCGTGGCATACAGGTCCTCCAGTTCTGGTATCAAATGGTTGTACATGTCTAGTTCGGCATCGAACATGTCTTTGAAATCGTTATCCTGATCTTCCGGAACCAGAGGAATCTTCAATATGTAGCTGACATCTTCTGTGCTATTATCTGAATTTTCATGTTTACTATTTGATAACAGCAATTCGGCATTGTTACTCACCTTTCAGCTGCATTTCAATTTGTATACGTAGCACGATCGTCAAATAATTCTCCCCCTTACTAATCGCCGATGTGGGAACAAATTTAAGTACCGCCTTGAAATTGTTATTATACTGTTCCAACAACCCATGGAAAAGCTCTTTGTTCACCCACTTCGGAGTGGTTTGGTCTGCCATGATCTTTGCTTAGATGCGCTATCGTGTGATACTAACGCCTTTCAAATAGCTACTGGACCACTAAATGTTTTCACGAACAAAAGCTCGTTATATTTATCTCTTCGAGAACGTGACGGCATTCTTCGTGTTACATATAGGGTATGTATGTATGTACTTTTTGTTTAAGAGAATAAATAGCATTCAGAAGAGAATTAGAAATACTTATCAGTATTTAGATGAGTGATTTTTGGGGAGAGCGTTTAAATCCCAAGACAAGGAATAAGTTAATTTTATAAATATGATAACTAAAAATAACAATAAAAAATATTTTTATAAAATAACTTTTAAATTAAAAAGGCATTTTCTTATTTAGTTTATGGTGCAAAAATTAAATTTTTTGGAATGCACTCAAAATAAAATACGACAGTAACAAAACAGATTAATAGAGAGTAAAGACAAAAACATTTAAAGACTTAGAGACTAATTTTGCTAAAATAAGACAAACAGCCATAAAAGTGACGGTTTTGTGGGCTGGTAACCTTTACTATCTATCCCCGTTCGATTTTTAAAGTGAATTTTAGGACCAATTTTCACAATTTTTATAATGACCATGATTTTTTGCAAAAATTAATGCTATTAGATTAAACATTTAATGACGAATTTAAAAAGGCATGACAATCCAGCATTTGATCTTTAATTTAAGCAAACCCAAAAACTTCCAAGTCATTTCAGAGTTAAGAGGTACAAAGTGTATGTAGTGGGCTTTCATCAGGCTTTAATCTTAATGGAAATCACTCTAGGCAATGTGATTATTGTAAACAAATCATTATTTATCGTTAGTCCTAAAATCATTACTCTAAGATTTCACGTTGTGTGTTAGGACGTGCCGCTTCAGTTTGTCCTGTCGTGCGAAGTCCTTGGAGCAGAAGTTGCATTGGTAGGGCCGCTCGCCAGTGTGTCTACGGTGGTGCACCTTCAGTTCGTAGTGGACCGTGAAGCGCATGTCGCAGAGATCGCACTTGAAGGGCTTTTCGCCGGTATGACGACGCATGTGGATGCTCAGTTTGTTGGGCGTCAGCGACTCCAGGCCGCAAAGAGAGCAGAGGTACTTCTTGACTGGATTCTTTTTGGCCAGGTGCATGTCCCTGATGTGCTTCTGCAGGCTGGGCTCCACGACAAAGGAGCGCCAGCAGTGGGGACACGGGTAGCGGAAGCGTCGCCTCCTCCTCACCGGTGGGTGCTGCTCCAAAACAGTGGGTTGCTTGGGATGCTGGCTGGCCAGATGCTGGTTGAGGTTCTCCTCCCACATGAACTTGTAGCCACAGCGCGAGCAGACGAACTTCTTCTCCTTGTTTAAGCATTGGTTGCGAACGTGTTGATCCAACATGTACTAAAATAAGATTTCATTTAATGCAAAATAATTAAAATAGTATCAATTAAAAACTTACCTTATCCACCGTCTTGAAAATGCAGTGTTCGCAGGAATGTGGCAGCTTGTCGAAGCAATGCAGCGAGTACTGGTGCTCACTCAACTCCCGTCGTCGCCGGAAGCTCATATCACACAGGTCGCAGGTGTACGACCTGCTAGTAGTGCTTTCCTCATCACTGTCGTCCGTATCCTCCAGCAGGAGCTCAAATCCAGCTGCCGTGCTGATCATGTAGGCCGACGGCTGATCACTGTGACCCTGCATGGATATGTGCCGCCGCAAGTCTGCTACGCTGATGAATTGGATCGCACACAACTTGCACTGGATGCTCTTTGGTCCCGCCGGTTTAGAGGCATCCGCCAGCAGCGTTTCAGCCAGGGGCAGATCGTGGCCAGAGAATCCGTGGCGTTGCACGTGCTTGTGCAGCAGGGCAGGACGATAGAAGGTGCGGGTGCACCAGCGGCAAGGATATAGCTGCATGTTGCTATCGCGGTGCATCATCAGTTTGTGCTTGGTCACGGCGCTTTTGTCTTGAAAACTCCGGGAGCACAGATCGCACGGGTAATCCTCTTGCTAAAATGGATTAGAATAAGATGGACAAGTAACTTTCTTATTTTTTGCAAATATTTAATGAAATTAGTTTGTTAGAACTTATAAGTAAGGAATAAAAATTTCAAAAAAAAAAATACGCAGAATTAGTTTTCCGCTTTTAAAAAAAATCTGAAACCCATGCATAACTGTTACCACAATTTATTAAAGATCAATTTTTTCAAAAAATTTAAACTAATTTGTTAAGACTTATAAGTAATTAACATAAATTATAATAAATACCTTTCCTTTTAAAAAGATTTAAGGCCCGTAGAAAACTATTACCACAACTCAAAGTTAAAGACAAAGACTATTAAAGTTCTTGAGTGCTTTAAATTTTGATAAAAAATTTAATATATATTGCCTTATTATGCAAGAGCAGTTAAAACGAAATTAGAAGAATGAAACCAAAAACAACTAAGCTGAGGTAGTTCTTAAGGAATAGCTTCTAATTATCCTCTGATCTGTACAGCTCCTCACCTTGCTCTTGTGCTCGACGAGATGGGCTCGCAGATTCCGGCGCCAAAAGAAACGCTGAGGGCATTTGTCGCACATGAAGCGCTTCAGGGTGTTTTGGCACAGTTGGATGGTGTGGTGCTCCAGCAGCTGGGCACTGAGGAAGCGCGAGTCGCAGCGCTGGCACACATGCGGAGCATCCAGCCAGGTGTGCTCCTTCCGGTGGTGCTGGTGCAGTAAATACTTGCGCGGCCACCTGGCTTCCGGGGACTCGCACAGTTCGCAGGAGTAGCTGCGCCGAATGACCACATCCCCGTCACCCTCCTCGCCATCGCTGTCCGTATCGGAGCTGTCTAGAGTCATCTCGTAGCGAGCTTGGTTTGTAATAGAATAGTAGCGTCCGTAAACACCCATCCTGAGATCCCGAAAGATGCGCCGTTTCAAGCCCTCCGCCGTGGACTCCACGGCGGTCTTGAAAAACCCCTCCGCGATTCGCTCAATGGGCTCGCCATGCGCCTCGAAATCAAAGTCTGTGGGATGGTTCTGCAGGTGATTCCTTAGCTCTCGCAGTTTGGTGAAGCGTCGCAGGCAGATCATACACTTGATTTCCTTGGCGCCATTGGGTTCGCAGCGATGGTAATCGAAGCCATCAACTCGTCGATTGATTCTCGATGGCTTGGCAACTCGGGCAACTGTCGAGCCGGATGTGGAGGGCAGGGGCTGATCGTCCTCCGTCTCCAACTGCTTGTCCGACCGTTTGTCGGAGTGCTCTTTGTGCTTGTGCTTGATCAAGCTCACAATGTATTTGTAGGTCTTGCTGCAGTGATCGCACTTGTAGTAGTTGTCCACATTGCTGTTGCCATCCTCATCCGAGAGTCTGTGAAGGAGATTAATTTTACTGGAGTTATTATCATGGAATACTAAAGTTGTAGGCAGAAGATTCTGAATAAATAATACAATAATAGACTACATGCGGCACAAAAGGTATTGAGGTTTATATACATTTGGCACCAGCATAATGCGTTCTGATGCATATAACTCTAGTCTATGAACAACACAATACTACACATTATGCAATTCAGAAGATATCCTTAACATCCCTATTTTACTGTTAAGAACTTAAGATACATTAAAGAATATTACAATAATGAACATTAAGCGACACAAAAGGTATCCAAAACATGCTTATTTTAGGAGACTATATAAATTTGACACCAGCATAAGTAATACTATACAATAACACAAGATAACCTAAACATCCCTATTTCTTTAGATACATTGATGCATAATGACAATAAACTTACTCTACTGCCTTAATTATGCTGTGCACGAGGGTGTCGTTGTTGATTCTGCTGCGATGAGTGGAGTTACCCGAGTTTGAAGCAGGACTTGCTGGACATTCATCCTCGGGCAATGCCCTTGGCCTTCCTGGTAACTTTCGCCTGGACATCTTGGTGGGCAACAGACTGGTCCCGTGCTCCTTGTGCTTGTGCTTTACCAGCGCCATCACGTATATGTAGGACTTATCGCACAGGTCACACTTGTAATAGTTATCATCGAATCTTTGGTGAGAGAACAGGTGATATAAAAGAATACCTCAACTCATATAATCTAAAGAATAGCTCACTCTTCTCCGCTCTTGCAGGGAAGACCATGATCCCGCTGCTTGTGTCGATACAGATTGGTGACATATCTGAAGGCCTTGTTGCACAGTTCGCAAACGTTGGGCTTGGGCGGCTCAGAGGGGCAGCTACTGATCTTTCGTTGACGCAAGGGCACATCATCCTGGTCGTCATCTGAGTCGCTAAAATGGTGCACAATGCTTCGCTTGACGATGCGCGAGCGCACTAGAGGATCAGCCTTGGTCGCCAGATGCGTGGGAGCCAGCTCCTCTGTCTTGATGGTCACGCCCTCTATTTCGAACAGGTGGATGGGTGTCTCGCGCAGGCACTCCAAGGTCTCCATGGGTTCCTCCATGCCATCGTGCTCCTTTCCGTCCACAGAGCTCTCCAGTTTTTGCAGCCAGAGTTCGTGGGTCTGGCGCGCCTGCAGCACAAAATCGTAAGTGGTCTCCAGTTTCTCGGCACAGCCCAGGCACAGCCACTGCGGAAATTTCTCAGCCTGCACCATGGCCACCTTTGAATAGCATTTAAATTACATTAATATATGAATGCGGGTGGCAATTGATTGACAAAAGGACAATTGATCCACCTCGATGCGAGTTAATTCGAGCAGCAGCTGGCCGAAGGTCTTCTCCGCGTATTTCTCCACTGGCGTTTCAATCCAGTAGCGTCCGTCGTCGCCGCCACATATCCTACATGTCCGAGTCATGTTAAAACATTTATTTCGTTTAAAGTTTAAACTTCTGTGGGAAATCCAATAGCGAAAAGTGTCTGATAAAAACTGCCAACTAAACAGCTGATTTGCGCAGTGTTGGAAAATGCAGGACTTCAGTTGTAAACAGCTGGGTGCTTAAAACGGTCACACCACAAAAAAGGGCTCTTGTTGCATTTTCCTCGATCTCTTGAAGTTGTTCATTGCATTAGCAAGTTTTTCATGAATTTCCTCTAAAAAGAATGAGTGAATTGTGGGCAAAATGCTGCCAACCGATATTTGCCGTACTTGTGCCCAGCAAAACAGCAATTTACTGCCCTTATCCACTTGCCTGGCCAGAGACGCCACCAAAAGTCTCTACGCTGTGCTCCAGGAACTCACGCAAATTGATGTAAGTTGTTATTTAGTTATTATTATAAATTAGAAACAAAGAAAACTTGAAATGCCTTTTCTACAGCCCCAGCGAGACAGCTCGGATGACAATCTACCGCAGCATCTGTGCACAGATTGCTGGACAAGATTAGAGGACGCATACGCCTTTGTGAAGCAGGTCCGAAAAGTCAATGGAGAACTCACAGCTCGATTGAGGGAATGCCTGGATGAGATGCCTATAGATATTCCCCAGGAGCAGAGCATAAAAACCGAAGTTGACCTTGACGATGGGGGCAATAAGTCCGAGGTGGATGTGGACGCCACTGGGATGGAGACTTTGGAGCTTAAATGGCGGCCGGAAAGTGCCAGCGATGATGACTATGCTGATGCAGCAGAAAGCGATGGGTGGGTGGCCTTCAATTTTTAATGGACACTTAACTAATTAAAAAAGTTATAGGAACAAAGGTGATCAGAAGCCCTATCATCTGCGACGAAGCTCTCGAAAAGTTAAGCTGCCAGTGGAAAGCGAAAATGAGGAGTAAGAAACATTTCGTTTTTGATAAGATAAGCTAACTGCTAATGAAAACTCTCTTTTGCACAAAGGAGTCAGTCATTGTAAAAGTATCTTTAAAATAGTGTAAAAATTACTCTTCTTGGCCTTGTGTATCCGAAAAATTAACTCCTCCTTAAACTGTAAGAGATTACTTTTTGTTTCAAAATCAAAAAGTTCATATCCAAACTAAATCAATTTTATTCTTTTCCTACATATATAAGACTAGACTGTTTTAAATATTTCTTATTGTTCCAATAGCATATGTAACTAAATCCCCTTTCCTTCTCAGTGTTAAACCAACTGAACCATCGCCCATCAAACGCCGTCGAGGACGTCCGCCTGGTTCTGCCAAAAGCCAGTCGATGACCACTGATGGTCGCCACGCCTGCGAGGTGTGCGGTAAGACCTTTTCATGGTACCGCGACATGCAGCGCCATGCCAGAATGCACTTCGAGCAGGCCTCCTTCGTCTGTGACACCTGTGGCAAGGGATTCCTGCGCAAGGACAAGTACACGTTCCACCTGCGCTGCCACAAGAAACGAGAGGCCAAATGGAAGGCTCTTCAGCTGGGAAACGAATGGCGCTTTGCCGAGCGCCTCTACAGCTCCGGCAGACTGAAACGAGTCGAATGCAAGCTATGCGGGCTGAAGTGCACGCACATAGAAGAGCTCAGAAGTCACCTGAAAAGCCACGTGGACTTGGAGACTTTAGTCAGTTTAAGAAAGGATAGTGATGTGGTTAGGGAACATTTCCCCGGGTTGCCCTGTGACTTGGATATTATCAAGCAGCAGATCAGCGCTGATATTGCCGAAGGGCAAGCGGAGAAGTTTGCCTGTGTTGTTAATTTCCACGGCTATGAGCTGGGACTCAGCGATTCGGATGATGAGAGTGCCAGCCTGGATTCTAAATACAATTGCTCTGTGTGCAATTTGCCGTTCAACCGCAAACACCGCCTGGTGAAGCACACTTTGGAGGAGCATTCCCAGACCTCCACAACGCTTCCCTGGCAACGCTGCAGCTTCTGTAAAATTGGTTTCCTCTGCTCAACACTCTACAATCAGCATTTGAGCAGCCATTGCCACAGCAAAATAAAACGATATCGTTGCCGCAAGTGTCCCGGCAAGTTTATGTGGCCGGAAAACCTACAGAGACACGCCTGCTCCCATCGCCGTGAAGGAACTATGCCCAGGCACATATCCTGCTCCTTGTGTGATGCTCCGCTGGCCAGTTTGGCGCGACTTCGTATTCACTTAACCATACACCAACTTGATTTGAATGGCATCAGCCCGGAGTATAATTCCTCCTTCTTTCGCTCATTTTACCCCAATGGATTAGACTGCTCTGCCGCTGATTTGGCTGCCCGCATAGCTGAAGATTTCGAAGTGCAGGATTTCGATCGCTATTACAATGCCTGCACGGAAAGTGGACAGGAGCTGGATCTCTTTGATTCTGAATCGGAACAGAGTGATGAGGAGACCAGCAAACTCTCTCATACCTGTCTGCTGTGTGGAGAAACTTCGAGTACCCTGACGATCCTAATGCAGCATCAAAAGAGAGTTCATTCTAGTGGGTCCATTGATCTGCCCTGCACCTGCGAAAAGTGTGGTTCTGGTTTCGTAAGCAAGGCTCTGCTTCAACAACACCGCAGGCGCAGCTGCGGCCAGAAACACTCCCGGTTCTACTGCCAGGCTTGCAATCTTCGATTCGTTTGGCAGGCCAACTATGAGCAGCATCTGAGGACACACCATGACACCGTAACGAAATATGATGAAGAGACAATGGCTGCCAAACAGGTTTATTGCGCCACCAAGCTGCAGTGCGACGAGTGTGATAAGGTAAGCGTTCTCTCTACCAACCATTATACATATCTATTAAGTCTTACCATTTTAAATTACCTTTTAGGTATTTATCTGGCACAAAGACCTCACGCGTCACAAGCGATTGCATCAGCCCCAATCGGCAGCCCAGTTCGACTGTCCCCATTGTCATCGCAAGTTCCACCGCAAGGATGGCCTCAAGTCCCACCTAAAAGTGCATCCGGGAGCACCGGAGAATCTCAAGGAAGAGCCTGCCACGGCCCACGTTGTACCAGGCCACGGAATGGCTCTGTCGCGGCTCAGTCGACCTCATGGTTGCAAGCTGATCCAGTGCATGATCTGCCTCTCGCGCCACTCAAAGATTAGTGATCTTCGGACCCACCTAAGATCGCATCAATACGGATTAAGCTTGTCCGCTGAGAGAGATACTGCCAGTGCCTCAAGATCCTTTTACCCGGAACTAGAAACTGTCTTAGAACGAGATAAGTTGGCCGGGAAAATTATGGCCGATGTGGAAAGCGAACTAGAGTTGGATCGTTTTGTTTCCATAACCAACGAGGCTGGCCTCGAACTGAATCTCGACAGCAGTGAAACTGATTCCGAATCCGAGCAGGAGCAGGATATATCAGAAAAATGCTATGCCTGCAATCTCTGTTCCACGGTTGTAAGAAGAAAATATCAGTTGTTTGCGCACCAATTGGAGCAGCATGAGTTGGAGGAGACATGTCTCGTTTGCTCCCATTGCCAGGTTAGGTTCGTCAACGAATCCCTGCTGGATCATCACTCCCGGACACTGTGCTACAATCCCCAGAAGGTTTTCCAGTGCCGCAAGTGTCCGCTTCGCTTTCGGTGGCGGGAGAATCTAAAGCTTCACACGAGTTTGTGCCATCAGCAAGGCGAAATCCCAATACCCGGCGAATCCTCTCAAGCAGTCGGTGCGGACCTACGGTGCGGGGAGTGCCATCGCAGCTTCAAAATGCAAAAGGATCTCACGCGACACACACTGATGCACGCCCAGGAGTCGAACATCTTCAGGTGTCGTTGGTGTGCACGTCGCTTCTATCGCTGGGCCAATCTTCTGCAGCACATTGCGCGACATGGCATAAGTGTCGACCAATTGCCCTATGCGGAGGCCATTTTAGATTCCTATGGCAATCCTGGAGGTCACAAAAAGGTAGAGTGCCGCGTGTGCAGCTTGAGCTTTCCCACAATCGCTGCCTTGCGTCTGCACCTCGAAACGATGCCCGCTGGAAGTCACCACGAGCTGTCCTCACTCCAAAACTACTCGATTACCAACCAGATGGGCTTCGAGATGGATCTGGATGACTCGGAGACTGATGAAGAGGACGGCAGGACACATTCGAAACCACCTGGCGCCCCTGATTTCTACACCTGCGGCATGTGTCAACTGCGATGTTCGCGCAAATTCGAGCTGCATCAACACCAGCAGGCCATGCACCGAATGGAAAAGATTCCCGACGGCTGTGATAGGTGCCTCTTCAAGAGCGTCTGCCCGGAAATAATTGTGCATCATAGGAAGACACAGTGCGAGAACCGGGAAAAGCAGTTCACCTGCACTCGCTGTGGTTACAAGTTCATGTGGGAGTCCAACCTGCTGCAGCACATGCAGTTGCAGCACGAAAAGCAAGAGGATCAGGAGCTGGATGAGTCCAAGGAGGCGTCTGGGGACGAGCCAAAGGCCGAAGTGGGTCAGGTGTTTCAGTGTGGTCTTTGTCCAAGAAAGTACAACCGCAAGGATCGACTCACGGCTCACTCAAAGAAGTTCCATGGGCCCGATGGCAAGGGGTCCAATCCAGTGAAGGTCTCCAATAGAGCCACATCTCCCAAGGAACCAAAGCGCTTCCTGTGCGCCTTCTGCGGCAAGGCGGTCAGTTCCTCCTCCAACCTGATTATCCACATGCGTCGGCATACAGGCGAGAAGCCCTTCAAGTGCGAGTACTGCACCATGGCCTTTCCCCGATCCTCCGATCTCCAGTGCCACCGCAGGACGCACACCGGCGAACGACCCCACGTGTGCACCGTGTGCCAGAAGGGATTCGCCCGATCCTACAAATTGCAGCAGCATATGCGCATCCACAGCGGCGAGCGGCCTTACAAGTGCACATACTGCGAGAAGAGCTTCACGCAGTCCAACGATCTGACCCTCCACATCCGGCGGCACACTGGCGAGCGGCCCTATCAGTGCGGCGTCTGTGGTGAGCGATTCATTCAGGGAACGGCCCTCAAGAACCATCGAATGCAGCAAAGTCACTACGAGGAGGGGCAGGAATCAGGGGATCCCCCGAGACGTACGGTTCTGGAACAGTTTACTATATAGGAATGAGGAAGATCCGTGTTCAATATAGTTATATTTAGGGTTTTGAAAGTATGTAAAAGTTCAAGATATTGATGGTTAAACGGAAATTTAACATTTTTGGCATGCCTAAGCTTCTGCTTGGTTAGCTTTAAAATACTAAAAGGCTTTTGGACTATTAAAACATAAGGCTCCTCATTTGGTTTCTTAAGGAATCCTTTAAAATACTTAAAAAACCGAATGGCGTCCTCTTTAATATGATCTTTCTACGAGTTTAACGGGGTATGGCATTCGTATTCCGTGCTATGATAACATTATCATTCCGTATTGCCAAAACAAAGTGACACTTCTGCATTGCATTTGGCATTTTAGGTTTTTATTGCGTGCATTTAGGCGAGGCTGGTCGCTCTAATTGCGCAGCTGCCTGCAGAACTTTTTTTTCGCCTGGTGATTGAGCTCGAGAAATCTTTCAAATTGGCACAAATCGAGCGTTTCGAAGCAGGTTTCCGATTTTGACACCAGGCCAACAGAAATCCCAGTAGGTGGCTACTGGGCTCTAAGAACCAATTTCGCGGAGCCCTCCCATTGGTCGACCAATAGGAACACACCATCCCGATTGCTAAAAACAACCGTTACTTTCGTTCCAGAACACAGAGGCGTAGTCACCGCGAGAAGGAGTTTGTGGGGCTATACGTCCCCAATTAGCGATTTTAATCTCCATTGACCAAATTCGGACTACGCCTCTGCTAATCGCAGAAAACTGAGATTTGGACACCTACTATGATTTATGTTCGCCTGGTGTTTCAAACCGAGAAATCTTTCAAATTGACTGACAAAATCGACACAAATTGAACGTTTCGAAGCAGGTTTTTCGATTTTGACACCAGGCCAACAGAAATCCCAGAAGGTGGCTACTGGGCTCTAAGAACCAATTTCGCGGAGCCCTCCCATTGGTCGACCAATAGGAACACACCTTCCCGATTGCTTAAGACAACCGTTACTTTCGTTCCAGCACACAGAGGCGTAGTCAGCGCGAGCAGGGATTTGTGGGGTTAAACGTCCCCAATTAACGATTTAATCCCCCTTGAAAAAATTTTGACTACGCCTCTGCTAAACGCAGAAAACTGATATTTGGACACCTACTATGGTTTATGTTCGCCTGGTGTTTCAAACCGGGAAATCTAAAATTTTGCTTGTCCAAAACCCAATTTTTCCCAACCAAACGCGACAATTTCTGATTTTGAAGTACCAGGCAAACAGAAAGCTTAGCAAGTTCCCAGAATTTTAAGCAAGTGTTGATGGCTGCAACGAAGCCACTCCCCTGGAAGACATCCGTTAGTTTGCAACTAAGCTCAAGCTAGAGATGGGCAAACAGCTTGTTCCTATGTTCGTGTCACGAATTTGGCCCGCCATACTCGAAACCCCGTTATTTTGTATGGGCCGTGTTGAATGATGTAGGCACGCGCACATCTCTAAGTAAACGTTGCTTAGACTGATCAGCTGATCCTTATCCAACTGCTAAGCGATTCTGGTCTTCTGGTGTATCCAAAAATTGTTTTTCTGGAGAGAAAACAATAATTGTTGTTTTACGCGCTGATCCAGTAAAGAAAATTGGTACAATTTTGGTTCACTAAAAGAAAACTAGAAGCACGGCAGGTTCCACCCTTTTTTTCAGGGGCTGTTTTATTCTGTGATAGTGCCACCTGCCACATCCATACTCGATACTTATCGCCATGCGTTGCCTTGACGACCGATCCAAGTGGCCTTTGGTGTCTCCGTTCAGAGTGAACAGCCACATTATACTACGGACAATCAGAGGTAAATACAGGAAAGGTTGACCTGCTTTGATAAAGTAAATCAGATGAACCAGCTCGCTCACGCCCACGTTTAGATTTAGATTTAAAACTCGAAAATTGTTTAGTTTCGCCGACATCCAATCCCCGAACACAAAAATGGTAAAGCGATTCAAGGCGTCTAGTTCGCTGGGGGCCAGCGATGGTGGAAGCGTCAAAAGTGGCAACTGCAAGGACTCGGACCAGGTCTATTGTGTGCTCCTCCATGTGGTCGAGGGTATGTTGACATTTGAAAATTAATAAATAAATTAAATAAATAAATAAATATGTATTCCCTGTCCAGCGATCAACTTCGTGAGCCGCGATGGCAGCGAGCGGGAGCAGATTGTGATGAACGCCGCCCTTAACACGGTGGACTTTGAGGTCGAGGGCACCCAGTCGGCCGAAACCATCATCTTCAACAGCAACTGCATTTGGGAGTGCGACCTGGCCGGGATCAAGCGCATCAAGACGGACCACCGACCCGTCAAGATAACCTTCTCTGCGTGCCGTGTCGGTGGGGCTGAGCGCAAGACCATTGGCAGCCTGCTTCTTCCGGTGCGAGGACTTCCGGTCCTAGCCACCACGGGCAGCCACAACGGTGCCAATCTGAAAATGTTCTGGCACAAGCTCATCTGCATCAGCAGCGAGTTCCGCTCCCACAAGCCGGAGGTCCTGCTCATGCTGGCCATCATCAAGAAGTCCATCCTGCATACCAAGGACTTCGATCACCTCATGCAGTTCACCGAAGTAAGTAGTTTAGGCTATAAACAAAAGTAAAAGACAAAAATGATCTTAAGTAAATTATTCTTAGTTTATAAAGAGTATAGAGATTATAAAGATTTTTCAAATGCATTTTGCGATACATTTTTCGATTTTTTCCATGTCGAATTTTTGAAAAATAAAAATTGTAATTCTAATAATTGAAAAACATTACTATAATTTGAAGTACATTCGTATATTTATATCACATTTTTATAAATCTATTTTGGCCATTATGTTAATAGAAACTATATGAATTATATGCTATATTTTTTCTAAATATTCATTTTGATATTTATATTATCCAACAGCAAAAAACGCCACCCACGCCGCCACTGCAGTCTCCCGGACACTCGATAACTGCTAGCATGCTCCAGTCGCAGGTGAGTTGCAGGTCTACCAATTTTGGCTGCCCAGGAATATTGATTCCGTAATGATTTCTGGCAGGCCAACGTCTACGTGCAGTCGTTGGTGCAACTGGGCCTGCTGCAGGTGGGCAATGATCCGCTGATAGACTGCGACATAATCGAGGTAGTGCTGCAACTTAAACAGCTGAAGAACGTGAACCGGCTGGTCAAGTCACTCGACGAGGGCAAGGGAACCGGCTCCGTGATCCTGGTGTTCGACTTCGTGGGCAATGTGACCAACATTGAGCTGAAGCTAAACGAGTCCGACTCCTACATTCTTAACGACGTCCTTGGGCTGCGTTTTAAGACATCATTGCGCAGCATGCGACTCTATTTCCAACGCATCTTCTATCTGCCCATCAACATGTACATGAATGGCTCGGCAATAGGTGAGCAAAAGAGCATTTGTTTAACTAACTCATAAACAGTTGCGGTCAAAACAACAGTAGTAGGACAATGTAAATTGCTCTAAAATAAACCTTAAAATTCACTTTTCTATATACTGTAGTAACAGATTTTATAACAATTTAAAAAAAAAAAACCATACGGCTTCATTCATCTGCATTTTGTATTTCGATAAAAAGGTTATTGATATCTGATCAATTTGTTATAGAAAATATTTTAAAATCTACCAATCTATTTTATAAATATTTTAAAATATACCTTTGTTATATTTCCGCCATTTAATTTATAGTATTAGCTTCTCGAAAATATAAAAAAGTAGTTTAAAAATTGATATCAAATTATTTTTCATAGCTTTTTCCATAAGTTAAATTGACGGCATCTGTATAAGTATGGATTATTTGTATTATTTTACAGCCACATACCGCATGGACTTTGGCAATCTGCTGCCTCCGGACAACTACTTCTCGGACAAACGAAAATACACCCACAACGGCTCATTTTCCTTTAATCGACTTGCAAAAAGGGACAGCGCTAGAGAACCCAAGCCGCCTCTGATGGAGTACTCCTTCAGTGTGGACGTAAAGACACTGTTATCGAGGCAGGGACAGGAGGAGCCTGAATCTACATCTTCGGTGGCGAGCGGAGTCATCAGGGAGTTGCCAAAGGATCGCAAGGACCCTGAGGTCATGTCACTAATCAACGATACTGCCTCTGTGGCCAGTCTGAATGTGGGTGCCGAGCTGTCAGTCTCGGAAGGATCCTGTCGCTCCACTTCACCCAAAGAAGATGGGCTCGATTCCGATGCTTCAGTGGATCATCGAAAGCCCGAAAATAGGCGAAAGAAATTTACACGATTTCAGGGTGAGCAAGACAGTGGGAAAAGCGAGGATGAGCAGTGCCTGGGAAAGACGTTTTCCGCTTTAGTGGTTCGTGAGGATCTCAATTTTAGTAAGGCGGAAAAAGCAATAGTTCGAAAGTCTAAAAATACGGAAATCCTGCCAGGTGATGATTTTGAAACTGCTTTCTGCGATGACAAAAAGTTAACTAATGTAGTGGAAGAGGAAACAAAATCTCAAAGTAAGAACAACATTGAATCTACAAACAAAGAATCTTCTAGCTCTCCAAAAAAACTGAAGATTAAGTCGCAGAAATCAAATGAGTTTCTCAGAGAATCTTCTAAATTAAAAATGAAGACTCCTAAGAGCAAGATTTCAACTTCCGAGGAAAATGATTTCGATAACTTTGGAGAGTTGACTTCCCTAGAACTGTTCGAGTTCGAGGAAAAAAGACAAGCAAAAGAAGCTGAACTACAGTCTTTGAGAATGCAAAGGATCAAAGAATCTTCACCAATGCCAATGGAAAGCAAAGTTCGAAAAACCAAAACTAAAGACACTGAAGTATTAAAAAATGGAAGCAACCTCAGTATTATTGATAAAGCTACAGCAGAATCTCCCAAACAGTCGGCACCCAAACAAAAAGTGTGCAATCAATACGTAAAAAAGTTGCCAAAAACACAACTCAATGAAGTCTGTTTAACCCATGAAAGTCCATCTAAGTTAAAAAGCCAAATGGTTTATGAAAAACAAACAGAAAGTAAAGTATTTTCAGAGAATAGCTATGAACAGAGTGATGAGGAAAAACTAAGTAAGAAACCAAAGTCCCAAAATTTAAAAACCAAATCGAGTTTTAATGATGTTCAAAGTATAGGCAAAACCAAATCACAATTTTTAGCTTCCCAAGAACTGGAAGACTTTGAAGAAATATCCACAAGCACCCAGGAAACGAGAAGTTTCAAAACATCTAAGAGTGATTTGGGTCTTCGGGCACGTTGGGTGGAGGTTAATAAAAAACAGACACAAGTTTTGGATGAAACCGAGAAGTTTCTGCAGGAAACTTGCCGTGCCGAACTCGACGAGGTCCTCTACGAGGATCAGTTGGCGTTCGGTCTGGCAAAGCCTCTTAAGCTCAAAAAGAAGGTTGGAAAATCCATGGAAGAAAATGTAAAAAGCATCAATTATGAAAACTCATATTTGGAGGAAATCGCCATCTGTCAGTCTCAAGGGGATCTGGTGAAAAAAAAGAAGAGGACTATACCCATACACCAGATGGAAATCGAAAGCTCCGAGGAATACATCTCATTGTCGGAAGGCATTTTGAGATCTGCTGAAATGATATATTCAGAAACAGAACATCGGGATGTTCGAGTCACTTTTGCTAAATCCAAAGGAGGTCGTGTTAAGAAAAAGATGAGGGCAGACGAAGACGATGTAAATCAGGATAATACTTCTCTATCGGAGGAAAACTTACAATCCACCGAGAAGATCTCTGCAGAATTTGAGCAGCGGGATGCTCAAATAAAATCCAAGAAGAGGGAATTTACTAGCTCCCAAGAATTTATCTCGGAGTCAAATTTGAAATCCAGTGAGCTCACTAATCAAACTGCTCAACCGCAGGATGTAAGAGTCCTCAAAAAAAAGAAATTAAAAAAGATTTTAGTCAAAGAAGATTCTCAGATCCAAGATATTGAATCTCAGAAAGAAGAAGCAGTTAGGCCAGTCAAAAAGAAGGTGCTTCGAAAAAAGTCATCAGTAATTTCAGACAACGTAGAGCACACCAAGAACGAACATCCACCGGAAGAAATACCAGATGTCAAAACAAAGAAAATAATTAGGAAAAAAACAAAACCCCTGGTTGACAATCCATTGGTTGAAGAAATTACAAAAAACCAGAAAGAAGCATTTCAAAATTCCCAAAAGAAGACCACTTCCCGAAAGCAATTTAAAGATTTAAGCACCTCCGAAGAATGTTATGAATTCGAACAGCCTACAAATATGTCCGATACTGTAGGACAAAAAATCAAGAGCTGGCGAAGGCAACAAATCGAAATCTTCGAGCAGGAACTGGCACTCAAGGAGTTGCATTATAAAAATCAGTTAGAGGAGATGGAAAACCAAGAGGCGAGAATACATATACTCAGCAAGGAGGAACCACATCTAGATGAGACTTTTATCAGTAAAAAAACAAACGTGTCGTGCGTTGACTATGAGGCGAAATTCCAAGAGCTAGAAGAACACATAGCTCTTTTAAAATCTGAAATGGAGGATCAAGTAAGGATTTTCGAGGATCGAAGTGTGGAGCTCCGGCAGGAAAACCTTCAGTTGTGCACCGAGAAAACCGCACTTAAGATTCGCATCGCGGCTATGGAACAGCAGATTGAGGATTTAAAGGATCAGGGCTCCGGCGGGGGAGATCTGAAGCAGGTTCTCGGGGAGCTGAGGTCCCAGAATCGACGATATAATATGCTTGCCTGCGAAAAGGAACGCTACAAAAAGCGCTGGCGAAGATCCGCCAGGAGGGTTCATGCCCTCAAGTTGGCCATGTACGAAAGAAATATGGAGCGGGAGCATTGCATTAAAGTCGAGTAGGTTTTTGTCTATAATTTATATATTTTTATTTAATAAGTAAGTGATTTTTGCAGACCCATTGACCTTAGACAGATCCTGACCCAGGATGCCATGGAGTTCGAGCGAGAGTATGGACAGTTTCGTCAGAATGGCCAATCTTCGAGGTATTCACTGGGATCGATGTCAGGATCGGGTGACTTTTCAATTCCAAACAAAAAGTGTATACCAGCTAACAACAACATTTGAGAGAAAATGTTTCCCTAGATTTTACCAAATTTACTGTGTCAATGTTGTATTTAGTATTTTACCTTACGTTTTTTTGAACTTTTTTTGTAGAAAAATAGAAATGTTAAAAAGCCAAAATTTCTTTCTGCTCAACTCCAATTGGAACCCCAATTTACCAAATCTACTGGGTCAATTTTCTTCTATAAAGTTTTGTTCGCTTTTTTTTTGGAGAAAAATATTTAAATGTTAGAGAGCCAAAATTGCTTTACTCCAGCTGGAATCCCACACGCACAAAGTAGGGCAGTGTGTTCAAGGGAGCGGCGTAGTCCATCACCCAGGTGGGTCCACTGTACGTCTGGTCGCTATTGCCATCCTTCCACTCGCCCTCCGGCAGGTAAATGTCCCGCTTGGTGGCTCCCTCAACCACAATGGGAGCAGCGATAATGTCGTCGCCCAGTAGGAATTCTGAAATATAAGATAACATTAGTTGGAACTAAATTTTACCACACTTATAAATAAAATGGAAAAGTTAAAATCAATATTAAATTAAATATAATTCACACTTAAAAACATGATTTAAAATGGTGTTCTATATCTTCTAAACTTATAGATAAAAATCAAATCGCAATAATTTATTTTTTTTGACAGTGCAGATTTAACTACATATTAGATAACCACTCACCATCGTAGATGGACTGCGCCACCTCATCGGTGGGGGCGATCCACCAGAGTGGGGCATTCACAGGCTCTCCCGAATCCACGGCTCGCTTGAAGAGCTTCATGATGTAGGGCGTGTACTTAGCATGGAGGGCGGTGAAGCTCTTGCTGATCTCAATGGCCTCGGCGTCAAAGTTCCAGGGCACAAAGGAGAACTGCAGGGCGGGCATGAAGACATTGGCCTGCAACCAGCGCAGGAAAAGCTCCTTAGTTGGTGGCTTCTCGTAGTAGCCATTACCGCCAATCATATCAGGCAGCACGAAGGGATAACCATTGAGGTTCATTTGCAGCATCGAAGAGATCAGCGTGAGCAGGCCATTGTTCCAGCCCCACTCCGAATCCTTGTCCACGATGCGCACAAAGATAGGCTGATCCTGGGTATTCTGGGCCGAACGCACCTCGACCATATCTCCAAAAGCAGCCACAGTTCGCACATAGTCGCCCACCGCCTGGAGCGGAGTCACCATGGAACTGCTGGCTTGCAGCACCGGGTCACTGGGCAGCCAACTGGTCTCTCCGGCATCAAACTTGAAGCTATCGATGCCATCCTCATCCTGCAGTCGCTTCAAACGCTTGCTGAACCAGGCCTGAACCTCCGGCTTGGTGAAATCCAGAATGGCCGCATCCTTGGGCTTGCTGTTCCACCACTGGGTATCGGAACTTCCCTCGTGATCCAGCACCAAGTAGCCCAGGGACTTGGCCTCCTCGTAAATAGCCGTGCAGTTGTTGTTGATGAATGGATGAATCCACAGGGTCACACGGAAACCCAAAGCCTTGAGGTCATCCGTCAAGGTTTTGCTATCGGGGAACTTGTTCTTCCTGAATGTCATGGCCCCATAGCAATCCTCCCAATCATCATCGATTTCCAGCTGGCTGTTGTTGAAGCCATTGTCCAGGATCTGCTTGGCAAAGTCACGGACCACATCATCGGAAACCTCCGCTTTGTAGAGGGCCCAAGTGGACCAAACGGGATGCATGACCATTCGCTCATCGGGATGGCCGGTGGGTTGTCCATGGAAAGTCTTCACGGCATATTTGTGAGCTGCCTTGGCATCCTTGGCCACAGCAATGTGGTACACAAATTTGGCAGACGTGACCCGGGGATCATAGGGCAGTGCACTGGTGGCACTCAGACACAACTGATCCGGATAGTCCGCCGTATTTTGATCAATAAACAGCGGCGTATTGCTTTCCACATAAAGGAAAACGCCATCGCCGTTCAGCCAATAGCGTTCACCCACTCCAAAGTTGTCCAGCTCCTTGGGCAAATAGGAGTAGTTGCTGTGCCTTTGCCGCTCCACAGGCCAATAGTGCTGCTTTTGCTCCGGACCACTGAACCAGTGAGTGGAGCCGGTTTTGAGGGGGAAACAATCCCTGGGCTGGCTTCCCTGCAGCACCTGATCTCGGGACACTTTCACATGGGTGATCTCACTGCCTGTGCCGGAAACAACGGCGTTTTTAACCAGTGTGAACTCTATTGTGTTGGTGCCATCGGTTAAAGTGTAGCCACCACTGCTGGTTTCCACCAAATTGGCACTGCTCTCAAAGTTGTCGAAGGTCACTGTTTGCAGGCTCTTCTCGCCCTTCATCAGCTCAAACTGCAACTTATCACCGCGCCTCAATCGCACATAGATATTGCTGTTTGGGAACTTGTAACGCTGCTCAATGCTGGCGCAAGTGTATACTGCCTCCCAGAGGCAGCAAAATGCCAACAGCAGGCTAGGTACTACTGCAATAAACATCATTTTCGTCCGCTGCACAAAAATCAACTGCCGGGCAGCTGGCAAGCGATGGTACTATATAGCTGCGATAAGGAAATCAAGGAAATTCTAAAGAGCTATGGTCACTACATATTATACAAATAAAGCTCTTGAGAGTTGACAAAACACATTGCTCACCTGGGGGTGCACTAGCCAGCAACGTGACGTGATAACCCCGATGATAAGCCATGATTGTCAGGCACCAACCTGGCTTTCTACATTTCCCATTAGCTAATTGATTGCTGTTAGCGCTGAGATTGCGGCTCACCTACATCGACAGTGCGGAATCTCAACAGGGGTTCTCTGAAAGTCAAGGACGACTGCGGCTTCAAAGTAATCTTAAAGTTCCAAATATCTATTTTCAACAGCTTATCTTTACATAAACATTTTGCTTTGATTTCCTCAAGTGCAACGATTACTTGTGCCTTTCTCAACAAGTTGTAAACATTTTGTTGAGTAATATAATCGTTATCATTTTTGGTGACTCATACTTTTTAGTTTTTTCAAAGAGAATATTTAAATTATTATAAAAGTTTTATTAAGGCATAAATATTCATATATTAAGTTTTGATATACTCTTTTTTTTTTGATTTCTTAATACTTTTAAACTATTTTGGCTTTAATAAACAAGGAATTTTAATGCCGTCGAATGTAAAATATGTGATTGTCCTTGGCTGAGGATTTATACACTGATAAAAAATGGAATAGTAAGAAAAATATCTGCTTATTAGATTTAATATTTTAATATTTAATTAAATATCAAACCATTATCTTAGATTCAATGCAAATTAAATTGGAAAATATAAGATTTAAAATGTTGGTCAAGTTAAACATTCAGATATTAAAATCAATTCCGAAAATAGTCAAATGAATAATTTTAAATGTTTTCTTATATAAAATAACAAGAAATCGGGATGAATATGAGTACAATATATTTGAATTTACTATGTTTTTTTTCTTACCAGTGTATATAATATTTCTGGTGGTTATGATGAGGGGGTGGTGGCTAAATGCATGACGTGTAACTAATAACTTAATTCGATTATCTAAGAATCAAATGGCTTTTCGCTGGGCGCTTCATCGCGATATTCGATGACATCCTTTTTCTTTCCTAGGAAATGGGCCCTAAACAATTCGTCCTCATTATCGGAGTTACTTTCGTCGCCGGCCATCAGAGATACTCGGGAGTAGATTTCATTGGATCTCGCAGTTGCCCTACGATGATACACTATGCCGCCGGCAATTACGACGCCCATCAGACTGAAAATCACTGCAACCAGAAGTATAACAGAGGTGCCAGTCATATTTGACTGTGTATTTCGATCAGCCATTTCTGAAATGTCCACCACAGTGGCCATTCCCGTGCTGCGCACCACATAGGCATAGCAGAAGGTATCGTTCAGGATCTTTCGCAGTTGACTGCCCGGCGAACAGGTGCTGCACTGGGAGGCCAGAGGTCCATGGCAGGCCAAACAACTCCTATCGCAATTGGCACAGATCCGAGAAGGTGTCTGCACCAGTTGGGTGAGTGGGGTGCCAGTCGTTATACTCCTCCTCCTCCGACGATCCTCCGCCTGCAGAGGATCCTGATTGTCGTCTAAACTGTTGGATATTGACGCTGGATGATCGGTGGTGCGAATGCCATAGGGATTAATAGGAACCCTGGCCACATCGTCCTCCAATTCCTCCTCATCCGCTTTTAGTTTATCAAATGGATATGTGTGCAGCGGGCAGACATCAAAGCACAGACCCTCAAACATATATGCGGAATCATTGCACTCTGCGGAGGGTTAGAAAAATATATATTATAATAAATATCTAAAAACAAGATGAGCTAATAAAGTGCTTTACCTCAGCGAAAGTTTTAGAGGAGGCAGAAAGATTAGAAATTAGTTGGTTAGACAATGTAATGAAAAACTTGGCTGAACTTAAAACGAAGCAAAACGAGTTGTTTTTTGCAGGTTAAGCTTACAATAAACATACATAAAAAGAAAAAGGCAACAAAATGGACTAAATATGTTGGTAATAAGTCTGATAATTAAAAATTTAAAAACATTTTAATAAATGCCTATTATATATCATTTATTAAAAATAAAAAATAGTATTTTATTACAGAAAAATATTTGCAACAAAGAATTCAAAGGTGTGTTTAAAGCAAGCTCAACCGGAAAAACATGCTCGATTAAAAAAAAAAAATAAAGCAAAAAATCATAAAAGCCAGTGTGTGATTGGAGATGGCAGCTTAGGTGTGTGTGTGTTCACTGTATCTCCGCCAAAACAAAACCACTAAGCATGAAATGAGAATGTAGGTTTTTATTGTGTTAAAAAGTTAACGTAGCGAAATAAACGAATTAGAAAGTGGTTAATGTCGCACAGCAGTAGTAAGGGATATGAAACTTTCCGTTTAGACCAAAAATAGAAGAACAAAACAATACTTAGGATGGAACCACACTCACCTTGTCTGCAATCTCAAAACCTCAATGGGAATTTGTGAACTCTGAACTGCAGTCTCTCCTCATCCTATAGTTTAAATTTTTGGTGAGCATGTTTCGCTTGCTGCTTTGAATTTTTTGTTGGAAATAAATTGCTTCAACAAGTTTGGTTTTTTTTACGGTTTCAATGCATTTATTTATTACTCATTTAGATATTATATAGATAGATATATACACAAACATACATAAAAAATTGTATTGAGTTTCGAATTGCGGCACTCTCAATTTTCATCATACCTACGAGGTTGTTTAATTTCTGTTTTGTTTTCTTTACATTTAAAAAAGTTTAATTTCATTTCGTTTCCTTTTCATTAATTGCAAGCATTAATTTAGTGTTTTGTTCCAATGTTACTTTACAATTTTGTGGTTTTTTAAAGTTAATATGTTTAATTGCTAATTTCTACCCCATGCCCTAGTACCAGTTTAATTTTTTTCTTTGTCTTTCAAATTTTTCATTTAGTATTAGCTTATATATTAATTTGGCTTTTTCTTTAATTACTTGATCGAGTAATTAAGCTTCAGAGTTAATTTGCTTGTGTATTCTGGTTCTCGTAGATAAATAAGTACCAAAGTTGGGAGTGTGCGCTTAAGAACAACAGAATGCATGGTAACGAAGCAGAATTTTGTTGTGTTCCTAACCAAACTCACTTGGAAATTTGTTCGACATAATTTATCTTGGTACTTGCCAAAGTTTTGGTAAATACTTGTGAGTGTTTAATGTTTATTGACTTGGTTAATATGTGTTTGTTGCTTGTTCGCTGCTAGAGCGTATAGTAGATACTGGGGAAATTGAGGGTTAATTCAACTATTTTCGATTGCGCTTGTCAATGCAGAGAGAGAAATGCTAGTTTTAGTTTGTTTATATCTTATGCGCTGGCTAATATGTGTGTGTGTCTGTTTTTGGGAGTGTGCGTGTTTGCTAAATACAACAACAACAAAAAGATACTCCTTCTTTTGTTCGTTACTTCGCTATAAACTTGTTTATTAAATTAACATTTATATTTGTATTGTTTATTGTGCAGTTACGATATGATTATTCATACAACAAAAATGCATAGACATTGGAAACATCTTTCTAAAGTCAAAAACCAATAAAATACAAATATAAATCACAATAGGAGATGAGTAAATTTCGATAGAATTTTTAGAGTAAACTAATAGTTTGTACCAAGTTTCAAAACAAAAACGATAAAAACTGATATGTTTTAGTTTATCGGTTTGATAAAAAACGAAAACCATTGTTAAGTTTTTATCTGCTCCTTAATAAAGAATTAATAATAATAATTATTGCACTCAATTTGCTTTTTGATTTGTGTTTTATATTATAGATTTAAGTAAGCAACAAATTTGTAACAAAGATATGTTTTGTGTAATTGTGTGTGTTGGCGTTGTGGACAAAGTAAATCGGTAATAATTCTGTGATTTTGTATTTAATGTTCAAGTTGCAACTTTGTTGAAAACTGCAGGAACTTTTGTATAAATTGTTATATATAATTACGATTTAATTGTTTAGTGGTTGGTACCTACTTTCCAATTTATTACGCTATGCTTTACCCCTACACCTTAGACTATTATTATTTACTTGTTCACGTTTATTTTAATGCCTTTATCTTGATTTTTTTTTCATTTGTATTTTGATATAAAAATGTTTTGCTTTGCTTGGCGCCTTAACACTAGAAACATTTCCATTATATACTTAGTTTTGGTTTTTCTATTTCGCATCTGCTTTTCATTTCACACCATATCAACCCCTTAAAATTTACCGCTGTCCAAGATTTAGTTTTAATTATAAGAAACAGTCTTTTACTATGAACTCTAAACTGCAGTGGTTGTTGTGTTTTTGACAAACATTTTTTCGTTTGTCTGCATGGCAATAATCATTTCTTATACAAAATCAATAACCAGAAAGGGGACTCAAACTTAAGGCAAAGAAAAGTGAAAAGCAAAAGCTTGCGTACAGTGCCCTTCAAACTGTGGCGCGACTACTTGGCTGGCTTGGCAATATCTGAAATAATGCATTTAGTTTACATGTACACATATATACATACAGATCGCTACACAGGACAAAATAGTTATATTTTTAAGATCATTAGGAAGTTATTTTAGTTCATAAAATTCAACAAAATGATATTAATTTTGGCAGGTAAAAAGATTGAAATGATTTGAATAATTGATCCCGATAATGAGAAGTCTTAAGGGATCTTTATTTTTTTCCTGTGTGAGTGTGGGAAGCAGGCATTTGGAAAAAACATGGATAAAACATATCAAACTAAGAAGGCTTAAAACAAACACAAACAATTTAAACGAAAACAATCAAAAACAAATCGTACAAATAAATTTCAACTAAACTCTTAAAACTAATGTGTTAAATGTATGTAAAATATATATTTTAGGATAAGTTTGTATATAGCTGTGTATAATTGCATTTCGACTAAATAATACAAAAATTTGCTTTGTGCGTCCCGTTCCTCGACAAAAAAGGAAACTCAATAAAAAACAACCTTTGTTTTTGCCCTGCTACGCCTTTAGAAGCGTAAGTGTGCGTGTGTGTTGCTTGTGTCAGTGTGTAAAACTAGACTTACATTTAAATTTAACTACAAAAATGTTTAGTTTGTATATTTTTTTGGACTTGCAGTGATTCTTCCATCTGTCGCCTACTCTAAAAATTACTTATTTTTGTTACTTTTTAATTTTTCTTCGTTCTGGTTACCATCAAAACTTTTAAATGGAAATTTTTTGTTCACTTTTCATCTTCTTTCGGTTTTTCGTTTTTTACACACAGTTCAATTTTGTTTCTTTTCTGTTGCCAATTTCCTCATTTTTTAGTTAATTGCTAAATTATCTAATACATTTAATTATGTTATTCTTGTTGTTGTTGTCGTTGGCATGTTTAAAGTTTAGGAAGAAGACTTGCATGATCGTAAAAAAGAGTAAGGACAAACCTAAGCACTTGCGATCGCTCCACTTAAGGCACGCGGCGGTGTTGCTGTGATCTCGGGTCATGCCCACATCGCCCACCTGCAAAATAGAAGTATAGTTATGGATTATAAATGGTACAAGATGGAAGAGAGTGGGGGATAGTAATCTAAAAGCACAGAAAATATAATAGCAAATAGTTTCCGTTTAATTTTTTGTTTTTGGCATTCTTAAATATTTTTAGTTTCTATAGTGTTAAGTTTCTATTGTGTATTAAAATAATGAAATTTATTAATTTTATCTAGGCAATAAAATAAGTAAATAAATTATTTTTAGCAAACATTTTGTTAGTTAAATAATAGAATAATACATGAACGTTTCTTTAAAAGGAAAATGTAGACATTTTCAAATGCATAAGAACTAAAAGTTAAAAAATGGAAAATTTTGTAAATTGTATTATGTTTTTGTAAGTTTCCTTAAGTATACAATTGGTATTCCATTTTCAACTATATTTTAAGCATTACTTTTTTGTTAAAACTTAAATTTAAATTTAAGTACATTTTTAACTAAGAGACTTAGAAAAGATATCTGACTAATTCAACTATACTGATGTCGAACTGCTTATTCTTCTCCAAGAATTTATAATGCCAGTTTTCTTTGCGACAGCCTCCTTCGCAGTTGCAGCCGTATTCATCGCAGTTCCTGCGCCTCAAAATATACCCTCAACCTTCTTTCCATCGCCACAAATACAGATGAAGTATAACTCAGGATTTTTGTCGTTTTCTTGGCCACCAACCGCTTGAATGCTATAAAGCAGCTGGGAATGCATATTGCAGCATTTGGAAGAAGCATTATTGACGAGGAAAACGCAGAAAACCTTAAAAATCAAAGGGGAAGCGAGTGCTACTCTCTTGGACAGACGACTATATAAAACTGTTTCCATTTCGCTAGCGAGGTGCTTATTTATACGAGATGCACGATTTACAGATTAGGGTTTTATTAATCAGTAGACTGATAATAGATTGAAAGTATCATTTTTACTATTGACAGTTTAAAACTGGTCTATTAATTTTATTATGCTTGGAAGTGATAGCGATTTTCTGGAGACTATAAGCCACATAAATATTCTTGAAAAGTAATTTTTAAAAACATAAGCTTTTGAATAATTCATTCAAATATTTCGCATACTAAGAAATATCCCTCATATTATAAATTTAAAAAATAAAAATAAAATACTATAATTAAGACAAATGCTTTCATTTCTGCCTAAAGTCCAAGGGTAAAAAACATAACCTTTGAATGACTCACTCAAATTTATTGAGTTTACCTCATATCAAAAATATAATAAATACATATTAAGACAAAGATTCTAATGCTTTTATAGCCTTTCCTGCTTAAAGTCTAAAGGCTTTTTGGTTTCTTTTTTTTAGCAAGTCGTCAGTGGTGGCTGAAAAGTTTTGCCTAGTCTGATTCCAGTAGTTGTAGTTCATTGCATGTTGCCGCTCTGTCTGGCATTTTAAGCACTTATGTATGTGGCTACGTCTGTCCTTATTTATAGCTGCCCCTTTCCAAAAAGTCTGTCCAAAGTCTATCTAAGTTCACATGCAATGACGTCGCGTGTTAGTAACGAAGGAAAAGTGGATGGACTGGAGGAACTTTAGAGGGCCTGCAAAAGTGTTTGTTATGCAAAAAGTTTTTGCAGCCAGCTAGCGAACGGTGAAAAGTAAAAAAAAACTAAGGTCACTGCACTCGCCTTTATTACCGCACATCCTCTTTTTGCTATTTTCCCTGCCAGTGACGGAAAAAGCAACGCTTTTAAAGCACAATAGGTGCCAAAAGGTTAAAATTGCTGCCTGCCCAGGGCAAGAGTGCACTTGAATAAAGCCCAGGCTTCCATGGACTGGCAGCCAAACGTCGGCAAAGTTTAGAAAAATGCTGATTCTGAACACGGAGAAAAATAACAGAACATGGGTGTCCTAGTTTTTAAGAATAGTTTTATCTACCTTTTTTTAATAGCCATTCAATTTCAATGGTATTAAATATCATGGCATAATATAACTGTATATTCTCTTCAATGGACATAAATCCTATGCAAAAAGTAATGTACTTGACCTTATTTTTTTGTGTTTCTGAACACGCAGAAAAACAAACAAAACAAAAATGAACCGCATAAAAAATTTTTTTTTTGTATACTCTTCGAGCCTTTTTTGTGATTCTAAACACCGAGAAAAAAACAAAGCAATGATGTCCTAGTATTTTTTTAATAAAGTAATAATATCATATAGTTTAACCACATTGTTTTTTTTTAAACAAAAGAGCATAAATATTATAGAAGTATTAAACATTATACTCTCTTTAAAAAATGTATTACGGAAGTAATGTTTTTAAAAACCAACTCCTTAAATATTTTCGTTGGTAACATTTTCATGTTTACATGTTTACTAATTAATGCAAGTGATAAGTTTTTCTCTGTGCCCTGATGTCCGCTGCCTTGGCCCACTGCCAAACTTGGTTAAAAACGACTGCCAAAAGCGGAATTAAGATGCTGGCGGATGCTAAAAGAGAGGAGAGTGTGACTCAAACAGGCCCAAAGATAACTGCTGACAGTGTATGCCTAAGTATTTGCAAATTTATGAGCGCTATTGGGCGAGTGCTTTGCATACTTTTGGACCTCTGCCTGTGCATTGGCGCGTGCAGGGGAAATTCGTTCATTAACAACAAAAGGGGCATGCTGGCTAAAAAACAAAAAAAAAAAACAAACTGAAACACGAGAAAAGTAAGCGAACTACCTGCCAAAGGACTAAAGGACTTGCAAGGCTTTACAGTTTTGTAGGTACTGCGAGTGTCCACTGACTGACGGTTTAATCAAGCTAGCCACATGCAAGCACGCAGCGTTATTCCGCGATTCTGATGCGGGTTCTCATCACTATTTATCTCCTCGCTGCCCCATAAAGCATCAACAAGGCACTGCAAGACCAAGAATTAAACAGAACACGAAGGACAACGGGGCGGATGAATACAGTGGAGGCTCACAGAACTGTCTTCAAGGTTTAGGGTCAAGGATGGGAAAAAACTACATGTTGGTCTTCTGTGTGTTTGTCGGCAGAGCTAATATAAAAAAATCGTAATCTTAAAAAAAATTTAAAATAATTTAATTTTAATAGTTTCAATTCCAGTGGATAATAATAAAGGGGGTTTTATTTATGTATAGTTCTTTTTGAAGACTAGGAAGGGATAAAGTTATTATTGCCTAATGTGTATATACATCACTTAAACAAAAAGCGCAAAGATTTAATTTTACATTTTCTTAATTCTTTTTAAAAACGCAAAATTAAATTATAATTTTTTTATGACAAAAATGGTAGCTACAACACTTGAACTAAAAATCTGAAATATTTATCTTTACATGTACATGTTCATAAAAAATAGTTATATTTATGTGAGTACTTTAACTATTTAACATTTTCCAATAAGCGAACATTCACTGTATGCAGCAACTGGATATGAATTGAGGCTACCAAGCTGAGTGACTAATGGCTATTCATACCGGTAAGAGGTTTTCACTCCTCAATTCACTACAGGTAGAAAATGAACGAGGGACTCAACTCACCTGCTGCATATTCCTCCACTGCCCGGTGGAATCGTACTCGATGTCATTGTGGGCCATGTCGTTGCCGTACAAATTGAACTGGTTGGATTGGCCGGGATTGGCCGAGTCCTCGGGCTGAGCGGGCGTTTCGGTGCCGTAGAATATCATGTCCCATTGTGTGATTTGTGCTGCAACGCAGAGCAAAGAAATCAAATGCATTTAGTTATTGCTGACTTTGGCCAAAAGGACTAAAAATAATCCAAATAAAATCGAAACATCTATACAAAATAAACAACAAACGGCAAACGCAAAATGTTATAAAATGTATGATATATTGCAGATTGTACAGGCGGGCAAACAAGTCAAGTGAAGTGCCAATAAATCTGCCATAAGAGCGATATATATTGTACGTACTTTATATATATAGCGCAGATCAAGTGCCGAAAGCTAATCGTAACTTTCATCAGCATCAGCAAAAAAAGATAAAAATGAAAAATTGTTCTGCTGACAACAAACTGAAAAAGCATTTTATAGTTGCACTTTGATGGATGAAAGCAACAAGAAAGTGCCACTCAGTGGTTGTCAAACTTTCATTGACGGCTACGAGGCGAAAAATCATAAAACACAAAGCGAAAAAGGTTTCTGAAATAAAGAGAACTTTGACGGGAATACCAACATGGTTAGGTCACTTAATCAAAACAATACACACAGACGCGACGTTTATTGTAAAGCTCTTTTTGAATAAAATTAATTTGAATAGTAAAATAAAATAAGTTCTCTATTCATGTTGTGCTGATTATATGAACTCAAATTTTAATTAAGAACTAACAATTTCAGATATGATTTAATTTGAATTTATCAGCTTAAAAAAAATTGAGTGTCTCCATTTATTCGATTTATAAAATTTGCAGTGGATTGAGGATGAAATATTTGAATTAACTACTTTTTTTGACCATTGCATATATTAATACAAATAAATTCATTCTGTAGAAAAAAGTGTGAATAAATAATGTAAATCAATGAAAAGTTCTACAAATTATGGTTTTGGACTAAAAACCAAAAGCAAACGATGAAAATCCGAAAATTGAATGGCTACCATTTGGTGCGTTGACCTCCTTTCGCTGGTCTCTTGATTCCTCGTAATCTGGTGTGGCCCGAATCTCCTCCATTTCCACCTCCACCTGGGCGGGAGCCATGACTCCGGCGGCGGCTATCAGGAGTTGCTGTTTCTTCAGGATCTTCTGATCGGGCAGGAAACTACTTCCGCCGGCGGGTAGAATGGGTAAAATGGAAAGGGTACCCGATGGTGGCGGCGGCACCGAAGGGGATTTCTTCGTATTTCCCTGACGACTATTGCCCCCGATGGTGGGTCTAAATAGCTCCACTTCGAATTGCTTGCCCTGCTTGGCAGGCTTATTTTTTCCCCCCTTGGGTGAAGTGTTCTCATAGGGTTCTAGTTCCGGGAAAATAGCCTGTATCTTCTCATAGCGCTCGAAAAGCTTGGGTATGCGGGAGTTCGAGGTGGTACTACTCGTACTACTACTCTCCTTTACTTGCTTGGCTGCTTTGATCGATCCATTTATTGATCCATTGGTTGTGATCTCGCCCACCACTTTCCTACTCTTCTCGTCGTAGGATTTCTCACCAGAGTTTGCCTTGGGTCTTTGTGTCTGCACTCCATTCCTGTCCTGTTTGTTATTCTTTTGCTGTTGCTGGGAAATGCGGTAGTACTTATTTTTACTAGTGGTTGCTTGCATGATGATGGTGCTCTGGGTGGTTTGCTCCTTACGATTGCCACCCGATCCGCCAGATGATTTACCCTTATTACCATTATTAGCCTTGTTGTTTCCCTTGTTATTGGTTTTCTCCTTACTGTTATTGTTGGCCTTTCCATTTGCCTTGCCCAATATCACCCCGTAAGTGGCCGATATCTGTTGGTAGCCCTGTTTGGCAGGTGATGCAGGATTCAGCAGCGGATTATTGGTCACAAAACTGGATTTATTGGGTTGCGGAGGCACTTTGCCCAATGGCATTTTGGACCCGCCAGAGGGGGAGTTGTTGCCAAAGTTATTGGGTGGAATGCGGGGATACTGTGGTGAGTAGGCCTGATGCAGATTACTGGTGGTGCTGCTGCTATTCGGAGTGGTGGCCTCCGAACCACTAGGCCTGGGCACCGAAATCGGATCGTTGGGGTTAATGCTCTGAGTGGTGCCGTAAAAGATCAGCGACCATTCCCTGAGCAGAGCATGGCCTACACAAATCGGTGGGTTAGTGGTTTTGGTTTTGGGTGGTTGTTGATGGGGTGTTAAGAGGGTGATCCACAAAAGCGCAGCATGTAAAACGGTACTGGTTTAAAGCATCTGTCTGACGGCACAATTGTATCTCAAACTAGGGACCTGTTCTCTTGACTTACCCATATAGCGACCCTCGTTGTGGATCTCCAATTGCCAATTTCCCTGTGGCGATTCTCCCCAGGTGTGAACGGACATGAAAGGCCACTGGTTGAAACCGGAACGGGAGTTGTCATGCACCCTGGTGAAGTAAATTACGATTAGTGTTAGAAAAAGTGTATTTTCAGAATCGTAAGTTCAAGTTGCGAACACTCTTTAACACCCTAGGAATGTTACACAGTGCTATATAGAGACCACTTACCTAGGCGTTAGGAGCGTGACACTGGTGTTGGCGGGTGACCTTAAGAACAGTTGGATGTCACCGCGCCGCTGCGAGGTTAACGTGACCTTGGCCTGCACGTGCTCCAGATAATTGACCGATCGGCAGTGCTGCACAGTCAGCTGCAGGGTGATGTGAGTGCGAGGCGGTATGACCCTAAGATGTATAGAATTCATTTAAGTAAAATGAGTTCTTGAAGGAATACGTAAAGGTTTATCCTAAGTTGTTTTAAAAGAACATATATTCTCTTAAAGTAGACATATTAAATACATTTGAAATAGCCATTCCCTAATAATGTTTTGCGGTAACCAAAACTGAATCACAAGAAAAAAATTAAACGATTTGGTTAAATAACTATAACTAGTCCATTCAAAGTATTAGAAAGATTATTTTCGACAAAATGGCTGAAAATTAAAATTTGTGTTTCGATTTTTACAAAAAAAATTATCGTTTATTTAGCTAAAAAATTATTTTGACCGATAAACAAATCGAACGATTAAAGAATGCATTTTTATGTATCAAACGAAGCCTGCCAAATTTGAGACAGATTGCTTCAGTTACTTTGCTCAGCGAATTCAAAAGTGCCAATTTGGGAAAAGTACGATTATAATTTTAAGTTAGTCAACAAAAGGATTTATTTTCTTTCAATGCTTCAATTTTTGCCAATTTTGTTTCGATTAACTTGAAATTTTATGAACGAATTTTAAGACTTATTAGTTCGAAAAATTTGTCGAATATTCTTGTAATAATTGGTAGGGCGAGAATTGGGGGTAAACCCATTAATGTAACAACCAGATTCTCCTTCCTCACTTACTTATCGACATGGGGGGCATTGATCTCGCATCGCTGCTGCTCCGGCACCGACTTCCAGGTGCGGGCCACGCGCACCATCTCGGCGGCGTCCATCAGACCGTAGCCGAAGGAGTGGCTCACCCGCCGCCCGACCCCGTTGCGCGACCAGCTGGGGTCCTTGAGGTTGGCCGGCTTGGCGGTGCGCACCACAATGTGCTGCAGGTCGCGCCAGGTGAGATTCTGGTTGGACTGCAGCACCAGGGCGGCGATGCCGGCGGCGAGCGGGGCCGATGCCGAGGTGCCCGTGTGGGAGACGGTGCACGAGTGGTGCAGGTCCGTGGTGACCACCTGCTTCTCGCCCTGCCCGCCGCTGCTGTAGGTGGTGGCCAGCGTGGAGCTGCACTTCTCCGAGTACCAGGGCACATGGCCCTCCTCCGTGGCACTGGAGATGGACAGCGTCCAGATGGAGTTCGTGTAGCCGTCGCAATTGCAGTTATCCTGCTCCCGCCCTCCGTTTCCCGAAGCCCAGATGAAGATGCTGCCCTTGCCGCCTCGTCCCTTGGTTGTGCCCTCAATAAATGCCCGCGATGCCAGTTCTCCCGGTCCATCCACCGTCTTGCCATCATCATCCGGTCCCCACGACGCACTGTATATATCAATGTGCTGGGGATTGAGGGACAGTGATCGTGCTTCCACGGCATCTGTGACATCTCCATCCAACATCCGCACTCCACCCACACTCGCTCCATAGGCAATGCCCACCGCACAGAAGGTGTTGTTCGCAGTGGCTGCCACCTCACCGGCGCACCTGGTTCCATGGCGATTCGAATCCGTCATGTCATAGTGCGGCATCGGATCGTCATCGTGGCTATTCACATCGTACGAGGCCTTGGGATCCTGTTTTAAAGTGAAATTTTATAAGGTAATGTGTCTGTTCACTCTTAGCAATTGTCTCCTTCGTCTTACGTAGTTTAACTCTATGTCCGGATGATCCGATTCCAGGCCGTCGTCCAGTATTGTGACCACTACGCCCTTGCCGGTGATTCCCTGCTTCCACGCAGGTATTACATTCATGTCCAGGCCACCACCGCGATTCTATAAGAAAACGTTTAGTTTTATATTAAGTGTCATGTATTTAGCTTAGGATCGTAAAATTCTCATTCAAATTTGGACCACCGTAATTGTTTAAAATAAATCTTTAAAATACTTACCAGATACCACATCTGCGGCCACTTGGAGTCGTCAAAGGGCATTGAGTCAACCATGGACATGGCTCGCGAGGAGGTTCTGGAAGGACGCATGCGGATAAAGTCCCGCTTGGATCGCGACTTGGCCCGCTGCTGCTTCGCCCAATGGACACGATCGTCGTCATCGAGGCGAGTTTGGTGATGCGTGGCAGGTGAGAGCGACCGCTTCGACACCTTGTGATGTGCGAAGTGGTAGTGATCCTCAAAGATCTGCAAAGAAGGATGGAAGGAAGGGTATACATATTAATATAATTCAAATAAATAATTAAAAATGTTGCAAGGGATCGTATTTTTGATTTTTTTAAGCTATGTCGCGGAACCTGTAGGTAAGTTTGTATGGAACTCTTACTCAGGATCAAGAAATAATATTTTTTTTGTTTGCTAAAGAATTTTGAAGTTTTATGACTGCCTTATGTTACAATAATAATAGTGTAGTAATTTTTAGTACAGCGATTAACAATTTATCATGGAATAGTACAAACATTTTGTGTAAATTTCTAAAAGTTTAATTTTAAGATCCTTAGTTATTTGACAGAAACCTAAATCAAACTGTACTGATAAGATTGTATTTAGAATTACTTTAAAAAGCAGTCTTTGAACTTTGCATCTAAGGAAAATAAGGAATCAATTTATATTTCTTTCATCTACTTATATAAAACTAAATATTCATTTAAACATCTTCTAATAATGTCTGGCGGAATGCATGGTATTCGTAAGCTAGCGGATAAGCTCTTCACACCCAACGAAATTCGTCGTTTCCAGGCGTACAAGAATCGATTTAGTGAAAAGTACCTGAGCGTGGAGGGCTTGAAGACCAATTTCAAGAGCCCTGATTTGGGCAAGCTTTTCAATTATCGCATGTTTTCTTCGAACAAAGAAGGTAAGTAAAATGTGTAGCCTCAATTCCTGCTTGCAACAAATTTCCTACAGAGTGCCATGAGGAGCCGAAAGCTAAGCCAAAGTGTGACCCCGATTGGGATGAACTTTATCCGCCAGGACCGCCATATGAGCCCTACGATTCGGGTTTCTGGTATCCAGATCCCGAGTTTTACAAAGAAAGGGAAAATGTGGTCATGTGGCCCGCCGGCGATAAGTGGAAACGCCGTCCGATTTACAAGGGCAAACAGAATCCTCCCATGGATCGCACTTTTCGCACTAAATTCATCAATTTTGGACCTGCCCATCCGGCTGCCCATGGAGTATTGCGCATGATTCTCGAACTGGATAATGAAACGGTGCTAAATGCCGATCCACACATTGGTTTATTACATCGCGGCACCGAAAAACTGATCGAGTACAAGACTTATATGCAGGCCTTGCCATATTTCGATCGTTTGGATTATGTTTCCTGCATGGCCAATGAGTTGGCCTACGCTTTGGCCGTGGAGAAATTGTTGAATGTGGAAGTACCTCGCAGGGCCAAGTATATACGCACCATGTTCTCGGAGATAATGAGGCTCACGAATCACACCATGGCCATAGCTTCATCGGTGCTCGATTGCGGTGCCATAACACCGCTTTTTTGGCTTTTCGAAGAGCGAGAAAAGTTATATGAATTTTCGGAACGTGCCTCGGGAGCTCGCCTCCATGCTGCCTACATTCGCCCGGGGGGCGTGGCCTCTGATATACCCTTGGGCTTCCTCAACGACCTTTACCAGTTTATTAATCAATTTAGCGATCGATTGGATGAGGTGGAGGATGTTGTCACCGACAATCGCATCTGGCGTATGCGCAATATTGGCATTGGCACAATATCCGCCCATGATGCGTTGAACTATGGATGCACTGGACCGGTTTTGAGGGCCACTGGCGTCAAATGGGATCTACGTAAGCAGCAGCCATATGACGCCTACGATGAGATTGACTTTGATGTGGCTGTTGGATCAAATGGCGACTGCTACGATCGTTACTTGGTGAGAATGCGTGAGATGAGGGAATCGGTGGGCATTATCAAGCAATGCATCGATTGTATGCCCCCTGGTGAAATTAAGGTGGATGATCTTAAGATCTGTCCTCCAGCCAGGCGCAAAATGAAGGAGGGCATGGAGGATCTAATCCATCATTTCAAGCATTTTTCGCAGGGTTTCTACGTTCCACCGGGAGCCACGTACACCGCCGTCGAGTCACCGAAGGGAGAATTTGGCGTATATCTCATCTCCGATGGTTCAACGCGACCATATCGCTGCAAGATACGTCCTGCCTCCTATGCCCACCTCGCCCTCATGTCCAAAATGGCACCAGCACACTTTTTAGCCGATGTTGTGGCAATTATCGGATCGCTGGATATCGTATTTGGCGAAATCGATCGTTAGCAAGGGACTCACAATTTAAATAATTTTGAATGTATACTCTTTTATTAATATAAACATTAAAAATCCAAGAGCCGACTAGAAGCAACAGCTATATACAAAGTATATCATCGAACTTTCTTTCTGTGAAAGTTTATAGTTAAAATTTGTAAAAATAAATAATTTATGGAATGAAAAAAAAATTCTTCCTTTGGCTACCATATTTTCTGTAAACCGTAAAACCAAAAGTTAAAATTGAATTGCTTGGTTTATAGATAGTTTTTCTGATCAATAGATGTTTAGTTTTAAAGCGTACAAATTCAAGTTTACACATATAAAGATTATTTTCAAAGTAGAAAAGTGAGTGTAATTAAAATAGGCATTTATTATTTTGGAAATTTGTGCAAATTTGTTCTGATTTAGTCACGCATGGCATAAGCTGTTCCGTCTCTTTCTTTCGCCGTCATCTCTCTCCCTTTCTCGCTTTCCCTGCAATTATGTGCAAGCGAGATTTTGCCGCAGCTTTGGGAAACTGTATGTGAGCTTTGTTGTTAATTGAATTTCATTGTGCTAAATTCTTTGGCAAATTGCAATTTAAGGGCTGCACAAAAGCCGACTCTGTGGGTCGAACTATTTTGCAATTACAACTACAATTAGTTGTGCAGGAGCGTTGACAGAATTAGTTATGGCAACTACTGGGCCATAAAGTTGGGCGAAATTGTTCTGGTTTGCCACAGGATTTCAACAAATTTAAGAGGTGAATAAGATACATTCCCAGTGCAATTGTGACTGCGCAGCTACGTCCTCATATCTCGTGTTTGAGAATAACGTGTTTTGTGTGTAGCCAAAAATTTTCACATGGCTGCTGCTTAATTGTAAGCATATTGCATATTGCCATGTACCAAGCTCTGTACCTACACGCTACCCACACTCTACTACACAAACATGCATCATTAATGGCTATGCCAACACCATCCACCATCACAGAGCTTGGAACCTCAGGTAAACGCATAAAAGTATGCAGCACAATTTATTTATGCCCACAGCAGGATGTCGCTGTCGATTTGGCAAACAGCGGAAGAGGCTTTCCCTTTCCGTTTCCTCCCTTTTCATTGTCTTTCTCAGTCGCTCAGTGTGCCACTCTCTATTTTCGTAAGTCTGTTTTCTTTTCCCAAATTGTTTTAGGCTGGATATCAAATGTTGTACTTTATTTTTGCCATCCCTAAAGGTTTTAGAAATTAAAAAGCTAGCAGTTAGTTTTAATGCGGTTTAATTTTAAATGGTTTATTCCAACTTGTAACTTAAAAACTGAATATATTTGTTTTTAAATTTTTGAAGTATTCAATTATTATCCTAAGATTTCAATACGATACGATTGATAAATACGTGAGCATTGAATGACCAAATTTAAGTTTTAAACGCGTTTTTCTCAAATTACTATTTACTAAACCGAGTCTTCAGAAATTTTGCAGGCTTTTTTCATTCCTTTTCTTTTTTTATACAAAATTTTTTATTTTTATATTTTTGTGTAAATCTTTCGATTAAATACTAGTTAGTCTTAATGTAATGTTACTCTTAATGTAAATTAAAATCAACCCTTAATTAAAAAAAAGAAACAAAAATATTCTTTTTTTCCGTTATACATTTTGTTTTTACAAAGTCTTCTAGATGTATATGAAATCGCCAAACTCAAAACTAGACGAAAATGGGAGCACGACTGTTGGTTCTTTATCCCCCACGAATGTTTGCCAGTGTTTGTCGTGAATTTCGAGCAGTTGAATGGCACAGGATGATAGGAGAGGCATATGTGCCGACAGCAGCAGACACAGACCCCCCAAACCCTTAACCCGCAACCCCATCCTTAACCCCTACTACTCGTTTTTAGCCCCCCTCTTGGCACGGCTGGGCAACTACTAAAATTTTAATTGCTGCTACTCTCTGCGTACGTGTCGCCCGGCGCTCAAAGCTCGTTTAGTTTTTATGCCCGACGAGTGGTGCCACACCCCTCCTCTGGCGCCCACTATCAAGATTATTAATTTATGCAGCACACACACACACATATACACACTTAGATTTGTTTACTTACTGCCTGCTCTTGTGCATATGCAATTTTGTCCAACATTTTAATTGAGTTGGTTGAAAAAGTTAAGTTAATACCTCACGCGCAGTCCCCTGGGTATCCATATTTTTGCAAAAAAGAAACCTCATATTTTTTAGAGCTAGGAAAGCTAGACTGGCTATTGGCTTAGTTTTAATTGTTTTGTTACGGTTTCAATTAAAATTGACTTATGCAACTCAAACGACCCTCGCTTCAATCAAGCTTAAATGCTGAAAAAAAAGGAGAGGAGGTCCTGGCCAGGATATAAACTTTTAGTAGCCATCAGGGGCTTAGAGCAAACGATGACATGTGTACAAAAGAGATGTGAAGATGAACTAACTAAATAATGAAAACATTAAATAATTCTTACAAAAGTAAAATATATATAAATTGTACATCCTTATACAGCATAGTCCTTTAATTTGTAAATTATATTTAACAACTTTAATAAATAGTTGTGTACCTATGAATTGTAAAAGATTAAAAGAAACGAAAATCGATTTTTAAAACTTTTTAACAAACTAATTTTTTGGTTAAATATTTCATAGTAAATCACCATTCACTCCACTCAACTTGAATGTTTTTAGCCGCAAGCAGCTAAATTTCTAATGAATTTGTCGACAAGACAGCATACCATGACACCAAAAGGCAATAAAAAGCAGGGCCAACGTTTAACAGCAACTAATTGTGGGCGAGGGGGAGCAACAGAGAAAGCCGGTTAGAGGCAAGGAAGGATATGTTAAGCTGTGAATAATGCCCTCTCCATGGCAGCTTTTAAAATTGTCAACAATTTAATTAATCAACTCGGGGTGCAGGCTACCTCG